GACAAACCACACTGTAATAAAAACTTACTGTACATTGTGTTAGAAATAAAATCAGATACAGAAATTATATTAATATATAAAAAATAAAAATAACTGACAGAAACATAAAAAACAGTAAAAATAAAAAAATACCAGAATAAAACAACCCGAAATAACCCGAAATCGAACCACCAGATAAATTCATATTAATTATACTGGTAAACTCATTTTGATAAGAAATTATAGTAATATACACACAATAACTTATAAAAATATTAAAAATAACGGTATTATAAAAATTTTATAAAATTTTAAATATTTTGAAAATAAAATAAAAAATTATCTATCCTACTGATGGGAATTATCCTAACAGACTCTTCATTAATAAGACAGTCCATATCATTAACACTACCGCATGAACCACCCACTCCTATTACACCCTCTAAGTCAGCCATAAAATAAAAATTAATAAAAAATTAAATTAATAAAAATTAAAAATAAAAATAAAAAATTAATTAAATTTTAATTAAAACCGGGTTATATCGGGTTATCACTCAAAGATACCTGATAACACCTCATATGAAGAACCTCCAATTACATCAAAATAATCAACCATCTGAGTGTACGTGACATGATTCCTGACTAACACAGAATATCCCTGTAAGACTTCATCACACTCGTACCCATAAACATGCACACCGTATAATAAACCAGTCACACTACCATACACAAACTTATACACATTCTTATACACCGTAAATATACTATTATAATGGAACAGACTTATCTCCTTAATACACACAGGGTCAGATACGCACTCATCCTGTGATAACCCGACATAACCCGAATGTTCACACTGTACGCTTAAGCCATTAATACGCTTACAGTCACTCTCCGATAACCCAACAGAACCAGCAGGTGGATGTGAAAATATCACAGTGGGGACTGATCTTATTAGGCCTTTAATATTACCAGTGCTATTACCGTATAAATAATCGGACAGTCTTCTACCACTGAATATGGCAACGGGTGTAAGCATATAATCACTTGTGGTTATGTCCCCTATCGCAAAAGTGTCCTTGTCCGTTGTACAAAAGGACTTGTCCGTTATTATAAACTTAGACTCTGAAAATTTAATATTATCATTATGGATACTTTCTGTGTTAGGAAGTCTCCCTATGGCACAGATACCTTTACTGGCTGTGATTGTGTCATGTACACCTGCCTTGATTATGCTTAATTTTATACCTGTGCAAATTTTTTCAATTTTCAAAACAGTCGTTTTTTCAAGAATTTTTATACCTTTTGATAATAAAGTGCTCTTAACACGGTCCTGTATCATGGTATCAAATGATCTAAGCACAGAATCACCACGGGCAATTAATGTAACCTTGCAGTTGCACTCCTGTAATACAAAAGCAGTTTCTATGGCGATATACCCCGTGCCTATAATTACCACAGAATCAGGTACGGTATCAAACCTGAAAAAATCATCACTTGTAAGTAAGTGCTCACTGCCCTCACAGTCTAATACGTCAGGGTATGAACCCATTGCTAGTATGGTTTTACTGGCTGTATACACCTGCCCATTTACTTCAATTAGTCCATTTTTTATTACAGCTGGACCTGTCACTGTGGTAATCCTGTCATTTTGGTTCCTGTTCATGTACATCTCATTGAGAAACTTGATGTACGTGCTCCTCTTCTGATTAAACTCATCCCAGGCTAATTTTATACCGGTCTTACCGTATAAATGGACTACTTCTGAGTGTAAAAGTGCCATATTGTATAACATCTTCTTAGGGATACATCCATTATTAACGCACGTACCACCTAAAACACTCTTTTCTATTAATAATACATTCTTACCGTACGTATATGCTGATCTTCTGGAAATGGCTAATCCACCACTGCCTCCTCCTATTACAGCTAAGTCGTACATGGCTATATTTATTTTTATTAAAATTTATTATATATTGTGTATAAAGTACTTATAATATTTACATTGTATTTATACAATATTTATATTATTATTTATTACACATTGTGCAGTATATCTTATATCTTATACCTATTACATATTCGGGTTATATCGGGTTATACCACTATCAGAAGTATAAGGTATATAAGGTATATAAGGGGGTATAAGGACTATTAGATGTATTAGGTATATAAGGAGTATTAGATGTATTAAGTATATAAGGAGCATAAGGACTAATATATACAGTATTTAGTCTATTTATATACAGTATTACTATCTGGTCTGTTTAGTCTATTTATCCTATTTAGTCTATTTATATACAGTATTTAGTCTATCTGATATATTTAGTACTATTATTATATACAGTATTTAGTCTATCTGACCTATCTGACCTGTTTAGTCTGTTAGTCTATTTAGTCTGTTTATATACAGTATTACTATCCTGACCTATTTAGTCTATTTATCCTGTTTAGCCTATTTATATACAGTATTAGTACTGTTGGTTATGTATGCTATTAATATATGGCTGGTCATCATGTATGATAATAATAAGCATATTGCCATCATAAATGATTGTAATTAGAACTATTTAAGCTTCAATAAAGAACAAGTTCCTTATGTCTGTGCGCTTAAGGAATAAACAGCTGTTACTAATGCATAGAATATTAAATGTATTTAGTCAATTATTATGTATAGTACTTAGTCTGTTTATATCTGTATTATGTATTATGTGTACAGTATCTGGTCCGTTTGGTCTGTTTATATCTGTATTATGTATAATCTGTTTATATCTGTGTACAGTACCTGGTCTATTTAGTCTATTTAGTCTGTTTGGTCTGTTTATACCTGTATTATGTATATTATATACGGCACCTGGTCCGTTTGGTCTGCTTATACGACTATTTAGTCTATTTGGTCTGTTTATATCTGGTATACATTATCTGTATTATGTATATTTATGTTATTAGGGTTATATCGGGTTATATCGGGTTGTATTATAATATTAATATATAAACAGCCGTTATAATATACGTATGAAAATAAAAATGACCGTTATAATATATTTATGAAATTATCCTGTTATTACTTCTTCTGATGATGTGGGGTGGATGGGGATGGTGCTTAAAATATCTTCTGGTGATAATTTACAGTACATCCCTATTGAAAACCCTTTAATTATATCTATACTGCTGGGGCCGAATAAATGCAGCCCTGAAAGGACTTCTTTATTATCAGACGTAAATATTAACTTATAATCGGTTATGGACTTATTCTGACAGACGGAATAGAATAACCCTCTGAATTTAGGGTTTATAACCCGTACACGGGCCTGGGACTTGTTTGCTTCAATTTCTGTGCACCCCACGGAGGCAGCGGGTGGGTTCGTGTATATAAAACTGGGAGTTAGTCTAAACGTATCTTGAAGTACTGGAATGTCGTGGATTGTGAATATGCCTGGATATATTCGTGTTAGTAAATCGATCTCTGCATGCTTTAAATAGGCATACGGGGCAGTTATACGGGTTATCCTTGAATTTCCGGGTGTGCTTGGAGTGTCCTGGGTTATGGAGTACTCACTCTCTGATAAAAAGTACTCTAAATTAGTCAGTGTCTGTGTGATACTCCCGTCTGAAACAGTCACTGTAGTGGAAGTGGTCTTATTTACACTTATAACTTGAGAATTGAAGAATACGGTAACCCCTTTCTCTAATAGTAAATTCTTAACGGATTCTTGTATGTTCTTCTCATATAACGATAAAAATACGTCATCCCCAGTGGATACGTACACTTTACAGCCTAAATCAGATAAAATTGAGGCAGTCTCAACTGACTTCTTGTTACCACCGGATATAAATACGGATTTGGGGATACTCGCCATGTCATTCACTAACTTAACCCATATATTATCTAATGTGACCGTATCCGTGGCTGTGGTATAATCTACTAATACAATATTACGGGCTCGTGATTTTATATTATTAATATAAACGTGTTCATTTACTTCTTTAACTGAGTACGTGTTTTCTGTGTGATTTATACTTCTCCTTACTTCATCTACTCTCTTTTTTATTATGTCCTTGATATTGCCCCAGTTGACTGTGGTACTGCCCGTGGTGCTAATCGAGTAGTCTGAATAGTACTGCTTCCTTTGAATCGCCGTGGATACGCCGTATACTTGTAATAGGTATAACCTGTTGATTGTGCTTGTATAATTAGAAGTGGTAATAAGGCGTACATTAATACTGTGAGTTAGTAAGATATTCTGTATACGCTTACCAAATGATCCTCCATTAATTATTATAAGTTCATCTTGTTTTATCCCTTCTCCTGGAATGGTCCCTGGATCCTCACACACCTGGTGCTCGCTCTTACTCGCATGCATAAAAATATAAAATAATTCTGTTTTTATACTTTTATTATCGGGTTATGTCGGGCTAGAATTTAAAAAGACCCGTTGCTGGTAAGGATTCAACATAATACTGCTTCCCCTGCACGGAAAGTATCGGTACCCCTGGAATACGGCGTAGTCTCTGCTTTAGCTCTTTATCACACGTAGCAATAATATAACAAGGGTGCTGCTTGACCCGGTCTACAATACAATTATCTGCATACGTCCCAGAGTGGTCGCATTTAAGCCTGTGATACTTCTCCCCTTTGATTACCTTCAGGGCCAGTAGATGAACCTTCCCTAACTTCTCCATTTCTGCTACCACACAGTCAGTCACAAACATATTCGCCCGACTGAATAAGCATGAGATAAGTGCAGGGGCTATGTCTATCTTCCGCCTGAGTGACATGTTCACGAAATTAGTGTCCAGTATCACGTTGTACGGTGGGTTTAAGTTGTGGTTAATATCGAAATATTTGCGTAAATCTGGGTTTATCTCGTCCTCTCTTATGTCAGGGGCCTTACTCGCCTCTTGGTCTGGCTGGGCCCGTTTTCGCATGGTCTTCACACGGCTTGCACTCTTTTTTCCGCACATAAATTTTTTACAGTCGGCTGCAATTTATGCACAGCTGAAATTCCGAAAATTTTGAAAGCCGGCCGGAATCCTCCTGAAGTGTTTTAGACTAGGCCGTGGGTATGCAATTATTTTATACACTATGTCTTATAAGTTGTAGAGCACACAGTGTAAATATCATAAATTTATGCGTATACTTACAGTATAATACGTATAAATATGGGTATATTACGTATAGTACAGTAGTAATAAGATATTATAATGGTTAGTGTGGATACTTTATATACACACACATACTGCGCATAATATTACGGGTGCGTAATTACTTATTGTACATAGTGTAAATAGTAATAAGTCTTGCACAGTGAAAAGTACTTACTTTTTACACAATTACTCTTATATTATGGTTTTTATGTAACCCACTCGCTTGTTTGTTTGTGTAATTTACAATCTAATTAATATTAAATGAATGATGTTTTGGCGTATATGAAAGGAGTAATTCTAGTGGGAGGACTCGGGACAAGACTTAGACCATTAACATACACACAGCCTAAGCCACTGATCCCCTTTGTTAATAAGCCTATTATTAAACACCAAATAGAAGCACTCGTAAGTGCAGGAGTGTCTGAGGTAATACTCGCAGTGGGGCACATGCAAGAGAATATTAGAGAGTTGCTGTACGGGTACGATGCAGAGTTAGGCATAAAGATATCTTACTCATACGAACATGTACCAATGGGGACAGCTGGACCACTCGCTCTGCTCAAGGACAGGCTAGAGGGTGAAATTGAGCCATTCTTCGTTCTGAACTCAGACGTAATATGCACATTCCCCTTTAAGGAGATGCAGGCGTACCACACGGCGCACGGAGGGGACGGGACCATTCTTACAACACAAGTCAGTGACCCATCAAAGTACGGCGTAATACTGACAGACACTGCATCGCAAGTTATAAAGTTCGTTGAGAAGCCAGAGGTGTTCGTAGGGGACAGGGTCAATGCGGGGGTGTACTTGTTCTCAAGTGAAGTGCTTAAGTACATCACGTACAAGCCAATGTCGATAGAGAAGGACGTGCTCCCGCTGATGGTGGCAGAAAGGACCGTTAAAACCTTCCAGCTAGAAGGGTTCTGGATGGACATTGGGCAGCCAAAGGACTACGTCATGGGGAATATCCTGTACCATGAGAGCAACAAGCGCACAAGCACCGTGGATAAAACCGCGAAAGTGTCCCCGCATGCTATTATAGGCCGAAACACGACGATCGGGCCGAATGTAGAGGTAGAGGACGGGGCGGAGATAGAGAACTCAATTGTATTCGAAGGGGCAGTCATTCAGAAGAATGCGCTGGTCGTGAACTCGATCATTGGGTGGGGTGCGACTGTCGGCCGGTGGTCCAGGATCGAGGACTATTCGGTGCTTGGGGCGGGTGTGTCTGTGCAGGAGGGCATATACATTACACGGGGCCTGATACAGCCGCATACGCTTGTGTCGATACACGTCCTGCTGCATGCCCCCCTCCGGCAGGAGATAGACACGGAAGAGTCTCCTGCAATATAAGTACAATAAATTATGCACTGGATTAGTTATTATTTGGGTTATATCGGGCTGTACCTGTACGGCTACTGTACATTTACTGTGCTGCGTATAGTATTATAAAAAGTGCAGCACTCTGTGTTCCCACGCGGTCTCCCATCGCAGTACTATCAAAGCTGTCACGCGCTTAACTTCAGAGATCGAACGGGTTCTGGTGTGTACGCAGGCATATGGCCGCACAAATATGTAAGTTACTGTGCGTACTTATAAGGTATACTAAGCATGGATAAATTCGGGTATAAAAGTGTTTTTAATTTTAGATAAAGAATGCGTGCATATTTGACAGAGTGCAGGGACTGCCTGAAATTATCAAAGAAATTTAAGGATAAACCGGGTTATGTCGGGTTATGCAGTAATAAGATTATTACAGTACTGCGTATACTAATACTTATTCAGAGCGTATGTGGACGGATTACTGTAGAAGAAACAAGAGAAGTGCACCGGACAGTACTGCAGGACCAAGATATAATTAGAATGATAAACCCAGATGGAGGATTATCCCCATTAAGGGGCTTTTTATGGTACACCTGTGGGTTCATGTATAATATAAGGATGTTCTCCTGCTGGATGGATGTAGACTACAGCGTATGGCTGAATAATTCAGGAGGGCGTACTCCCGTATACGAATACGCACGGAATTACGGTCGGGATGGAGTGCATCGTAAATTAGCACAGGATGAGTATGAGAAGAAGTTAGTCGAGTACCACCAGATGGTTATAAACTTATTCCCATCAGCAGAGGGGTACTTAAGCATACACACAGACAAAGAAGACTCCTTGTACGCCCTGCTTAATAAGTGCACAGATACGGACAAGTACAGGATCCTTGCTGGATTATTGCTGTTATCTGAGGGGCTGAGCGTCCCACTGAGCATAACACGATTGGAGGATAGTTCGGAAATTCTTGTGCTGAAGGATTTAAGCAAGGACGCAGAACACTTCCGCATTAGTTTAAGTGGTGCCTGTGCACACGGTAATAAACAAGAACCCGAAATAACCCGAAATTCAAGTGGAGTCGTGGATACTATCCAGTTCTTTATAGATAACCATAATAATTGGTGTTTACAGTGCAGTGCATTATTTAATGGGCAAATGCCTTATGGCGTGTTTAAATCAGGCGGATTCCTGTGCACGCTTCAGTTCCTCATACAGTCGTACATATTTGATTATATGGAAAGCGTGGAGAGTACGGTTTTATTCTGTGTTACAGTGTTTGATATGCTTAGGGAGTGTATACAGCACAGTATAAATAAGAAGTTTAGGGCCAAGGCACTGAATATCTTCAATTCTTACTTCATCCCGTACGGCATGGATACGCCTGGTGCACAGTACTACGAGTCAGTTGGTATAGCAAGCTTGGTCTTGAACCGGCTTAGAGTGCTGCCGTTTGAGCATAAGGCACAAATATTCCCAATCACTACATTTAAATTTCATAATAAAACCGTACACAGACTGGAAAGAATCACTGAAGACTTTCTAAATTTATCCATAAAAAAGGATAATGCCGTATACACAGACTTAAAAACAAGAAACCACCTGCCTGATCGGGTTAATAGTGTAGAAACAGTACTTTTATGCTTATTCTGCTGTTTTGCATACGACCAGTATAAACAGGAGTATACAGTAAGCCACATACCAAATGCATCCAAGGAGTTAAAGGAGTTCTTTAATAAGTATAAGTATATGTTCGATATGACAACAGAAGGTATACATAATAATTGGAATAAAGTAGTGGCAGACCTGAATAACCCGTATATTTGCTATGCCAGGCCTAATAAGAACCAGCTGGATCTGGGAGTGATTAATACCCTGTGCGTAATCACAGAAGTAGCAGGCATATTTGATGAGCATAAGCCTAGAATCAATAAGTTCATAGAAACCATCAAGAGAAATAATAAACTGCCAGCAGAGGATTCTTCAGAGTTACAGCAGTACATTAAAGAATTATTCAAGGCACTCTCAGTGAATAAGAACATAAGGATAGGATTCTTATGGACTCTACTGAATAAGTCACAAATCAACAGACCTGACTTATTCATGGATATGATCGTACATTATAGAATGAATGAGGTTGAAGAATCAGTATTCATAAGTATATACAGGGCACAGACTAGAATTGATTTTCGTAAGGCACCAGTACAACCATTACTACACTCCCATAAAACATCCATTAAAACAGAAACCATTAAATTGAACTTATTAAAGCCAGCGTATATGCAGCAATTAGTACTTCATTACGTAAATCACGTATCTGTACAATACGATAATGTATACTTTAACGAATTAAACCTTAAAATGAGTGACTGGCTGAATAAAAAAGTACCCTGTCCCATGAATATGTACATAAACCCAATACTAGTAGTGTATAAGATACAGAGCACTAGATATAAATTATTATTAATAAGGGATATACTACTGGAATGTTTAGGGATTAATAAGGCAATGTGTACTGGTGCTATTAATTTAGTATCTAATATACTGGGAAGTATCCCATTTAATAATACATCTATACGGAACACTTTCTTTACTACTATTATACACTGTGGTGCGGATAAGGAGTATTATTCAAGGATCAGTATAAGTACTACTGTATACCCAGCAGTTGAATTTTATCATCATGAGATATCCATTATTATCAATAAGTTATTAGATACTAAGACAGTGCACGTATTTGTGTCCTGGTTGAAGTATTTATTATCAGTTAAGCCATGCCCATTCTTGTACACATTGGATTATATACTGGATAGTAGCAGGATTGTCACTAGAGTGCTTATATTTGAATTTATAACTGTACGGTGCAGGACGGTTAAGTACATAAACCAAATTATTGATGATATAAGGGCACTTAAAGTGAACTATCCTGATTATAACTGTGAGGAGACTGTTAATACTCTTTTACTGTCACTTATATGCATACACTGCCAGTATAATAAGAATATAAGTATAATACAGCCTATTTATGAGGGAATCAATGAAAGTATGCCTGTACATTTAGGGTTTAAAAGATCAAGTCCATCTAAATACTATAAGAATGCGATTGATGCACTTTCATCAATAAAGGATGTTCTTTGTAGAGGGAGTGAGAATAAGTCTAAGTACGATAAAGTACTTTCTGCATTATTATTCAAGTACAGTGTAAAACAGCAGGAAGAGGGGATGAACCTATTAGAAGCAAATTTATTCTTAGATGACCGTTAAATAACCGTTAAATTACTAAATGACCGTTAAATAACCGTTAAATCATTAAATTACTTAAATTACTAAATTACATAAATAACCGTTAAATTATTAAATTACTAAATTCATGTTATTCCCTGTATGGTAATATATTAATTATTAAAAAATTTTAATATTACCATAATGAGAGTATACTGGATATTTCAGGTAATGATCATTACTGAATTATACGCAAGGATAGGATTAGATGAATTAAAATCACTCCATAAACTTACATACACAGATACAGAAGGTAACACACTAGTAATAAACCCAGAAGGACCACTTAACTTAACCAGAGGATACATCTACCATAAAAATGGATACGTGTACAATAAAAGACTCTTCTCACATGAAATTGATATCAATTACGCACTAACCACAGAGAATAACTCAAGTACAGCATATACACATAAAAGAAAGAAAAAGAATGATACAGTACACAGTTATACTAGTAATAAGGCTAATACAGACCAGGAATACGAAAAATTAAGAAGGTATACAGTAGACTACCATAATAAACTAATTCAAATGTTTGGGTTAAATGACATATACGTAACCATTGAAGCAGGCAGGTTTGACTCATTCATTAGGTTCATGAAGTACCCACCAGTGAAAGCATACTCTAATTATATACTGGCAGCACTCTTATTATTATCAGAGGGAGTGGACGTACCCATACAGTGCATACAGTCAGATAATGATTATAACCTTATACTAACAGATACAGATGTGTCTTATGAATACTTCACAGTTAGTCTATACGTCCCTGGGTATAATCCGTCTAATAGTAAGTATGAGGATATCTTACAGAGTGAAGCCAAGAGTATTATTGAATTCTTCATACGGCACAGGGACAGTTCATTCCTTAAAAAGGGCCGGGTCCTTGCAGAGCCAGTTGATCATAACGGGTTTAAAAATGGGAATTTCATGGACAGTGTACAGTTCTTAATACAAGCGTACGTATTCGAGTTCATTGATAATGGGACTGATGTGGAGGGATTCATTACGGCTGTGTTTGAACTATTAAATGACCAGTTAGGGATAAAAATGAATAAAAATTCAAGCCCGACTAACCCGAAAAAAATAAAAAAAGTGCAGGCCGTGTTTAATAAATGCTTTATCAGGCTGAGCACAGGAAATTCAGGCATGTCCCGTATAAATACTCTTCACAGGATTAAGACAATTAAAGAGAGTGCGTGTATACTCCCATTCTATTCAGCAGAAGAACTGCCCATGTACAGTAAAATACCAAAGTATAATGCGTATACGGAGAAGTGCAGTGGGGAGTACATTAAATACTTTACTAATTGTTGTGAGACAGCAGTGCTTGGGTTAATGTGCTGTATGATGTACGATCCGTATAAGAAAGAGTACACGACAGATCATTTAAGTGATCCATTACCTGAACTGATTGAGTTCTTTCATATGTATAAAGTGCCTGTAGAGTCATCCAGCATGGAGATGCTCATTAATTGGAATAAAGTTGTTTCAAATAAGCATAAGTCAGGCGTAATGTACTTATCAGAGAACAATGAGGTTGCAACTGGACTTATAAATGCACTGTACTTAATCACTGCGCTGACCATGCCGAATGCGGATAGGAGTACTTTGACTGAGTTCAGGAATAAATTGGATATGGGACATGGGATGACTGCAGAGTTCATGAATCAGATTACGGCGTACACAGAAAGCGTACTTAAAACCATCTCAAATAACCCGAATTTATACATACGTATACACGACATGCATAGACTGTGCAGATCAGATGGACAGCCTGATGTAATGTGTAGTTTATACATAACGTATGAGTATAATAGTATACGCACCACTGTCTGTATACTATTATATACTGGACATTCATACTTTACGATTATAAACCCGAATGATTTATCGTATACAGAGTATTCTGAATTATGCTGTATAAGGAGTACGTATACAGAGTCAGATACATTCATAGATTACACTATATGTAATTATATTGATACTCTCATACGGAATTCGGGTTATTCGGGTTATACACCGTATACAAGCATAAAGGATGACGTATTAGATGTAATTAATAATAAGTACCAGAACATGAACAGATTATTATTGGTGTATAAGATAGATACAGTGATAAAATCAAATGAAATCGTGTTAGCGTGCTTAACTCTATCACAGAATGATTCAATGACAGATACACACCCAATGATCAGGTTTACATCTAACATAGTAGGGAATAACAGTATTAATACAGTAAGTATACGCAGGAGTGTATTACAAGGCGTAGTATACACAGGAACACAGAGTTTATACACTAAAATAAACTTACCAAAGAAGGTTTGGTATAATACTGCTATAGATAAAGAAGTGTACATAAATACATTCTATTCTGTAATAGAAATGGGAGTACCTGAAGTAGTAATAAATACGTTATACGTGTTCATTAAGTCAGAGAATAAAAGTAAACTGTCCCAGGATAATCCATTACTTATAAAGGGACTTAATCAGAAGATATTCCTGTGTATATTTAAATATAATCATATGGGATATGCACATAAACTAGCTGAAGTACTTAGACTGTACTACACTCCAAATGATCGTATTATTAATACAGTAGTATTTTATATGTGGATGATTTACATGGTAATGCATAAACCAGAACAGACTAGCCTTATACAGGAAATAGTCTTATTAACTAATGGACAGTTCTTCTGTGATATGTTAGAGTATATGGATACAACAGGATTAACCCAAGAATCACTTACATGCTTATACAGACTGAAAGAGTCACTTAAAGATACATCCGTACCAGTGGATACGATTGATCAGGTTAGTATAATCATTCATTTATGTGAGGAAATAGTTAATAACCGTAAAGCATAAGGGGATACATGGTATATGGTATAAGCATAAGGGGATACATGGTATATGGTATGTGGTATAGACAGTATAAGTATATAGTATGTGGTAGTATATAGTATAGACAGTATAAGTATACGATATATAGTATATGGTATGAGACAATATATAGTATATAGTATATCAGTATAAGTATATAGTATGTGGTATATGTTAGTATATGTTAGTATAGACAGTATAAGTATATAGTACATGGTATATTATATAGTATATGTTAGTATATAGTATATGGTATAGTATATTACCATTATATTACCAGAATATACTACATGTCACTACATGTCACTATATGTTATATGGGCGTATAATAATATATTTCAGGGTTTAATTGTTATTTCCATTTTAAGAAATACCGTTATTTTATATTTAATTATAATAAGTGTACGTGATATATTTAAGTATGTAAAGGTGTGGGTTATTCTTTATTCTTATACTCCATTTTTGCTAGTAGCATATGTACACATGAAACTACATCCTCTGCACTGGGATACATTAACTTCTCTAATTCTTCTGCATACGGCGTGGGTATTTTCTTGCTGCACAGGGTGTAAACAGGACTATCAAGATGACTAAATAAACGAGAAGAAATAGATGCAGATATTTCAGAGGCAATGCCACACTCAGGCCAGGCGTAGTCTACAATTAGGAGTTTCTTGGTCTTACTGACTGATTTCTCAATTGTAGGGATATCTAACGGATTTATTGATATCGCATTAATTACCTCTACAGAGATATTCTGTTGTTTAAGGACTTTCTCTGCTTCTAAGCATACACCCACAGTTATTCCTACTCCCACTACAGTCACTGCATCACCAGACACTTCAATAATGGACTTATCCAGTGGGAGGAGGAATTCTGTATCATACACTGATTCTAAGTACTCCACCTCACGTGAGTAAAGTATTTCATTCTCTAAGACAATCACTGGGTTAGGGTCACGTATGGCACTCCTGAGCAGGCCAGCAAAGTCCCTTGCTGAGTACGGGATGACTACTTTTAATCCGGGTATGGCTGAGAAGAATCCACTGAAATCCTGCGTATGCTGTGCACCCACACCGTACGCATACCCATTTGGACCACGGAATACGATCGGACACTTTATTCTTCCGCCTGACATATAAAGAGTCTTTGCAGCTGAGTTGATTATGTGGTCCATGGACTGTAATGCGAAACTGAATGACATAAAATCACACACGGGTTTAAGCCCCATAAAGGCAGATCCCACAGCTAAACCTGTAAACCCAATTTCAGAAATTGGAGTGTCAATCACACGGGATGACCCGAATTTATCTAAAAGACCTGCTGTGCACTGATATGCACCACCGTATACACCCACTTCCTCACCAATAATGTATACGTCATTATCCCTTTCTAGTTCTTGTCCAAGCACTTTCTGTATGACCTCTGATATTTTACTCTTCATGAAAATAAACATAATTTACCTTATATATGTAATTAAATTTAGGGTTATATCGGGTTATACCAGCACACACAGATATACTTATACACATATACATATACTATATACACTACTTATACATATATACTACTAGTACTAATATTATATACAGACACAGATATATACTTATATATATATATACTACTAGTACTACATATACACTGCTTATATCTCTTACTTATACTTATATACATACATACTACTTATGTATACCTTATACTACATACTACTAGTACGTATATTATCACTTATACACTACTTATACCTATACTACTATACATATACACTACATATACCTATACTTACTTATCACTTATACACTGCTTATACCTATACTACTATACATATACTACATACTACTATACATATACACTACATATACCTATACTTACTTATCACTTATACACTGCTTATACTTACTTATCACTTATACACTGCTTATACACTGCTTATATTTATTATTGTATACCCTGATCCTTCTGTGCTTATACACTGCTTAGACCTTATACACTGCTTATACCTTATACTTGCTTATTCCTTCTCAATTGCATCGTACTCAAATGGTTTCCTGGCTTTCTTTAATTCTTCATTTGTTACTAATAGTTCTTTTGCTCTCGTATACTTCCTTCTGTCCCTTTTTATGGTATACATAAGATCGTCCGTCTTGGTCCTCCCCCTTGACTTAGATACGTTTTTGGCCTTCTTTAGAATATTCGTTAAATAATGGCATAAATAATCGTGTATCACAGTGGCTGAATCAAGCCTTGGATTTGCCGCGTCTCCAAGTGAGTACATAAGCATACGTATTTCTCGTATAAAATTTGGCTTCCTCTCCTTCATAAAAAAATATTTATTTGCTCATAAAATACTCGCCAGTGAACTTCTTTACAACTTATTGCATAATGTGTAATTATTTATATATTTTTAATAATCCTAATTTTATTAACAGCCTTATCATTTTGATAAGTATAATAAGTATATAAGAAGAATGAACTTGAAATATTTTTATGGATAATACAGAATATAATATAACCCGATATAACCCGAATAATTTAATAGTAGAAATACACAGGAATTGTATAAGTAGATTACAATTCATGTATTCTTTAATAATAATACCAATACAGATAGCGTACTTACTGATATATTCTAATTTTACATTCCTGAGCATAATATTCTTATTACTGGATAGGGATAGTGAAGCATTTGGGTTTTATACGGTTAAAGTGTGTATGATAGTTATGTGTGCTGATGTTATGCTGTTTAGTATACCCTTATACGTATACAGTATAACCCGTCATAGATCTATACTATATAAACAGTCTATTGATTGCTTATTAAATACACTTACGTATATTATACAGTGTGTGATAGAAGTGTTATGTGCCTGTGGTATTATTATAATAATGTACTTCTTTATATGTACGCGTGTATGGGTTAAATGGATGAATATTATTTTTATAGTGATTAATCTTATAACTATGATTATAGGGTTGGATTATACGGAGAACACTCAGCGTAGGTTGAATATAATAGAAGTGTTTAATAAGTCATTAATCACAGATGAGGAGTATCGCTATGGTATTACTTATTATTTATACTGCACTGCGTACATGTCCGCATCTGTTCTGATTTTATTAAATTATGATGTACTCATACAGAATGGACTTATATACACGGAGAAGTAAATAGATTTCAGGTTATGTTGGGTTATTTATTAATATTACTGTAGATAGAATGATTATTTACGAATTCTTTTGAATTTTGTTGGTTAACATGAGAAGTGCTCAGGTTTAACTCCGGCTTATATTTATCGTGTGCGTGTGATTGGTGTGTGCTTGTTGTATACTCTACATACCTCTCTCTGATATGTATGGGTAGACAGGATAAGTCTGCTGTACAATTATGATCCCATGGGTTATGCCCTGTGATGTGCACTTGTATGAGCGTATAGAATAGAATTTCTTCTTTGTCTTTATTCTTTGACTTTCTTATGTTTAGCAGATACTCATTGAATATAAAATTGTACGGATCTTCTGTTATACTTGCAATTTTAAATAGATCTATTGAGTACGCGTATACACCATTATACACAAAAATATCTGTGTATACTTCCTTTATAAGATCTTTGTATAAAGACTCTGCATGAGAATATGAAAGAAGTACAGAAAGTCTGGCAAGGATTAAGAGACATCTTTTGAATAATTCTTGTTTCTTGGATTTATGTGCTAGATTCATAAGTGCAGTTGTGCATTTATACGCTGCAGTATACCTTCTGTCATTTGAAAGTACTTGTATGTCTCTCCATAAGATATCCATGGTCTTTTTGTCTGTGGTATAATTATGCTGTAGAGTATTCTCTGGGGACAGCTTTAATGATTCTAGTTTTGCGATTTGTAAAGCCATAAAAATATTTCTTATTCTTTCCTTTATAGTCCATGAGATGTCTAATCGTTGCTAGGGATAGAACAGAACTGAGTAACCATGAAAATAGTCTGAAAAATAAAATAGGAAGGGTGTGCCCAGTTGATGTGGTAGATGTAGCATATTTATATGAAACCCAGGAGAAATGGGATTTATTCCGGTATACTGTTGTTTTAACATTTTTAGGGGATGGAACTGTGCTGAAAACTCTTTCCGTGTGCACCGGGAAGAAGAATGGGTTTGAAAGAGCAGAGTATATGGACTTTGATATATCCTGGCCAATGCATAGTAGCGGCAGTACACCTAATGACTCAGATTTATTACTAGATAATGGGAGGAGTACTCCAATTATATTCTCATTTGATTATGGGACGAAGGGAAGACTGTGCAATATAAAAAAAGAAATCCAGGAAGAAGGAGAGGCACTTTTAGATAAACTGTTAAATGCAATAAGCCAGAATAACCAGGAGAAGGCATTTGAATTATATATAAATCAAACAATTAAGAGAAACAGACTATTTATTAACCAGAGTGTATATTTCTTAAATGACATATACGTATACACAAAGGGAAAAGGACTTTTAGGAAGTATTTCAATTTCAATTAATGAGAAGCCAGTTTACAGATGTATTAGATGTGATGGTGTGGTTATCAGTACACCAACAGGATCAAGTGGGTATAATTCATCTGCAGGTGGTCCAGTTATACACGGAAGTGTGGATGATGCCATTATTATTACATTTGTATGTCCAGCAGATAAGAAAGTTCCCCCTATTGTTGTATCTGCTAGTTGTAAGATACGCGTGAAGAATGGTATTCAGAATGATCTATTATTTGGGGTAGTAGATGGATGTCTCTCCGTCTCTGATTATGAACTAACAATTGAAGGCAAAAAAGAAGGGGCAGTTTATTTTGCTGATGTAACTACAGACAGAATACACTCTGATTTCATGGAGGCAATCCAGGAGTAAAAATACCCCGAGATTCGCCAAATAAATTCAGTTTGCGATAGGGAGTAATATGAATGAAAAGCAAGTTAGCAATGAGCTTATTAAAAAGACAGTTAGAGAATTATTAAATATTGTAAGCCAGGCAGATTCCATCCCAAGAGATGGATCTAATATCCAGAAGTTCTTTATAGAGCACAGAAAAAAAATCATCAGTCTGGGAAAGTTAGTAGCAGTTCTTTCTGGAATACACCCAAAGTCCGTAGAAGCAGATAAGTTTGGGAAGTTGTTAGTGTTTAATTATATATGCAGTAATGTAGTAAGTATCCAATTCCTGCACCAAATACTACTAGAAGATACATTACAAGCGCATACACTTAAAACACAAATTACAAATTTTGTAAGAGAACTAACAGAATACGCGGAGAAAGACAAAAAAGACTTCCTGGCATGTATGCAGCAAGAGAGATTAGTCTTAAACCAACTGAAATCCTCTGAAAAAGCAGCAAAAGAGAATCCAGAATGGCTTAAAGAAATAGAATTATTAGAGAAAAGAATAAATAATATTTCAATACTTATAAAGGATAAGAAACCAAAACCAGAACTACCACAGGAATCAGTTAAAACCAAGAAATCTAAACAAAATACTGAATTTCTGGAGATTCTTGATACGCTCACTCACTTTACTTGTTTTTGTGGGTTTAAGAAAAGAAAAAGGCCTTCTAAATACGATATTCTACGGGAAATAACGATCAGTATGCTAGAAACAGAAAAAATCAGTTATATTTCTGTTATGCCCTTTTTATGCACGGACCATCAGAAATTAAATATTGAAATGTGCTCACCACAAGCAATGGATATAAATTTAATTAAGTGTGCAAAGCAGTATATACAGTATATACTTAAAACATTCATAAAGTACATACATAATGATGAAGCAATAAGAATTATTAAAGAAATCATTAAAGAGTATAAAGAGACTAAAATATATAACAGAATAAAACTAGCAAATGCATTTTTAATGATATCCCCAGCACGGCAAGAATCCATCCATAAAGCCATGAACTCTCTTACTGTGAGTGTATTCTACATAAACGTAATTAGGGTTATTTACTTATTAATACACGACTTTGCATATAATAGGATATGTGAGTATAAGGATATATCCGGGTGGACTTACATAAAATATTCCTTAGGGAGAATAAAGAGTACCATAAGTTACTCATACACAAGTACAGCAAGTCACCTAATAATGTAAATCACTTACCAATGAAGATACCAACAAAGAAGATGCACCGGATGACTGAATTATCCCTGGAGTTCATGAACATACACGATTTAAAGAGGAGTAAGGTATTTAATAATAAGTTTTATCTTGTTAGGACAATCTCTGATGGAATATTCAGTAAATCAGGCGTACTCTCTGATTATTTTGAGAAGTACCATGGCTTACGTATATCTATACTTCAATCCTTACTTATAATTCTTACAAAGAGGATCACTCAGGCAGTAAAGCATAAAATACATAAAAATGCAAATAACCCGAATATGTCTAATATTGAGTCAAAGTATCTTACATCTATAATAAGAAGAAGGATACTCAGTACACTGCACATATTCACGATTAGGTTCTTAAAGACAAACAGCATAAAACCACGTAGTTTTATATATACAATACCACCGTATGAATTTGACAGGCGGGGTCTCCCATTGCATTATAATGAGCTGTGCATGTTCTTTTTATTGGCAATGCCTGTGTTTGCATACTCTGCGGATGTCATAAAGTAATCCATCTAATAAACCATCAGCTTACAGCTTCTTATAGGGAGTATTATAAATTAAGTAGGGATACCGTTATGTTTAATATATGAAAATTATGATTGTGTAAATTTTTATATTAACGGATTTTACTGTTAAACCTGAAAATAAACTGTTTTTATTTTCGAATATTTTATGGAATAACGGTATTTTTATGATAAAAATAAGAATACGTGCAGTCCCTGAATGAAATTTATTTATTATCATAGCAGTTAAAACCTGGCAGTTTTTATACCGCATGGACAGGTTGTGTGATTAAACAGTGTTGTATAGCTTCTGAATCTGTTTGTTATACAGTGATACGATCTTCTTCCTTACTTTCTTGCCAGAGGGTGTGAGAAGGCCATTATCAATTGTAAAGAGAGACTCAGTGAAGATGAACTTTCTTGGTATTTCTATCTTGATGATTTCTTCGGCTTGTACCAGTCTCTGGCCTTCTTTTTGGATTGCTTGCGTTATGGCGTCTTCTACCTCTGGGGAAGTCTTTGTGACTATGCATATACCAATTACATAATCGCATGAACTGTCTCCTACAATTGTGATGTCTTCTAGTCCTTTGATTTTGGCTGCAAGAAGTAGATTTTCAATCTTTTCTGGGATAATGTACTCTCCTTGTGATAATTTGAAGATCTCCTTGCTCCTGCCAATTATTCTTAGATTTCCATCTGGGGTTATTTCTCCTATATCCCCTGTTTTAATCCACTTCTTCCCATCGGTGTTGTAAATGGCACTGTCTGGTCCATCTGCAGTAGGTCCGTGTGGGTGGTAAAAGCAGTCTCTGGTTAGTTTCTTCTGGTTGTAATACCCATAGAAAACAGAATGGCCTTGCATGAGTATTTCTCCTTGGTTCTTTGATGCAAATGCATTGGTTTCTGGACGAGATACTAGCTTGATCTTATTACACGGGAATGGAATGCCAATAACACCCTTCTCATTTGTGAATATATCAGTTGTAATGTTTCCTGCAGCTGTCTCTGTCTGGCCATATCCCTCAAACATAGGACAGTTGAAGATTGCTTCAAAGAAGTACGCAGTCTGTGGAAGAAGAGGGGCTGATCCAGATAGCATGCATATGATGCTATTTCCGAAAGTTTGCCTAATTGCTTTAAATACTGTTCTTCCAAACAGTTCTCTAAGTATCCTGTTCTTGCATAGCATGCAAATAAGCAGAGAGTACTTAAAGATAAAGTTTGCAATTCTTCCCTTCTCTTTGGCTTTCATCTCAATTGCAGTCTTGACTGAGTTAAACACTCTTGGTACACCTACAAAATAATGCGGGCGTGCAATACTAAAGTCCTTCTGTAGCTGTTTTGGGTTTCCTCTGTAGTATACAATCTCACACTTGCTCAGAAGTAGAGCGGACTCTACTATCCGTTCAAAGACATGTGCAAGTGGAAGGAATGAAAGGTATCTCCTGCCTGGTTTAATGTCAAAGAATACGCCCCGCTTTGACAGAAGAATAAATGACCCCACTACAGACAGGAAATTTCTATGCATAAGCATTGCCCCTTTAGGAGCGCCCGTAGTCCCACTTGTATAGCAAATAGTAGCAACTGTTTCTGGCGCTGGGGCAGTGAATCTCTTCTTGGCTTCTTTATGCTTTGCCTGGTCTCTTTCTGCCTTTTTAAACCTTGTTGGCGATGCCTTCTCACTTTCATCTGCATCTGATACTTTCTCGCCTACTTGACTTACCTTTTTACACTTGCCTACAATATCCCAGAAATAGTACATTTCTACTCCTAACTTACTCAGTGTGTCATGTGCACTATCTGATATCTTGGGATCCATAAGTACAAATATCTTTGGAAGTGCGACATCTGATGCTGACTCGCTCTGTAAACTGCTCGCTATCTTCTCCGCATTCTTCTCTGAAATGAATATCATGTTCATTTTGGTTTCATTTATTATGTGCTTTATAGCACTCCACCCAAAAGATGCATATATTGGACAGTTCATTCCGCTATAGAAATATGTTGCATGCTCTGTAATAATCCACTCTGGCCTGTTCTCTGAACATATCCCAACAATTGGCATAGATCCGCTTGCTGTGTCTGAGTGAGAAAGAATAAATAATGCAACTTCTTCTGAATACATAAATGTCTCTTTGTACGTTATGTACTCTATCTTGTCTTTTTCATTTATTCTCCCAAGGAAATTCAAGTCTCCATGGCTCTTTGCAGTGTCCTGAAGTGCTTGGTGCAGTGTTTTGCAATCTTCTGCACTTTCTATTAATTGCCCTTTGTTTTCGTTTATTGCATAAGAATGGGTATACACCACAGATTCCTCTTCTATTTCAGTAGTCTCTGACTCCTTTATCATCCTATAATGCATTATAGACATAAAGCACAGAAATAAAAATAATTAATATTTTGATTCTACTTACAATTGGAAATTCTTCAAAATCTTAATATAGCTGTAATTAACGTATTTTTATGCAATTACACAGATAATACATTAAAATTGTCACTGCTGTATAATTAAGCTTGCTTTTGTGCCATATACTATAATAAGAATGTGCTTATACCATATTTCATTAAGTAATTATTATCTAACTGTATGTAATTGTACTATTATATCTTATAGTATACTGCCGTATACTTCATGTAGTAATTAAACCTCTTTTGTGCAATTTGGAATATAGCTAGTTGTACTGTATAATATACTGTCCACATCCAATATATACTCATTCTACAGTAAACCAGTGAATAACCTAAAATTACGTTGTATTTTACTGTTTTATATAGATATCCATTCATAAATTACTACATATTCACTGTTTTGGGTTATTTTGAGCTATTTCTGGGCGTATGTTGTATATTTAGTTAGTCATGCAGTTAAATAAATAAGACTAAATTCTGTTTTATCTTCTGATAATTCGCTGGTCTGGATCGAATTGTTTGCAGGGGTATAAAAATAAAAATTATTTATGGTTTACAGATCTTCTAAAAATAAAAATGTGATACCTGGCAGTTACAGATAAAAATACAATTTATAGCATAAATAACAGTCATTCATGAATTGTGTGCATAGTAAAAATTAAATAACTGGTTTGTGGCCATCTCTAACCGATGGATTGGTTCTGCTGCACTTTACAGAAACTTGTTTCATAACGCACTAATCATACAGCAGGACAGATTAAAAACCCTCCAGCAGAAAACTGTATGAACAAGAACAACAGAGTAGTGGTGGGAGTCAGAATAAAACCACCTGCTTCAGCAGATGCACCGTGTCCACATGCAGACAAAGTATTCTCTGATCATACGAATCAGCAAATATATACTGAGTTCATTCGAAAGCACACGGATAAAATATCCTTTTCAACGATCTTTACATATGGAAGAACGGGAAGTGGTAAAACATACACAATGTTTGGAAGTAAAAATGCACCGGGAATTGCTGAGTTAATTCTTGAGGACAGGCTGAACTCGCATGGCGTGCTGTCTGTCAGATGCATTGAAATATACAATGAAGTTGCAACTGACTTGTTCACTGGTACGCCAATACGAATTGTTCAAGAGAGTAACACAACGCAAGTAATAAGCAAAACACAAGTAACGGTTAAAACAAGAGAGGACATTACAAGTCTTTTGAAAACCATTATGAAGAAAAGGAAGACATCAGAAACAGAGCATAACCAAGCCAGCAGTAGAAGTCACACGGTCATTGAGGTGAATTCTATTAATCTGGCGATAAATTTAGTTGACTTGGCAGGGAATGAGAAAATGGCCGAGGATTTAGACAGAAGAAAAGAAGGATTAATGATAAACAAGAGTCTGCTCACTCTAGGCAAAGTAATAGACCAGCTGCATACAGACACTCACCACGTATCATACAGAGAGTCAAAGCTAACTCGGCTGTTGCAGAATACGCTCAGCTATGGAACTATTATATGCATATGCACAGTAATGGATCTGTCTGACCATCTTACAATAAAATTCGCCGAGAGGCTTAAAAGAATCAAAACATCTGAGAGGCCTGTTATTAAATCAAAGGACGAGATTATTAATGATCTTAACCAAAAGATAGCGTATTTAACAGAACAGTTGCAGAGCATAAAAACAAAGAGCCATCTGGTGGAATGTGCTGCTGCTATAAACAGCCCGGCTGTAGTACACACAGGAACTGTTATTGAAGAGTGCACTAACCCTACAGAACCACAATCAGAACTCGCTACACTAACTCCTACAACAGCAGAAGAAGTAATTGAGGGCGTGGTAAAACCAGAAAATGGTGCCCAATCTGCAAATCTTTATGAAATGATTTATAAATACCTAAAGGTGGGCGCAGAGAAAGAAATGACAAATACGCTGACTCCTCAGGAGATGGATGCAGTCCACGTTCAAGTAACAAAACAAAAAAAGGGACTGTTGGATGGAACACCCTTTCGCAGTATTTTCAAAATGTCTCGAATTGAAATGCGATCTAGCCGCAGCCGTAGTAAGTCTTCAAAGAAGTCAAGCGGTTTCTCTGGTAATATACATAGTCCAAATTAATCTAAAAAATTATTCTTGATTATTTTATTTTCTAGTACTCTGTTTATATATTCTTTAGTAATATGCATAAATATACAACAAAAGTTGCAATAGATTTCAAATACATCTGTAATAACTTGAAGTAGCTAGGATTCTACTGTACACTCACCAATCAAAAATGCTTATCTATACAACTGCACTGGGTACCTTCTTAATTAGCAGATTTATTAATAAATTTAGGAATTTCTATATTTAAGGAAATATTTAAACTCTTGCAGAATGAATATAAATAAAAGTACATCTAATTCAGACTTACCTTCAGAATAAATATTTCTCTTTATGCACTTTATAATACCTTTATTACTGGAATTTTGGGTTAATTTGTGTTATACACTTCTGATGCCTTTCTTAGTGTTTGGATTAGCACAGCTGTATCCACTGGGTTTAATTAAATATTTTAAATTTCTTGGTTTTATTTCAATAGGCTTCACTTATTTTTCTTGGTGTGAAGGGATTTTTTATGTACAATTGTAATTATAGCAGAAAATAAATATCATATAAAATAGATTTATTCTGGGACAGTTATAGTTTTTTGGTGGTGGTTCTCTTCACAAACACATCAGGAGCTAAGATAGAATAGTCTCCATCACTCATAGTCTCATTTGCAATACCACAGGATTCTATAAATTCCTTTGTTCCTTTAATCTCTCTGCTGCTAAATATGCTGTCGTGCATGTCTTTGTTCTCTACAATATGGTCTTCTGTATCCTCTGTCTTATTTATTGATAGATTACCTATATCTTCTGATAAATTAGACAAATCGTTGTTCTCCTCATCTATCTTACTGATCATATCCACAGACACTTTTTTAATGCTAATTGGGGTGCCCGCAGAAGCTCCCTGCCTTTTCTTTATAATAGGTGTTTTCTTTGGGGTCCACTCTTTTTTCAGGCCTTCTTCTACCTCTTTCTTATGCATCTCCAGCCTCTGTCCAATTCTTTCAAGTGAATATCCTGGCTTTAGAGGGGGTTTCACATGGCCAGATGGGCATATTGTGCTTGCAAAGGATCTGATAGGCCCGCGAACAACTACATTTGCACCAGATGGCTTAAGCATAACCACGCTAGGCTTGGGGGATAGCTCCACAGTAGACAGCACACTTGCAGGCATTTTTTCTTCAGTGGTTACCACTTCTTCTTTCTTCTGAGGTGCCTGCTTGCTCTTCTCTGGAGCACTGCTGGTCAGCTCTGCCAAAGCCTTTCTATCCATTTCTGATATCATGGAAACCCCTTCTTTTGCACGTGCTCGAATCTCTGGGTTAATATCCTCCACTAAAAGCTCTAGAACTTCCACTAGCTCCTTCATTCTTTCTTTTTCTATCCCGCGTATTGCCATTTCAAGAAGCCCCTGCCTGACTGTTTTGCTGTTGCTGGTTATGTTTAAACGTATGTGCTTCGCTATACTCTTCAGTGCACACTTCTGTGCAATTGTCCCAGCAGTGGACACGGCCCGCATAAATATCACCTTATTTGTCTTTGCAAGAGCACTTAGTAAAGAAGGAAATATATGTGGTAGATGGTCCTTTAACTCATCACCCAATATCTCAGAAAGATTGCTCATTGCTTTACACCCACTCCCACTTAACTTACTCCGGTTGCTCTGTATACCTATCCCTATTAATGGTATTATTGATATTGCAGCCCTTGCTTCTCCCTCGGTTTTTACTTCGCCTACTCTCTCCAATACAACATCTATCTTGTTCCAGTTGTTCTCAGACTCTTTCTCTCTTTGTAAGGCAATTCCTCTTTTTACAGTCTCTTCTATGCTCAGTAGAGTCTTCATGCAATTAAAAAAATATTTCCAAGTAAACGATTTACTACAAAACTTTTATTAAATACATCTAAGGCCGCGTCCCAACAGTAAAATTAAACCAGCATGTGTGTGGGTATGGTTATTTCCTCCTAATTTCCCACTCTATACCCATCAACACAAGAACTATATCTTACTGCTTTGTAATCTTTTGGAGTAACTTAGGTGAATACTTTCGAATATTGAATTTTGTAAATATCTTTGAAGAGAGGCCTACATCGCATAGAATTGCATTCCCCGTGAACTCTGCTGGGTCACGAACGGGCACACCGAAAAATATCACTTCTTTATTTGGTGTTTCAATATTTTTATAATCACCCAAGAAAATAACTCTTTCTGCATTTTTTGTCATTTCTTCTTTAGCATCGGTGTCTGCTATTATTACAATTGTTTGATCCTTTCTTTTATTTGAGACTACTCCTCCATTTGACTCATAGTAGAATAGTTCTCTGGTCAGTCGCTGCGTTCGAACCGATGGAATAATTGTCACATCTGTTCCGTACAGCATGGAAAGCCTTCCCAATACAACTGCTATTTCTGAGAATATGCCGGCGCCGGTGTATACAACAAACTTCTTATCCATAAATTTGAAAATGTTCACAAACAAGTGCAGGACACCTCTTGCACCAGAGTAAATAACTTCACCTCTGGATGGACCATAAAGAGTGTCGGATAAGTCGATCACTTTATTATATAAATCCATTGATATATGAGTAGCAGTGACTGTTTTCTTCACCTCTTCTTTTTGCTTTGGCTTTTGCTGTGCTTGTCTTATTATCTCACTATCTTCGTCTGCTAGTATTTCCACCTCATCTATTTCGGATAGCTCAATTTCTTTCAAATGACCAGATACTTCCACAACCATTTTGTTCAGTTCTGGTGTGATCTGCTGCAGCCTTCCTATATGCGTTGCCTTGTTTGTTTTTATTATAAGGCATGCTCCTATATATTCTTCCATGGAGTATAAAAAAATTAGTCAATTAAAATATGGATAATAATAGATTACCACAGGAGGCACTGGAAAGAGTAACACAAAGGACAGATGAATTAATGGAAAGATATAACAAGTATGTAGACTCTCTTAAAGACTCATACCACACAGCGGAGAAGGAAAGAAAAGAGTTCTTGTCATCTGGCATTGAATTTACAAAGCTTATAGAGAATGAAGAGACAGAAAAAAGAACTCTAGAAGTGCACGAATCATATAAAAAGCTATTAGATGACAGAACAGCTCTCTCCAAGGCATTCTTAGCCGAAATAAATTCAGTTCTTTCTTTAGTCGACCAAGAGCTGCTTTTGCTTGAGTCGCCATATGAGCCAAAGTTTGGAATTCAGACACAGAATCCGAGAATATTCAAGACCAATAAAAATAATCCAAAAAGAATAAAAAGTGGCGATGACAAAGAGGCATTCCCAAGCGATGGCAAGTACTGCATATGCAATGGCCCTGCATACGGCGACATGATAGCATGCGATGCATTTCACATGGAAATTCCATGGTTTCATATGGAGTGCATGGGACTATTCAGTGCGCCCAGAGGAAATTGGCTTTGCCCAAAGTGCCAGCCACCCGAATAATTCAGTCATAGAAATGTACATAAACTTACATTATAGTTTTGTGAAGATATTATATAGAATAAATGCTCTAATACTGATTCGTTCCATTGGATCAAACACTCTTCCTCGTACTAGAATTAGCGTTATTTGCTAAAAACCAGAACTTATGCTGTAACTGTGTTGGTACAATTAAATTACTTATTAAATCATTTACTAATAAGTTTTTGTTAATTTTGGTAGTCTTGTAGGTTTTAATTAAGCTTTTATCGTTTATTTAGCTGCATTATCAAATTATAGTACTTCGCCATTGTTTCTAGGGTCTAGTTAGTTTAGCATTAATATACATAGATTAGATATTGGACTGGATTGGTTTCTGTCATATGATAAGCCATGCTTAATGCAAGAGTCTCTCATCCAACTTATACCAAGCCGCATAGAGCTGTTATATAGAAAATTAAAGCTATATAAGGCGAGAATAATAAAAAATTTGAATAAGTTCATTTATTCTATCTGGCGATTAATTCCTGTTTGTATGGGCATATTATAAGCATTAGCTGTGTGATATAGAGTGTATAGTAATCCATACATGCCAAACACATCGTTATGCCATCATTTGATTTTTTGATTTCTTTTGTATCCTTGATTTTATTTACTATACTTGTAACTTGGTTTGCCAATCCGTTTTTAGTTAGACATTGCAACAAATGTATTTTTTCCTGTTTAGACATGTTTTCTTCTATTAGCTCACCTATGTAATGTGAATTATTATATATATTTTTCATCTGTCTATACGCTATTATAAATTTAATAAGTGCAGAGTCTGCACGCTTAACTGACAGATATACAAGTATATCTGAAATAGGTTTTAGCTTCTTTATGGATTTATCTAGCATTTCATCAGTCTTCAATGACTCCCGATCTAGAATAGAAGTTATATCAGGTCTTCCGTCAATATATGTCTCAAGAATAAAACCTGCAATATAATTTACCTGACGTACTCACGAGGAGTAACACCACCGCCGCCCTGCCGCGTAGCCAAGAGAGAGAAGAGAGTGAAAGAGAAAAGCTCTTTATTGTCTTTAGGAAGCGACCCAAGCCTGCGCGTACATGGAGTCCCGGGCGCAGTTGTGTTAGGCCTGGTGCTGAAGTTAGGCCTGGCGCTGAAGTTAAGCCGTCGATGCTTCCCTGAGTCTCCCCCTTAAATTGGGGGAAGAGCTCCAGTTAAATAGTCAGAAGTTGATATACTGATTCATAGACCCCGCCAAAGCAAAGGCTGGATCATCGCACGAGCTGGTGCGTAAACAGATCGCCCTCGGGGGCTCACGTTTGAGTGGTGGTGTCACCACAGAAACTATATAGAAGCCTTTAAATTTCAATAAAGACCATATTTCAAGTTATGAAAAATAGAAGTTTTCATACATAAAAAGAAGAAATAGCTTCTTGGTATAAATAACTAGACTTAAAAGAGATCTTTATGTTTAAAATAATTCTTTTGTATTTTATTTATGACAGTATATATATCCATGTAATTATTAATACATGCATGATATATTTTATAGGGAATAATCTTACATCAAATTAGTGTTGCAAGAGTACTGCCATAGTATGCGTCTATAAATGCACTTGCTCCTCCTTCTAGGGATGCTTCTTCTGAGAATTTAAACTGAATCTGTATCTTGTTTAATTCTTCTATTTCCAAACTACCTAGTATCATTAAAATGTACTTAATTACTTGGTCTTCGAATTCCTTTGTGTTACAACCGGATCCAGTTAATCCAAATATGTATGTGTTCTGGTTTTTGTTGTTTCTTCTGTGTTTACATATAATGCCTGCTAAAAGCCCCGCACATATTCTGTACTTTCTGTCAACTGTATTCTCAATGGTGTTATTAGTCAAGTTAATTATTTGATCTAAAGTAGACTTTTCTACAAAAGTTTCGCTAAATAACTTTGTTATGTTTTCAGCCACTTGCTCTGGTGATAGCTCACTATTCTTTATTTTAAAGTCTCTTATCATAATTAACTCTACTTCACTATTGCCTAGCATCTCCTGTACTTTCTTGGTAAAGAATAGGTTTATGTACTTTTCAAAGTATAATCCTCCTACCATCTTTTCTAAGAGATAAACTCCTTTCTCTTTCTCTGCCTGCTCATCTAACTCCTTATCAATGTCATCCATAAGATCGTGAACCCCCTTAAAATCAAATCCTCCACACTCTGTGTTCAGAATTACACGCACATTTTCAGGTGTGCCGTTTGTTATAATTTGCATATTCTCTAAATATGAGCAATTGACACCGGTTCCTAAAACAAACCCACCAATTGCATCTTCATATGTTGAACATGCCCAGGCGCCTAGCGCAGTTGTATCATTCACAATTACATTGAACTTGACATGCTCTGCAGTCAGCTTGTTTAACTCGTCTAGTGGTATCTCAGATATGCTCTCGTCCGTGGTGACTCTTTTCCAATTGAACTTTTTTGTAAACCGTGTTACTTTTATTTTATCCCCATGTCTCTCAAGCGGATATGAAAAAGTAAGTGCTCCATGCATTGGTTTGTTATGCACACCGCCAATTTTCTCTCTCCTCTCTGCAACAAATGCATTTATTTTCTCTGCCATAAATTCATAGATGGTTCTCTCACCTATATCCTCTTTTGTTTTTGGTATTATGTGTTTAACTGTATCCTTTGTTACTTTGTATAGTTTTCTGCTGTTTGCATCCTTTTTGTATATATCCAGCTTTAGACTAGTGCCACCTAAGTCTGCACACAGAATTTCTGCACCATTACTGTCCTCACATGAATTAATAGCAGTCACTCCAGTTGGCTGCATAATAAATTGCGACTGCATAAGAGAAGACTTTGTATCTCTTACGCTCTCTTCAAGATGTTCCATTAGATCTGTCGCTAAGTTCTTTAGTATTTCTATTTTATCTTCTTTTGTTGATGCACTGCAGCTGCATATGCCCCCCATTATTACCCCATAAATTATTGCTATTAATTTACTCCTGAACTTCATTGTTGAATAACCAAAAAAACTTCATTTTATACTTTTCTAATTATACTCATTCATTACATTGAATAATTAATAAACATTGAGGTTAAATAGTATCTCCTTTATTTAAGCAAAACATTATAAAAATGAAGAGTTTTTAATTAAAATTAAAAGGGTACTTAAGAATATTTATGTTTATGGCCAAGTTCCAAATATATATTATATTATGCTGGTGGCTATAAAAAAATATTCTTAATTTACTAGCCCAAATAGAATACTATTTGTACCTATAGTACAATTAACTAAACATTAGAGTACTAGAAGTAATTATAATAATTTACTAGGAGAATATGTGAAAATGCATGAATTATGAATTGTATACAGAAAATACTATTAAGTGCTCCTTTATTTCAAACAGATGCAGAATATCACTATTAGCCAAGTAAAAACAACATACAGAATGAAATGAGTAATAATATAACAAATAGAACACTTCTAAATTTTTAGGTTAGACTAGTTCCATATTTGCTCTTGGCACATTTCTTTAAGCATATTTCTGTTTTCTTTAAATTCACTAAAAATACACTCTTCTGTTTCTTCCGCTTGGCTGTACATATAAAGAGGTGTTAGGTGTAAAACAGTCCTTTCAACCTCATTTTCTTTTATGTATTGTATTAGATCGTCTTTTATCTTATAGAATATAGAAAGAACTCGTTCTGAGTGTGCTTGTAAAAACTGTTTAAGAACCCAGTGGCTCTGCACTCTTTTTTCTTTTATAGCTGAAATTACTGCCTCCTCTGCAGTAGACATGTCTTCCCTCTCAAAGTACTCAAGAAGTGTACTGTCTGCAGGTAAATACTGCATACACTTCATTAGTGAGCAGAAATGAAGAATGTACCTTGGTGAAATGTTTCCCTCAAGCACTGCTATATTTAAAAGTGCCAATGAAAGAGTTTTTTCCTGGGCGGTAAATGCACTTCCTGTGCACATGTGCTCTAACTTTCTCAACAGGTCCATTATCTCATGTGGCTTTACCTCATTATACTTTCTTCTCAGAAGAGCACTAAGTTTTTGTGCTGATTTTAAATCAATTGTTGTAAATCTGAGAATGTCCTTACTCCACATGCTGTAAGGCGTATTTGGTGTTGAAAAGTCTGTATACACCATGCTATTAATTTTCTGTGGCTCTACTCTGTCTATCTGCGTGGCCCGAAATAAAAGAATATCATATATGGTGTGCATAATACTTGGGTTGTTCTTAGCTATCTCTTCTAGCCTTTCTGAATCTATTGCTCCTAAAAGGTCTGCTAGCTCTGCATGTGAAATAAATGGCGCTTGGCTCACTACTTCTATTATCATTTCGTCTGTGCACTTGGAAGTAAGCTGAGACCTTTTCTGCTGGCCGCTTTCTCCGTATTCGGTAGTCATATAAAAAAATAATTCCGATTGGTTTCTTTATCTCTTTCTATCTTATTGGATATATAAACATTTAAGAAAAGAATTTTGTTCCCCTGTAATGAGTGAAGTAATAGTTACATTCAGAAATATGAAAGACAAGGAGTTTGTTACTCCTCCAATGCAGGTTGCAGAGGATTTCTCACCTGCGCAGATGGAGCAGTTTCTGAACAGTTTTTTAAATCAGGACAAGTCCTATGCCTTCTTCTACAATGGAGAGCAGATTCAGAAAATTCCAGAGTGTGAGAAGGAGCAGACTCTTGAGATTGAGTTCATTGCAGTAACAAAGATTATGTCTGAGACAGCCAAAATAGATGTGGACAGTGCAATTACTTCAATTTCAATACGAAGAAATCCTGAGATTCATATAGACACTGTTATAGTGTGCACTACCACTGGAGAAACCAAAGAGTATTCACTTGGTCCTGGAATTGAACTAATAAAGGAGTTTAACTCATTCAAGCCAATTAGGGCAGTTACCTCAACAGAAGAGGGTATATATGTTCTTACCACTACAAATAAAGTGGTTGACATTGAGAAAGGAGAAATTGTATTTGAGGCAGACCAGCCAATAAGAACAATTGGAAACTGCAAGAACTATTTGGCAATTGGCCTGGCTTCAGATGAAATTGTTATTTTAACAGACAACAAAGAATCCACACGGTTTAAAGCAGGAGGAGAAATTGGTAAAACTATTTTCAGAGTGATAAATGACGAGATTGTTCTAATAGTTGCTATTATAGAAGGAATAATTGAGATATACAAGGGAAGCGACTGGAAGAAGACTGAGTATAGTCTTCCTACACCAATCACTGCTGCTGGGTATGAGGGAGAGAAGATATATGCTGGCGGGCTAGGTGGTGGCATATACATATGCAGTATGAGTGGGCTGGAAAAGCAGTATCAGTCAGATGTTGAGTTTATTTCCAGAATTGAGTGCGGAACTACATTCTTTGGGTATTCAAACAAAAACAGCATTCTTTTGCGAGACAAAGAAAATTACACTGGCACTCATAAGATAGAACTTAGCACGCCTGTTGCAGATATTAAAATATCTGGAAAAAGACTGTTTGTTGCCGAGGGAAGCAGTTTAAAAATGTTCAATATATTTGATGAATAAAAAAATAAGCATATAGTGTATAGGGTTGTCTACTTCTTTTCATTAGGAAATAAGCTATATTAGGCTTAGTAACTGGTTATGTTGCAGCAATTCTACTTCAATATAATTTAAGTTATATCAGATTCTATTAAAAGCAGTTTTATAAACAATTAATGCGTACACTAAATACTGAAAATGCTTGCTTCCATTAATAAATTTCAAAGTGTTTCATTAAACATACATTTTTGTCTATATATTGTTGGTTTCTATTATATGATGAGCCATGTCTAACATGAGAGCCTCACGCCCACAATCGCGAAGTCTTTTATATAGCTTCAATTTCCAATTATACAGCTATATAAGATGAGAATAATAAAAAATTTGAGTGAGTCTTAATAATGTACATGGAAGTAACCAAGTTATATTAAACAGTTTATTGTTTTTCTTATACATGTTCTGTGCTTAATAATTGAATTAACTCTTTTCTTATCTCTGTGGTAATAATTATGTTCTAATCCAGTTTTAATCATATTTCTCTTTATATATTTATACTGTGCTGTATACAATGTAAATGTGTTTTTATTTATTTTATAGATTTATAAAGTCTTCTACCTATAAAATTAAAACATTCTACATGTGTGTACATATTTATTTTTATTAAAACCCATTGAAATAAAAATGAAAGAATAAAAATCAGCCAAATCAGGTTATTGCTGTTGTAACACGTAGAAACCCATTTTATTTGTGTATAACCTGAAAAACATCTGGAATAACTTATAGCTGCATTATTAGGACAGTTTAATGAAAATCTGTAAATATCACATAAGTTAACTAAATATATAGAAATATATGACAACTAAAACACAAGTCACTTTATTATAACTGTAGGTATTAAATATAGCAAAAATTCTGTTTAATGTGTACAAATCTGCATGCAACACGCTAATTAGTGGGTGTCTGGTTTTGTGACATGAAAAAGTTTTTAATACCCTTTTTATGTATACTGTACAGCGAACTCCAGTCTTCTATCACATTGAAATCTGCCTGTGGTTTGTCAAAATCAATAGTCACTGATTCCATTGCCCTGCTAATTAATCTCTTCTGCATTTCTAGCTTGGAGTATACACTCCTAAACTTGGCGGCCCCTGAGACTGTTTAACATACTTTAAGAAAAACACAAGAGAGTACATTCTTAAGACAGATTCATCAACATAAGGGAACGCTTTCATCTGCTCTTCTATGTATTTTTTATATGTTTCTTCTAGTTCGCTTGGTATATCTACTCCAACAGATTCTATTATTTCTGTGTATTCTTTGTATAACTTCGGGTTATATTCATAAGTCATTATTCTCTCCACAAAATTTTCGATGTTTTATTTTTCATATAAAAGACATTCTGCCGGTTAGACTAAGAATTTATTTTTTCGTTTAATTGAATATTATTGTATTATAATCAGTGCAAGGCTTATTACATATTTATTTCAATTAAACGGCTAATAACTAAATACAATATACAATATACATAGTACAAAGAGTATAATGCATTGAATTTCGGGTTATATAGAAGATTAAATACCCTATGCAGAGCAATATATATATTAGTACAACACAGTATTTTTATTAGCTTTTTATAGAGACAACTTTATTCTCCGTGGTTTTTTCCTTTTATCTTTAGAGGATTCCAAGCATTCATTTCTTTTGAGAAAGCAACAGTTTTATCTGGTAATAGTGCAACTACATATAGACCCAGCTGGGCGGTAAGGAATGCAATAAAAAAGAATGACTCAAAGACGGTTCTTCCTGTAAATATAAACCACATCAGAGACTGCCCTAAAAACCAAAAGTTGACTACCCATCCAATTACTGCGCATATTCCTTGTAGAAGAACAATAATTGCTAAAGTTTCAAGATGAGATGTTCCAAGTGTATATGCAATGTATATAAATGGAAGAAGAAGATCTGCACCAACAAAAACTGCAGAAACCCCAGGAATACTCTTTCTGGAGAAAAGGAAGGCTGCCTCCCAGTTAATAGAGGAGAGCGCGTGGTTATGCCCTGTTATGAAAAACATAAGTTTTATCAAGAAAAACAGGAAGGCCCCTTTTTGTGTGCTGTGCATAGGTGTATCAACGCACTTTTTTACAATAGGGCAGAACAGATATAAAAATGATAGGGCAGATAATGGAGTGTAAAGTAGCATAGGAAGTGTTTGAGGAGAGAAAAACAGCGAGAAGGATCTACTCATGTGGGGGACTCCTAAAGAAAAGAACTGGCTTACTGCAAACAAAACCACTCCAGTGCTTCTTAAGTCATATTTCTTAGCTGGTATTCGCATCCAGTGTGCTAAAAAGAATGCGAATGAGAAGAAAAGAAGAGTTTTCTCAATTGATGGTATATGGTATCGGCTGGGAAGCTTTTTAATCCATCTAATATATACCACCCTATCTACGGAGTGTAATGGGAATTCGCCAGCAACAAAGCTTACAACTGGAAGAACTATTAGAGATAAGATTGAGTAGAATGGATAGCAGAGAACCATGCACATTATTAAAGAGATCACATCTTCATGAATAACCGAATGTACAGAATGTGCTACCATGGATATCGAAAACACTGAGAGAGCAAAGGATAGCTTGAATACTCTTAGCTGCACAAGAGCCAACTGAATCATTATCCCAGCTAATAGAAACAAAACACCTACTGCCATTCCAAAAATAGAGGATTTATGGAATATTTTATGAATCTCGTCACCAAAGTGTTCATTTAGTAAAGAGCCTGATAGCTTGGGAGTGAGTTTTAGGTATTCTGTGCCATAAAAGTGAGAAAGAGTAGTTTTCTGTCTTTCTAGCTCTAAAAAGTAAATGTCTTCTCTCTCTTCGGGAATAATAGGAATCAGTCTGCCAGACGAATTGTATGGAACTGCAAGGCCCATAAAAGCACATAGCGTTGGTAAAATATCGTTTTGTGAGATTATATTCACTGGCTCAATGATATTTAGCTCACCTAGTTCATCTTTATATTTCTTGTGTGTATTGCTTTCTTGTGTAATTTGTCTTTTGTCTACCTTCTGTTCTGTAGTTATTTCGGGCGCTATGTCCTTTGCTATAAATAAAAAGGATGCAGCTTTTTCGGGAAGAGATGTACCTCCATGCGATCCATCATTATTTACTCCATGGTCTGAAAGCACTGCAATGAATGACTCATCAGTCATGTTGCTGTATAGCTGATGAATAAATTGGTCTATCATTTGCAAGGCTGTTTTAACCTGTATGCTGTTGGTTCCGTATACATGTCCATATGAATCTGGTGATATTAAATGAATAATTACGTAATCTTTTGACTCATGTGCTTCTAACGCCTGCTTGATTAGCCTTTCTTCTTCACTGAATGGAATGAGCCCATATGGATGGTATATCTCCCCAATGTTCTTTTTAATTTCTGGGAATAAATATGTCCATGTTTCATCGCCATAGAATAAGAATGATCTGTCATTCATTTGCAGCTGTCTTATAAAATTGTCTACTCCACTACTCTGTTTGTGAAATGATCGTTGTGCAGAAAGAAGAGTGGTTGGTATTCCCGAAAATGTTGAGAGAATCCTCATTGCTGTGCCAGTTGGTAGATCTGCCATGCTCACTGCTTTAAATACATCCTTTTTGGGAATTCTTTCTAGAACAGAGAAATTATCATGATACAAAGTCTTTTTGTCTTCTTTTACTTCATGAATTGCATCTGCTCTTACTCCATCCATGACTAGAATAACTCCTTTTTTGTATATGGCAGGTGCTTTCTTTTCATTGCTCTCTGGTATTGGCGACCTTTCCATAAAAAGACTCTTTGAGTATATCACTAAACCGAGTGTTGATATAACAAGTACTGCTATTGGCCCAATTATATTATAAAGTGCTTTTGTGCACTGGTGCATGCGCATTAAACTCCTTTTTTTTGAATTATTTAATGGGATTAATATGCCTTATATTAGACCAATTGTGTTTATAATTAATTTAATACAGCACCTAGAAGTATATTTCAAGACATTTCATTAAATACAATCAAATGCAGTTAAATGTGTATGGGTTATTAACCAATTACAAGTTGTTATTATATGATTATAGTTTACTCCTAATTTTTATATAACAGCCCAACTTTGACCAAATAATTATAATTTGTTTAAATGTTCTCTTATAAAAGGAATAGTTATAATTTGCAATATATATAAGCAGGATTTATTAAAAATAAATATTATTCATTCCTTGCATATAATTATTTCTAATGCCAATAATTTTATATTTTTAAAAAAATAAATCTGCTTGATAAATGATTTATAACAAATGAATAATAATATTAAGGTTTGTAAAGAATCGCGCATATTAGTAAAATAAATACAAATATTATCTATTTGTTGGTTCATCATGGGTATACGGTGACCATATGTGCATCAGTGGTGACATTGTGCCTCATAGTGCAATGTAATAATTTGTATGATGTTAATATATGTGTGTATATCATTTGTGATATGGGCGTGTTAACTGAGATTGTATATAATAGAGGCAGAAACTATATAAGAGTTTCTGGAACTAATAGAGATAAAGTTTTGCTATGTTGTCTAAGAGTTCACATTTACAGGGAAGATGAAAAAACTAGCTCATATATTAAGGAATAGAAAAATAAAAATAGGAATTTGCTAATAGACGGGATATTTCCCTATAAAACAATAAAAGAGTTTGAAAACTGCTGCTAATAAATATATTATACAATTACCATTAATAAAAGTAAAAATTAGAAACTTTATAGTACTAATAGTACTATGAAAATATTTAGATACTCTCTATAAACAAGAAGTCAAATAGTAATTAGCTTGGACTATTCTAGTATTAAGCTAAAATTAAAAATGTTGGTTTCTGTCATATGATAAGCCATGCTTAATGCGGGACTCTCGCGCCCAACTTATACTAAGCCGTATAAAGCTGTTATATATGGAAAATTAAAGCTATATATAACCCGAAAAACCCGAAAAATTTGAATAAGTTCATTTATTCTAGCATAGAATAAACAGCTTAAGTCATTAAGTGTAAAATTATTTGTTCTTTACAATATATTAAAATATAACGGTGTGACAATTAAATTGAAATAGTTTTTTGACATCACATGTCAAAAGAAATCAATTTAATCATGTGGTCTATAAATAGAAATTGAGAATTAATTAATGCTAAAATTTCCTAATGAATAATTCAAAGAATTCAACTACAAGAATAGCACAAAATATAAAAGAAGTATTAACAACAATAAAAGCAAAAGAATGCACAGTTAAAAGAAGATTACAAACACTAAAAAACAGCAATATTATAGTTTTAGCAGTGGTAGTGCTTTTTCTGAGGGAGATATACTCTTCAACTTCAGAGATGGTATCCAGTATGTTATCTGTTGTAGAAGATTATACAATAAGTAGTCCAGAAATAGGTGATGTGGAAATTCATCCAGATGGAAATTTGAATCTAATGATGTCATATGTGCATACTAAAAGTGGGCATATGATGATATTAAGATGTTTGAATACAAACATAATGATGGGGCACCGAAGTGGCATGGTAACGATGCATAACCAACTTAATAGTGGCAGTACAAAATACAATACTGGGGAAGATATGCTGAACCCTATTCTACCATATGAAGGGAGCGTGCTGGAGTATATTAAAGAACATCATGCGGTTCTTCTTTGGCTATATGATTCTAATGGTATGATGTCATATAACTCGAAAAAAGATGATTTGGCACATTTGTTTGCAGTGAATTCTATCAATGAAAAACGCAGAAATAATTACATTGAAGGAGACTATAAGCTAATGGCTGCATTATTTCTTCTATCAGAAGGTCTTAAGTTGCCTCTTAAGCATGAATGCATTAATGATGAACCAAAAATTACTTTATACAAGTATAATGAAGACGAAGAAAATACTATTTTTCAAATTAATGACATACCATGGAATAATAACAAGAAGAATCAAAGTACACGCGAATTAATTAACTTTTTATTTGAGTACTGCAACAGCCCTGTATTAGAAGGTGCTGGATTTAAAGACCCAACCAACTATGAAGAGTATGCCACTGGAAATTTTATATACACCCCAGGATTCCTTATACGGACCTACATATACCATTATTTAAATAAAATAAAAAGAACAGAACCAAAACTGTTTGTTAATGCAGTGCATGATATATTGAGGTTGTATATGCCAAAAAAGGAACAAACTAGCGATAAAACAGATATACAGTCTAAAGCAGAGGAGATATTCAAAAAGCTCTTTATGATTACTAGTAATTCTGAATCGGACATTAAAAAGAAGAAGCGCCTTATGATTAGAGACATAAAAAATATATTAGAAGTAAACAACTTCTTATATAACCCTAATAGTTGCAATCTTGCTAAAAAAGGGCCCATTCAATTGGCTTATATGCTTAGCGCAGATCTTTCTAACAGAGAGAACGATTCCTTTATGCGAATTGCGCTTAATGACTATATGAAATACTTATCCGCGCATAAAAAATATAATAATGAAGATGAGAATGGTATTGCCAAATACATATTTGAGTTAAGTAAGGAACAATTTGAAACGTTCTCTAAAAATAAGCTTATTGGCATTAAGCACTGTGTTCCATATGCGGGAATAGCAAACCAATATGATTTAGCTTTTCTACTAATAGCAAGAGCATTTAGAATGAATCTGAAGAGAACTGACCCTATAATGATGCTAATTAAGAATTTGCTAGCAAATGCATATAGGAAAATCTCTGTTTCTATCAATAATGAACGAGAATATTTGGTACATTATATTGCAGGTTTTATTCTTGAGACATATATTGACGAAAGACCTGATATAACTTCTATTCTAGATCGGGAGTCATTGAAGACCGATGAAATGCTAGATAAATCCATAAAGAAGCTAAAACCTATTTCAGATATACTTGTATATCTGTCAGTTAAGCGTGCAGACTCTGCACTTATTAAATTTATAATAGCGTATAGACAGATGAAAAATATATATAATAATTCACATTACATAGGTGAGCTAATAGAAGAAAACATGTCTAAACAGGAAAAAATACATTTGTTGCAATGTCTAACTAAAAACGGATTGGCAAACCAAGTTACAAGTATAGTAAATAAAATCAAGGATACAAAAGAAATCAAAAAATCAAATGATGTGCGAGTTGCACTAAAACTCCCAAATGACCTACTTGGATTATTGAAAGTTCTAGAAAACATATCCAATGATTATAGAGATTCCATAATAAACGATATTAGGCTCTTTCTACCCGTGGATGGTTATAATGAGATATTAGAATTTGATACTGCGCCCAAATAAACAATAAAAGCTTAATTAAAACTTATAAAAGACTACCAAAATTAACAAAAACTTATTAAGAAATGATTTAAATGCCTCTTTGTCATCGCTGCTTTTTATTCTTTTTGGATTATTTTTATTTGTCTTGAATATTTTCGGATTTTGTGTCTGAATTCTAAGTATTTATGTATATAATATTTTTATACATTTAAATATTCAATAATTATTAGAAAAGCGCTTAATATAAAACATAAGTACTATCCAGCAGATATTCTTAAGAATAAAAACAGCTAATATTATATAGAATGTCAGTGCACGCTAGAAAGCAATATTTGCTATGGAAGTATGAATTATATCTGTATTATAGGTTAAATATACTGCAGTAACTGTAATATTAGTGAAGGCAATAGTATGGCATACCTGATATGAATTAGCTGTATATTATATCAGAATTTGAGTTTATTTATATATGATAGAAAAGGCTGCTGCAACAAACACATAAACACCTAGACCAAAGAGTGTGCTGCCTATAAACAAGCACTCATGTAAAACTTAGACATTTTACTCATCCATGCCGTATAATACAATAGCTGCACCATTAAGATACTTTAACTTACATTCTCGTTTAAGGCGGTTCAAAGCAACAGAAAGTGGTTCATTTTGATTTTTAATAGCTTCCATAATTCCTATGCTAGTTATGTCCAAGTCTTTGTCAGTGATATCCCAAAGAGCACCCACAACGTTTTTAACCACTGGTATATGCATATACGATATGCACGTACTGTGGGTATTGTGCATTGGGAATGCAGAAATCCTTGCGCTTGAGCACCCAAACAGAAAAATACTTTTTGTTCTTAGCTCAGTGTCTTTTACATTTTTTATAATTCGTCTGAGCTTCCTTGGGGTAAAGAACTTTTCGCCTCCACCATGGCCAAAGTACATAAATATTCGGTGGGAAAGAATTGCTTGTTCTGTTTCCATTGGAAGAGGTATTCTATTTTTAATTCCTGCTGCATGTGGTACATACTCGTTAATGTATTTAACAATACGTTCTTCTGTTTGAATGAGGTTCTTTTCCGGGTTTAGAACGTAGAAGAAGTCGTGGTCCTCTAAAGCTTTACTTTCTGTTTTATTTGAGGATGAAAGGATATGGCAAAGTGATGAGCACCGGAACACACCTCGATCAACAAACGAGTTACACATTTCAAATGGAACACTGCCAAGTATGTCTTCAATTACTAAAGCCACCCGATTCTTAATTACATGGCCCTTTATTGCATACTTTTGGATGTACCTGTCAACTTCTGTTAGTTCTTTCTTTATTTCATTGTCTAGTGAAATTCGTATTCTCCACCATTCCTGCTTCTGCTCTGGCGTAGTGCATACTCTTTTAAGCACGTCTCTGTTCTGTTTTTGTACATTTGCAAGACGAGCCAAAAGAGTCTTTACATATATTTTAGATTTTATAACAGACATTTTAGCCTTTTCATTGTAGTATATCAGCCCAAACGCAATGCATCCATCAATAGAGTACACTACAATAGGTGAAATATCTTGGCATTTCTCCCCAATTCCCTTTATTTTGTTAATATACTCTAAAATTGACCGGTTACCTATTTCACTACATGCTATCTCTCGTGTATCGTATATTTTTACATCTCGAAGCAGGGTTATTTCATTTTTGTACTGAAGGCATCTGCTAAACTTATCCTCAAGTGTTATAGGAATGTTCAGCAGTCCATTTACATAAGAGGATATTAGAGTGTGCTTTGCCTCGTTTTCTGAAACTATCTCTTCTTTAGCAGCCTCTATTGTTTCTAGCATAGATTTAAAGAACTCACCGCCAGCAGTAAACTCAACACTCTCTGATAAAAGAATCCCGGCCTTGCACATCCATACAGCATCGTAATAGCTTCCTGATCTGTGGGCAGCGCTTGCACCAATAGATAGAAGATGAAGTCTACATCCAAAATGCACCGAGTCGCCAGATGTACTTCTTCTAAGCAGCTCTTCTACCCGATTAAATGCACACAAATACTCTCCATTCACATACTTATAATACGCAGATAAGAATATCCTATCAAAATCATCTGTTTCCTTTAAATCCTCTGCATATAAATACGTTCTATTCCTCATGTAATAGCTATCAAAACACCTCCTAACATACATATCATTGCTGCACTTTAACTCTTCGGTTTCCTTAAGATCTCCTAACAGATCTTCTTTCGTTCTGTTTATACTTTTCCATACATCGTCTGAGTCTATCTTGTCTAAGCTCTTGTGCAAGGATTCTGTCATGTTGCAGCCTGAATAGGCAGTTATTTCTACACCCTTACTTTTTCCCATGCATGCCTCATCTGCTGAGTCCTTTGTACACACTATAAATCTGTTTTGGTGCATTGCCTTTTTCATATCTGGTGTAATGTACATTTCTTCTACCTCTTCTTCGGTTAGTATTTTACAAAAGTACAGTACGTTATATTTCTGCAGTTCATGAAAGAGTCTTTTTATCTTCTGGTCAGAATAGTTCTTCTGTAGTAATCCGAAAAGGCCTTCTCTATCTGTAATGTATAGTAGAGGGGAATATTCAAGCAGCTCCTTCTCTGTGCCCATCTAGAAATTTCTTTAAAAATATATTTTATTTACGCTTTTACACCAATTAATACTTCCTTTTTAGTATGCGACTATCACTAACTATTCTTTTATTTACCTCTATAACTATTTATTCATCAATTATTTTGTTTTATTAGATGCCTTACATAAGAGCGTCTTCGCCTCTTAAGTACTCACCAGCATCACCGTGTCTTACAACAACCACAGCAGTTCTATCCCCTGCTAATATTTCATTACCAGACTTAGACATAATTCCAAATCCAATAGGAATGCTTGAGGAAGTAGTTAGGACAACTCCTGCGTTTTTTCGAATGTCTGGAGCAACTCCACACAGGTGTGCTCTCTGCACGTGGTTTCCATAGAGAACGTTCATCTCAGCAGTTTGCTTGATCTTGATCTTGCTGCTGGCATACATCATAAGCATGTGCAGCCCAGTGATCTTAATACGGAAGAACTCTGATTTAGTCAGCCGCCCAATGCACGTGCCAATGCATAGAATATTATCATTTGGAATTATACTGGCTTTTTTAATAAGGTCTTTTCTAACGTAATATATTCGCTGTTTGTGGTATACCAGCTCGTGCAGAGGGTTAAGAAAGGAGGAAAGATTGTTTCCCATGTACTGCTTCAGCTTTTTCTCAACTTTGTCAAACTCTTCGTCTTTTAGCGGCCGCATTAAAATTTTTATGAAATTCTTTTATTTATTCTTTATTTTCATTTTCGGGTGGGAATAAACTTAAATTTAAATTTTTTGGTGCCCCCTGCAGTGGAATGTCAACTAATAAAAAGAATTCCAGAAAATTAAGAGGTCACGTATCACACGGACACGGTAGAGTAGGAAAGCACAGAAAGCATCCAGGAGGTAGAGGTAAGGCAGGAGGTCTTACCCACCACAGAACGCTGTTCCAGAGGTATCACCCAGATTTCTTTGGAAAGAGAGGTATGAACATTTACTTCAGAAGATACAACAGCAGTTACGCACCATACATTGAGGTTGGTAACATATGGGGATTAGTGGACAAGTGCGGACAGTATGATCAGTTTGCAAACGACTCCACACAGGTACCAGTTGTGAACTTGTCTGAGTTTGGAATATTCAAAGTAATTGGAAAGGGTGACTCCCCTATTAGACCAATTGTTGTGAAGGCAAGAAGATTTACTCCAGAGGCAGAAGAGAAGATAGTTAAGGCAGGAGGACAGTGCATTCTAACCGTTTAGATTAGCACTTATCAAACGCTAAACCCAAACCATCTAATAAATAAGAACTTAATACCGACCAAGACTTTATTATGCCAGTAATTAATGGCAAGGCTTTAACTAAAATACTAAAAATGTAAGTAGCAAAAACAGTACAAAAAGCATGTGCGCTTAAGAATCAATAGATTCTGCCGATGATGAAAAGACCCTGGGAGCGTGCGGTGGAAGGTACTAAAACCCACTGGAAACTGCACAGGCACTGACAGATCTATTTCTGAGGCATATTAATACATAAACTCTTCATTTTATTTATAGTGTTCTATAGACTGTATAAATTATAAATACTTTAAATATAATACTTATACAAAAAAACAAAAATATCAAGAATCCGTATAATAGGACAGTGTAGAAGAAGTTCATTATATTAATGCATTCTGTTTTCTATTATTAGTAAGACATTCTTTGTACTTTTAAATAAAAACCAAATTTAAATAGTTAAGCTGAAAATATCCAATGAACCAGACTGAAATAAATAGTCTGATGTGCACAGGCACTATGGGTAAGAAATAATAAATACATAAAATACGCAAGGTCTTCAAAAATATCTAATTATACACCATAATAATTTAAAGTAGTTTATTTAAACATAGCCATCTGTTATATTTTACCAGTATGCACATTCCAAGATTCAATTTCAAAGAAAAATCTTATTTTCTTAAATATTCTATTATTAATTCTATTTATATGCACTTTATATAACCAAATACAATATAATATGTGAACTATGCATAATTTATTAAAATAAAATATTATTTATGCCTTACATAATATGCTTAAATACTTAGAAATAAGGTATTATACTAATTTCTATTCTGCAGTAAAGGATTGTACCCAATGAATAAAATATGAGAATATAAACCATTCTCAGCATAAAACAAAACTATAAGACTAACTGCAATTAAGCTTATAGTATATAGAACATACAATACATTTAAAATACTCTTAATAATGGACCCTTTAAAACTAAAAAATCTCGGTTTGTTATTATTCTTAAAAATACTAAATACTAACCTGAAAATTACCAACACAACACAGACTGCCATGTATATTATAAATAGTAACATGAAATTAGAAAGTTCACATTTTCTTATAAACATTCCAACTAACATGCCGGCGATTCCTGTTATTGTAATTTTCAGAGTAAGCATAGTATAATCCGTTGATACTTGGAAGGCTTGGCCATTCAGTAGGTTATTTATAAATAGAGTGTTCATTAAAATACATGAGATATACAATAGCAAACCAACGAATATATATATAATAAGTGGAGTTGTATTGTCTAAAAAGTCAATTTTTATAGGAATTTGGGTTAGATCTTTTCCAGCAATACCGAATAGGAATATAACTTGCATTACACAGCAATAGAACCATAAAGTGAAAAATTGAATAAGATCAATAGACCTTTTAAATTTGGCATTCATCTTTTGTAAAAATAGATTAAATCTAAATTCATAATTAAGTGGACTGGCAACGCAGTTTAAATATTCATGCATACAACTTTGCTGACTATTAAGCATTTTTTGTATACTGTCTTTATCCAGAGTAGTATTAAATTCATTTGAATCTTCTTCATTCAATGAAATTGTATGGGATGGGGCTTCTCTTGATCTAGACTCATTTTTTACTGTTTTCTCAGATATAGTATTTTCCATTTAAGCTCTAAAAAATAATTTTTATTTATTGCTTTTGTATTATCATATAACTAGATCTAGCTAAGCACATATAAAGATGATAGCAAAAGTATTTCAAATTTTAATTATAAATACAAACTTAATGGACAAATTAACTGTCAATATAGCAAAATTATTGTAATTGAATATACAAAATAACTGAAGTATTTAACAGTTAAATAATATTAGTTTTGTTGGTTTTGGATAGTAAGATCCAGAATAGCAATGGTTGAGTATGATATTAATATATAGCTATTCAGTATTTAAGTTGTTTTCTTAGGAAAAGGCATTCTTAAACTTTAACCTTTATTTAATTTGTATATGTATTTGTAGACCGTACAATCGATTTAATTTGTGTTATCCTGTTTATGTAAACATTACAATAACTCATGTCATGCTACACAAATGCTAGTCTTAGCATACAACAATTTGTTATAGTATTAGGCATATGCTGCTATCATAAGTAATTGTAATTAAAACTATTTAAGAGTTTTGGGTTTTCAATAAAGAACATGTTTTCGTATGTCTAAGTCTTTAAGGAATAAACAGCTATATCATTATTACTATAACTTATCATAACTTATTTTACACATAGGATACAACTTACTACACAATATATCATAATACACCACTATTAATACAGTATATGTTGCCAATGGGGTATATATTAATAATTAGTTTAATAAAATTTTATCTTGGTTTTAATTTGTTGACAACATAGACTATAATTAATTAAATAAGAACTTTATAAAATAGTTTAATTTCTTGGTTTTTAAAGTATAAATATAAAGAATATTATTAAATTTTTATATGACATATAATATTGATACGGACACATTAAGAAAACAAGTACAGAATAAATTCAGTAAACAAGGAAAGATGAAAGAAGAAGATATAAACACATTATACGACATAGTAACAGAAATTAACAAAGAAAAAGGAATATTCATAGATTTACCAGAACCATTAGAAAGGCTAGCATATAATCTACTATATATACAAATATATAATAGAATTATCTATGATGGTATTGAATATAATGAAGATATTATTATAACAGATAAAATAATAGAATCTATAAAAAATGCCGATACAATTATAGATATAATTAAAGAAGCAGCAGGAGAATTACACAGTGAAGATAAAAAAGAAGCATTTTATAGATTAATGGGAAATAATCCTATAATTATGGCAGGTGTTTATATATTAAGAAAGGAATTCTTTGATTCTTCTATTAATGTACTATGTAAGAGCATAAATATACAAGAATTAGATGATAAAATGACATCAGAAGGTGCATTTAATAAACTGTGTGAATTGACTGAATCAGGAGAGTGTTCTAGATTACAGAGAGCATTAGATATACTAGTGAAACATGGTGATAATCTAACTATAGTTGATGTGGGTGATGATGAGACAAAACATTCAAATGCAAGTAGTTTAGAAATAACTGATGATGACATTAAATCATTGCAATTACTTACAAGAATAGATATGTGGCGTGCTGCTGAATTTTCTAAGTTTTTAAACGATTCAATATATGATCCAATCATTAATAAGATTAAACAACATGGAACATGGCATCCAATTTATTCAATTTGTGATTTATACGGTTCAGTATATAATACCTCTATGTATACAGATGAAATGGACACTGAATCTAAAGCAAAGTTTAAAAATGCTCTTAAAGGAAACTTAAATGACTTAAATGATAGTGAAAGTGTATGTAATATTATTAGTATAACTGACTTCTCTAGTATGTTTAATAATATAACCCGAAATGGACTTACCGCTGATAAGTTTAAGAATAACGTAGTTAAAAAGTATTTAGAATCAATAGAACCAATTATTTCAATTATTAATGGGACAGCTGCATCATTTAAGCATAAATTTAAAAGAGTATTAAGTATTCTTATAATAATATTTATAATAATATTTATAATTATTATGAGTATATTTAGAATATTCCCTAATGAAACAAAAGAAATTATGAATAATTTATTATTTTAATAATACTGTTAGTTTGGGATAGTTAGATCCAGATGAGCAATGGCTAAGTATGATATTAATATATGAACATCCATTATTGGTGGCAATGGGCATATTGATATCTTAAATGATTGGAATTAAAACTATATAAGAGTGTAGTGACACCATCACTCGGACGGGAGCCCCCGAGGGCGATCCGTCTGCGCGCCAGCTCGCGCGGTGATCCCGCCAAAGCAAAGGCCGGGATCTCTGAATCAGTATATCAACTTCCGACTATTTAACCGGAGCTCTTCCCCCAATTTAGGGGGAGACTCAGGGAAGCATCGACGGCTTAACTTCAGCGCCAGGCCTAACACAACTGCGCCCTTGGACTCCGTGCTCGCGCAGGCGTGGGCCGCTTCCTAAAGACAATAAAGAGCTCTTCCCTTTCACTCTCTTCTCTCTCTTGGCTACGTAGCAGGGCGGCGGTGGCGTTACTCCTTGTGAGTACGTCAAAGAGTTTTGGGTTTTCAATAAAGAACAAGTTTTTATATGTCTAAGTCTTTAAGGAAAAACAGCTAGTTTAATTTAAATTTAAGATTGTTCGTATGCTCTGACTGTATAATACATTAATTTTCTCATTATGTGTGTGAATTGAAAGGCATGGGTTCATTTTATGGTATTTTCTATTTCTTCATAGATTTGAATTTAAAATAAACCTGTACATTTTTATTAAAAACTGTACACTATTAGATATACACTTATCTTCACTGTAAATATTTATTAAGAATAGCAGAAATATTCATAAATCAAGAAGTGCACGTATAATAGCAGCTTGCATAAACATATACTTATATTAGAATATTCTGTAAGTTAATTATACACTGTAATATGTCCAAGAATACTCCAAATTATAAATTTTAATATATAACTTCAGGCTATATATGATACTAGTAAAGCATTAATATACAAATACAATTCCTATACATTCTATATATTGTAATGTATTGCTAGTGTAATGACTTGACTAAAATAACTAATTATAATGGGTTTGGTTATATAAACAGAGAGACAGCGGAAACCAATTGGGTGGAATATATCTAATGCATATAGAAATGTATGGTACTTAAAAAACATTCAATATTTTCAACCATACTCGCTGAATGTCTAGAATCTTCTATGCCGGAATATGGCATTCTATAATATTCACTATTTTTATTTTTATATGGAAGACCATGCTTTGCTTAATGAGTGCTTCACGCGGTACATAGAGATTAAGAATAAAACAGATGAGAGGCGCAGAGAACTACATGGGCTACAGCAGAGAAGAGATGCACTATTAGACCTCCTTGTTTTTATAAAAGGGCAAAGACCGTTAAAATATACAGAATTTGAAACAGAAAGTACATTTCCAATTGTTCTAGGAAAGGCGCATTCCAAGTTCAGCCTTACTTCAATTGGGATACTTCCTCCAGAGGAGTATACTTCATTCTATAATGCGATGTACATATATCCGATAGGATACAAAATAAAAAGAAAATATGCCTCGCCAGAGGGAGGTGACCAGAAATTAACTTATTTCTGCCAAGTGCGGTCAGTGAATGGAGAATGCATATTTGAAATCCGTGCAACCGGAGGAAAGCACTGGGCAGGGCCAAGAGACCAGATCTGGGATAACTTCAGCAGTGAGTTTCAGAAGATGTCATTCTCAAGTCTTGAGGAGTTCTTCGGCCTTACAAATGAAACCACCGTTAAGCTAATTGAAGAAATGGGAGATATTTCTATTTTCTCCACATATGTTCCCATGAAAATGCGCACAAGAAAAGTAAAGAAGACAAAAAAGGATGAGAACTAAGTTATGCCACAGATTCAGATAATCAAAGACAAACACACTTTCTGTTATAAACCGGTAGGATACTCTCTATACCCCAAATCGATTTTAAAATAAAGAATTAATTTTTATGGCATCTCCTATTAAGTTCTGATTATTTCTGATAATTCAAAGAGTTATGTCATAAAGATGCAAACAAGAAGTACCTAAAAGTAATTTTGAATAAATTTACCCCCCATAAACTATAAATAAGCGGAATGACATAATTTTTTTAATGGGTATTTTATTCAGTAAAAAGTCTGTCAGACAAGCTATCTTAGAGTTAGAACAGCAGATAGAAGAAAAGGAGAAGACAATCAAGTATCTTAAGAAGAGAAAGGAGAGTGCGAGTGACATATTTTTTAAGTCAATTACAGCCATAAGTATAGGGGCCATTTCTATTCTCTGGGTGTGCAAAGAAACTATTTCATATTTATACATACTAAGAATTATAGCACTATTTATTATATTATGCATAGTAATTACTTTATTGTACTATGGGAATAAAAGACTATGCAACTACAGACTGAACAAGAACATAATGGTAATGGAAGTCTTAAAAGAAAAGCAAAGAAAGAATATTGAGAACCTAAAGAAAGAAACAAAGTATGACGAAACACACGGAATAATAAAAAGGTATGTAAAGCATGTCACGCCAAAAGAAGAAGAAGAAGCACTTGACAGGCCAGATGAAACAGTGGTGGACAAGTTAGTTAGGTTAATATAAAGAAAAATATATTGCAGAGTGAATTTAAAGAGTAAGGAAAGGTTATTATAATATTCTAATTATTTTTAGTTTATGAAAATACGTACATTCAAAAGTAAGAGCAAGCCATCCCGGAAGAGCTTAGGGATACTTGCAGCGCCTGAGCTATTTGTGCTTCCAATGGTAGAGCAAGTTCAGCAGAATATAGACAAAATAGAAGTAAAGCAAAAGGAGAGTCGTATAGAAGATGTAGAGGTGCAGGAGAAAGAAAAAAAGAAAAGCAACAAGTTTTGGATGTATATGTGAAAGGAGCAAAAAACGCATTCGGATACTTGGCCCCATCGTATTACTCCTCTGATATGTACAGTGCGCAGCGTGCAGATGAAGAAAAAGACGAGAAAGAAAGAGAGAGTACTTGGGAGAATCGAAGCAAAAAAATAAAGAGCAACGAGATTAACTACAATGGCATAGAGATAGTAGATATTGATGTGGCAAGTGCTCTGAGCATTGAAAGAAAGAAAAGCATTGGTGGGGACAGCTTTATGAACAGCGAGTATATCCTAGAGGATGCAGATACAATTAAAGAAGTAGACTGGTGTTCATTTTCATTTTTACCGATTACCCGGTGGGAAAGCTGGGAGAGTCTACTTTTTGTGAGATATATATAGACAAAAAGACGCAGCGGGTTTATAAAGTAGTTCCCATTACGATGAAAAAGAACTATGTGAAAGTACAGCACACGATGGTTGACCATTTTATTAAGGAGTGCTTGGTGATGGAGCGAATGAACTGTTCTGAATATTCTACCAAAATATATGCGTGGTATATGGTGAACTCCCGGTATCCACGAGAGCTAATAGAAATATCCAGAGACTGGGCAAGAAGAAACAAAAATCAAGCAGAGAACATTATACCACAGGCGAATAACTCATCCGGATTATTTGGCGTGATTGAAATGGAGTATGGTGGACGCGAGCTTGAAAAGCTTGACTGGTCTCTTATGACACATAGAGATGTTAATATGATTGAGGACGAGCTTAGAAAGTGCTTTTACGTAATGAATGAGCTGCAGGTAGAGCACAGGGATCTGCACCAAAGCAATGTTTTAGTTAAAAAGAATAGTAATGGTGAGTATAGTGTAAAGACAATTGACTATTCGCTGGCACGCGCTGTAATTCGGAAAGAAGACGGGGATAGTGGGTCTATTACTATTCTACAGACAAATTCTAAGGGGGTTATATATAAAGCAGGCCCTATTTTGTATACGAATATAGACAAAGACTTATCGTGGCTGTTTGAAGGGGATGCTAGCACAGATCCCCACCGGAGTATATACAAGAAAATGAATCGCACATACACAGGGAGTAATAGATGGAGAAATCCAGGGCCCAGTAACACATTTTGGATGAACTATCTCAGAACATGGATGGAGAGTCAGATAGGAAATAGCACTCAGACATAGAATAAACTTTTGATTTACATATAAGCACATGAGTACATGCATAGTCACACATACCGCCGCATATTCTAGGAATTCGTACTATCCATTGGTTTTTGTAAATACACAATATAGCACAGAGGTACAAATGCACTAGAACTCCTAGAGCCATGCCACTACTATTTACACTACATAAGGCCAATTCGCATGCGTATTGTGGTAATATTATGTACTATGGGTGCATATACAGTTAAATTTGGACTAGACTGCGTTCTATTGCTTCTAATACATTGCCTATTATTTAAACACATGTACAGGAAGAGAACTGTGCTAAGTAGAGAACTTATTAATGATTATCAATTAAGCTTATGTTTAGATATGCAGATATGGCAAATTTATACAAGAACTGCATTAAATGCCTAGTTATTAAAGCGTTGAAATGTTTTCTGCGCTTATTACAGATTAAACTAAACATACACTATTCATGCAGTGGACAGTTCTATCTAATATATAAAATACGCTTTAAGATTAGACTTATTTATAACACATTTTTATTTAAATCTTTATAATATCTGCCATATTCAGAACATTTTGGGGCATTTCTATTATTATGCGCTTAATTGCTGCGATAAATATATTTAGTACTGCTTGTACAACTGAATTAGACATAATTAACTCAAACATTCCGAAATTATTACTAAAGAGAAGACGTATACCAACTGAATATATAATTGGCTATACGCACAAGATGATATGGGTAGATCTCAAAATTATACACTTTTTGCTCTGATTTGCTTTATCTCTAGAGCACGGTTGATTACTTCTTTAGGGACTTTTGTCATTTTACATATGTCTATTCCACAGGAGTCACTGCATATTCCATCCACTAGTTTGTACAAATAAACTATTTCTTGCTCCTCCTCTGAGTTAGTAATATGCTTATAGTTCATTTTCATTGTTATATCTCCTTCAACAATTGCACTAAAAAAGTGGGTGGCGTATAAAGTGGTACACTTGATCTTTTTCAAGTATTCTTTGACTGCCATTGAAATTGTAGATCCTTCTTTTGTTGAAGTGCCCCTTCCTAGCTCGTCTATTATAACAAAAGAGTTTTCAGTGGCATTAGTGAGAATATTTGCAGTTTCTTTCATTTCTATTTGGAATGTAGACTCGCCTTCAAGGAGGTTGTCATTTGCTCCTATTCGGGTAAATATTCTATCATAAATAGGGCCAGAGAAGAAAGAAGCAGGGACTTTAGCGCCAATCTGTCTAAGCACAATTGCAGTTGAGACATTTCTTAAAAAAGTAGACTTCCCTGCCATATTTGGGCCTGTAAGAACAATTAGCTTGTTTTCTGGGAATATATCTATGTCATTTGGGATGTGTGTGTTTCCCACATTCACAAGTCCTTTTATCTGCAGAGATTCTGAAAATAATGGCTTTACCCCAGAAATATATCCAAATGAGACAAGGCAGTCTAAAGCAGCAATCCCCACAGAAATATCTTGCAGGCATATGTCATTCTCGCTAATTCTTTTTGAAATTCTAAAGACTGACTCTGCTGCCAAGAATGCTATTTTCTCTTCTGCCTCAAGGTATGTCTCTGATAGTTTTCGAAGCTCTGCTGTAGTGTATCTAGCAGTTGTTTTTGTTGATCCAGAGGGTATATACTTTGATTCAAGCAAAAGAGACTCTGTTCTCTTGCACTTCTAAATAGTGCTCTCTTCCTATTTTTTTGACTAAGAACTCAACTCCTGCTGCTGCAGATTCTTTTTTTCCATATACCTCAAGAATGTTTACTACTTTCTTCTTGTGCTTTTCAGCAGAAATAAGCTCGGCATCTGTGCTTAGTGGCATAATATCACCGGAAATATCAAATCCCAGAGTTATTTCATCAATTACTGCAAAAGTATGGATCTTTTCACAAATCACTTGCAAACAAGTCATTTCTATCTCATTCGGTGTACTTCTTGCCAGTATAGACTGTAATATTGCATATATGGATTTAACCGCATCTAAAGAAGAAGAAAGCTTTCTTATTTCCTCTGCGCGTATCTTATAATTCTTTGCCTTCTTCACAAAATCGCTAATATCCCCTACTTGCTGCAAATACGACTCAAGCATATCTCTCTCTGGAACACTATCTAGTAGCTCTGCTGTGGCATATCTTTTTTCTATTTTGCTAAGGCAGGAAAGAGGCCGAATAATCCATTGTCTAAGAAGTCTTCTTCCCTGCTTTGTTCTAGTTTGGTCTATAAGCCGGAAAAGAGAGTTTCCAGATTGTTCCTTTCTATTTGGGCCATCCACTAAGCACAGCATTTCTATTGTTCTCCCGTCAATTTGCATCTGATTTTTTGTTTTCTCGCTATACTCTATTAGCTTGGGAGTAAATGCATACTTTAAGTATTCCAGATAGGAAAGAAGAATCTCAAGAGCTTCCTTTTTTTCTCCCTCTAAACTGAGTCCTGAGTTTCCCATTTTTTCAATTATAGGAGACACATTTTGTCCCCACACATCTGGCCGCACCCGGACAATCTTTTCTTTAAATGGAACAGATGCATTGGTTATAATTTCTTTAATATTCTCTTTTTTTAGTATGCTCTGCGTAGAGAATAGCTCTCTATCATCTTCAAATGATAACACAAAAAATTCAGACTCCATCGGCCTAAATACAGATATTGTGACATTTGCTTTTTCTGTGCCATCTATCTCACGAACAAACAAGCTGCATATTCCTATGCCTTCTGAACTGGTGGTTGTTTCTGTGACTACTTCTTTCAGTTCTCTTTCAATCACTTTTTGTTTGGCTTCTCCTGATTTAACTCTCATGTTCTGAGACACACTGGTTTCTTTCTGGTCTACAATTGCTACTTTATACCCTTTGTATATAAACTTCTCTATCCACATATCAAGAGACATCTCTGGGATCCCTGTCATTTTCATTGTTCCTCTTTTTGTTAGCTTCAGCCCAAATAGCTCAGATGAGAGAACGGCATCTTCTGCAAACAACTCATAGAACTTTCCTTTCTTAAAGAAAACAATCGTATCAAAGTACTCCATCTTTATACGCCAGAATTGCTCTTCACATGGAGTCATAGCAGATAACTCCTTATCTGATATATACAGTGTGCTTTTGTCATATCCTATGTCCCCAGGACTTCTTCCAAACTTATCCACAGGGGGTGAAAGAAAAGATTTCTTCTCTTCCTCACCCTCCTCTACTTCCTCTTCAAATAAGTCTGCTGAGTTTTTTATTTCTTCTCTCCTATTTATGCTTTTTGGAGCAGCCTTTATTTTATTCGGATTATTCTCTTTTCTAGCAGGTGCTGTAATAGAAATTAAATTTGGCTGTGAGTCTATTTGAGGGCTACTTTCTTCTGTTGATTCAATCTGGCTGCAGTCCATGTCACTGCTACTGCACGGCTCCACTGGCACTGCTTTCTGCTTTTTGGTTAGCCATGACATAATATTACACTTTCTTACTTGAGTCTGCATGATTTTTCTTTTACACTTCCTCTTTTATATTTTTCACCTCCCGCGCCCGCCAATTTACATTTTCTTTCATATAACCGTGAATACTCGATAATCCATTTGATATATGACAGTATAAAGATAGACAATAAGTAATTTTAGCATGGTTTTAGACGAATTATTTCCTGTTACATAAATAACAGTTATTATAACCCAAATATGCCCTAAAATACAAATACTAAGTGAAGAGTAAATATAACGGGAAATACCAGTACAAATGTAAATGAATTGTAAATGCTTAAGTAAAGGAATAATCTGAGGATTTCATATCAATTGGCATACTTCACAGAACTATTTATTCATTATTGAAGAAATAATTTCCACTTTCTTTTTGTTCTCTATCCTTTGCAGAGTTTGGTGTGTTAATTCTTGGTCTGAAGTTCTCTGCATCTCTTCTAAATGTAACATCCAGAGACTTTAAGAACTTGTTCATACTGTCAATTACACCACACGGGGCACTCACTGTGCACTCAACTCCTGGCACACCTTCAAATACCATCATTCGATCTGCAACGTATGTTGCCATAATCATGTCATGCTCAACGATAAATGCAGACCGCTTCTGGCTGGTAATAAACCTCTTGAGCACCTTTGATACGATAATTCTCTGGTCTGAGTCAAGATATGCGGAAGGCTCATCTATCAGATACAGATCTGCTGGCTTTGACAAACAAAGTGCAATGGCGACTCTTTGCAATTCTCCTCCACTTAGCTCTCTAACTTTCTTTTCAAAAAGCGACTTTATATCCAGTGGATTCATAACCTCAATTGTGAACAGTGAATCTACAAGAGCATGTTTGGCCTTAATGAGGAAAAGGTTCCGAACTGTATCTGCATACTTAGGAGAAAGCTTTTGTGGCTTGACACTGATGGTTAGCTTTGGTGTTTCATTTCCATTATCTGATGCTAATTCACCAGAAAGCATTTTTATAAAGGTGGTCTTCCCCATCCCATTCTCTCCAAGGAGCACAATTATCTCTGGCGAGCCAAAGGCACCCTCCTGCGCATTTAGTTTGAATCCATCCTTCCAGCTCTTAGTAAAAGATGGATATTTTACAGTACCAAGACTGTTTGAATCATTCTCTTCTATATTTACTGCGCTCTCTGCTATTCTAAAGTTCAAGCTCTCAGTTCTAAATCGCATGTTTTCCGTTGGCAGCATTCCGTTTAAAAAGATGTTTATAGCCTCCCGAATTGAAAATGGCTGAGATATAACACCGTATGCACCTGGAGACCCGTATAGTACACACCCATAATCACTCATCAGGTCGAGAATGGATAAATCGTGCTCTACCACAACAACATACTTTCTGTCTGAGCAGAGCTTCTTAATCATACCAGCAACCTTTATTCGCTGGCGCACATCCAAATATGAGGATGGCTCGTCAAAAATATACACCTCTGCATCCTTGAACATTGTCATTGCAATTGCAAATCTCTGCAGCTCACCACCACTCAGATCTTCTATAAGTCTTTCGCTAAGCTTCACTAGCTCTAATTCTTTGTATAGCATTTCAGCTCGGGGACTGTCCATCGGAAGTACTTCTTTTACCTTCTTATTCTTAAATTCCTTGGGTATCTTGTCCACATACTGTGTCTTGTACGATATTTGCATGTTTTCATTCAAAAGACGCGTAAAGTACTTGTGCAGCTCAGATCCTCTGTATTTGACCAGAACCTTGTTCCAGTCTGGGGTGCTGTTAAAGTCGTTTAGATTTGGCACAGTTTCTCCTGAAAGGATTCCAAGTGCTGTACTCTTTCCTATTCCGTTAGTCCCTATTAGACCAAGTACTTTGTTTGGCTTGGGCACAGGCAGTCGGTGCAGTTTAAACCCATTCGGAGAGTACCGATGCACCACATCCTTTGACAAACTTGTAGGAAGGTTAATTATACGTATAGCATCAAATGGACACTTTTTCTGGCACGCACCACACCCAATACATAAAATCTCAGAAATAACCGAATTAACAGAAGTTTTGTCTGCTGTTATGCAAGGCTTTCCTTGCCTATTAATGGGACAGGCCTTTTTACACTCAAGTTGGCATAATTTAGGCTTGCACTTGTCTGGGAGCACAACCGCAAGTCGTGTAAGCTGTGCTTTGTCTTTCATAAAAATAAGAAATGTAAATGCATAAATATTCCATGGGGCATTAGTGCAGTTTTATTTATTACAATGCATAAATAATAAAATATTTAAAAATCTACAAATAGCTCAAAGTGATAAAAACAAGCAAAAATCAAGGATAAACACCATAAAACACTAGAAATACTCTGAAAATATATGTAGATATAAAGTAAACCATATAAAATCAGCACGATGTAATATTTTCTAGTTTATATCTAGACAAATCAGATATAAAAGTATAAAAATACAAGTAAATAGTGTATATCTTATGCGTATACTATGATATGTCATTTACCATTTCTAATAGAAGATAAATTATACTTGTACAATTTATATTTTATGGTATAATAATTTAATAGAATAATAGTAATTTAGTCTGTATATTAGTATATTTATGTATCCATGAGGTTTTGGGTATAGTGGGTTTATGTTAAATATACTATGTAAATAATCATGTATAGAGCAGTATACTGAATAGGATTTATTTGGGTTATAAAGAATATGCATTTAAATGTGTTAAATCCAATTAAAGTATTTATTCTATGGTGGTTAGATATATGATTACAAATAGTAATTTTTTTTATTCGTGTATGGATGCACTTCTACAGGAAATACAGACTGAATATGAAGATATACAGAAAGCAAGGTTATTAATGGTTCAGAGTGACTTTATAAGGGCATCTGAGATTTATTCCGAGGTTCTATCAAAAATGGCTGAAAAAGAAAGGGAGGACAGCCTTAAAATGTCTGTTGTGTATTTAGAGTACTCTAAGTGTTTATTTTTGTCAAATGACAAGCTAGTAATAAACCCAGAACTAGAAGAGGACAACAATTATTTAGAAGATTTAAGCATTGCGTGGGAGTTATTAGAAATAGCTAAGAACACTTTTAGATCTCACAACTTTACTAATGAGCTAATAAAGGTGCACATTCTTCTGAGTGATATTGCGCAGGAGACGAACAATTTCACAGATGCACTGGAAGATCTCTTATCTGCATTTTCTCTTATAAAAGAGCAGAATAGCACAGATTCTAGACTGCCAGATATTTCATTGCGCATTGCCTTTGCATATGAAGCATTGGATAACAAAGAGATGGCAATCCGCACACTAGAAAGTATCATTGAGCTTATAAGCACTGAGGCTGCAACAAAAGAAACTGCTGAGATAATTGAGGAGGTTAGGCAGAAGATAGATGAAATAAAGCACCCAGAGAAATACAAGGTGGATGTAAAGCAGGTACAGAGTAAGATTGACAGTACCCAGCCAGTGCAAAAGATAAAAATCACCAAGTCGGAAGCACCATCAAACTCATCTTCTAAGAATACAGAATAAATATGATTTTATCCTTAAACATAAAGAAATAAGAAATTGCATTCTTAGAATTTATCTGTATTTATCTCCCTTTGTGAAATATGAGAATATGGCAAAATTCTGTCTATGATATAATTTATTCACTATGTCTGGAATTTAGAAGAGGACACTTGAAATTGCCGAAACTATCCCATGTAAATTAGACCAAAAACCACTTAGAAAAAATTTAATGGAAGTGAACGTAAAAGACAGCTTTACAATAGAGCTATTAAAGACAAATCATACGATTTTAAATGTAATCAGGTGGGCAATCAACGAGTTTGAATCAGTTTACGATGTGGAGCTCATAGGATACACCATTCCGCATCCAATGGAAGAAAGAGCCATAATGAAAATACAGTTAAAGCGTGAGGAAGAGCAGACAGAAGATGCAATTCTTAGCATACTAAGAAGAGGAATTACTGCAGTAGAGGAAGTATTTAACAACTTAGAAGAAAAACTGTCCACAGCAGCATAATATTTTGGATTTCAGGTTATAATAATAAATATATTTATAGATAGGTGTAAGAATGATTTACAGATTATTATGGGTTTCTGGATGTACCAGTATATACAAAAATACGTTATTTTAACAGCTTGAGGGCTACTAAAATTCAGTAAATGTAAATAATTATAAATATGCGATCTCACGTATACAGAATTAACAACAATAAGACATATATAAAGTATTTCTTTATTACAAGAAGATTTACTGGTGTAAATTACTAAAATATATACCTGTTGTAGTCTTAAGTATACGGAATAGTCAAAATAGGTGCTGTGCTAATCACAGACGGCCATAATATGAAAAATACTGTACTAGCTTAGATACTGTATTATACAGCATTTTTAATGGGCGTGCTAGTATTTACACCTTTGTATTTCTCTGTCTACTTTAGCACCTTTTGTTTTTGCTATTATATACCACCAGTGTGCCTCTATTTTATTACTAGACTCTTCATTCTCTTGGCAGAGTGAGTCTGCGTATAGTTTTAATCCCTGCACATGCCCCAAGATGGCTGACATTCTCAGCCATTTCATTGCCTCTTGCTGGTTATTTTGTGCCTGATATATTTTATATAGCTCAAACCGTGCATCTCCACTCATGGACTCAGCTCTCATGTAATAATAAACAGCTTTTTTGCTGTCCTGTGATAATCCAAGTTCTCCGTAGTTATATGCATGGCCAAGCCTTACACTTGACCGAGGGCACCCAAAAGAATCGCCTTCTAAGTATATTGAATGCGCGTATTCCGTGTCTTCTATGATGTCTTTAGATATCTTTGCAATTTTCTCATAGCATATGCCCAAATCATAGAACATATGGGGATAATTCGTGGATGCAAGCTTTCTACTCTGCTCTAAATAAAAAACAGCTCCTTTTACATCTCTTTTACACCCACCCCTTCCTTCCAGAAGAAGAAGTCCGTACCGGTGCATTCCTCTGCAACACCCACCATTTGCAGATAGTTTATAGAAGTGTGCTGCTTTGTGCATGTTTCGTGTGCAGCCTATTCCAAATTCGTAAAAATGCGCTAGTCTGTAGCACCCAAATGGATTTGAATGATCAGCGGCCACAGTGTAGTACTCATGGGCCTTTTTAATATTCTGCTTGGTTAGAATTCCTGTTTCGAATATCTTCCCTAGTATACAATACGCTTCTGAAAATGCAGTGTTTTGGTACCTTGTACCAGGCATTCTTTGGGTTACAAAAATAACTGCATTTATTACTTTAGAGTAGTCTCTTTGAATTACCTCTGCATTAAGTGCTTCTAATAATGCCGAGTCTAATATTTTAGATGCTATTTCAATGATACCTTCAAAGTTTTTATTATGCTTAAATAGCTCGCACTGGAAAAACAACTCTTTCATTATCTCCTTATTATTTCTTGTGGTGTTTATAGGCAGGCCATTCCCCCTTCCCCTTCCCCCTTTTTATCACATATTTTTTATTTCTAGTGGATGAGTAATAGAGTGCTAAGGCGGTTCTCCTTTTCTTCTTCTATTAAAGAATTTATAGAATGTGTTTCTGTTGAGCTATTCTCAGCAGGCTATGGCCCAGAGGAGCAGCAGTACTATACAATATATGGAGAAAACACTCGAGTTGAAGTAAAGGAGCTGGAAAGACCACACTCGCCAATTATTGAACTAATGTTTATAGGCATGCTGTGTATTCTGTGCACTGTTGTATTTAAGTGCGCAGTGTGCTCAATGAAATCAAGAATTTTTAATGTATCTGTAGGGTGTTTATACATAAATTTCTGTCTCTCTCTTATAACAGTTGTTCTTGTGTGTTTAGAGTTCAGAAAGCTCTACAAAGCAGAATCTGTATAAGAAGTAATCAGAAACAATAAAATGGTATAACCCGAATTACATAATAAATCAATTGTATTAAATTTCAGATTATTTACAGTGGTGTACTACATATATCCTTATCTACTGACATATTTAATCACATTATACACATATATTTATATATTTCGGGTTAATTAGGATTATTGGTGCTATCCTGATTTGTTAATTGTATTGCTATTCTGTGTTATATTGGGTTATATGCCTACGTGCGTATAAATAAGAATAAATCCTATTTTTAAATATTTCTGACTATTTTCATATTCTTATATAGAAATAAACACGTACATGTAAGAATATAAAATGAAGAGAATAAAAATATTTCTATCCTTTAAATATTAAAATAATAACAGAATATATTGAAAACATCAACAAATATACTATAATCCTACATAAACAGAGAATGGCACTAATTGATTTTATTTATGTAACCATTTGATTAATCACTTAGGCTATAACAACTAGAAATGCTTATATTCTATGTTAAGAGAATGACTTATAGACTAAATTTACATGTATTTACACAGAAACAATTCAATTTCAATACGGAATATTTAAATTTGTGTATTCATTTTTAATAGGCAGCAGTTTATTAATATAAAATTTGAGAAATTCCAACTGAATCGCGAGCACTATGCACTCGTTTCCTATTCTTTATAAACTATTCTTCATGCCCACTGGGTCCGTAACAAATTAATATCATTGACTGCTGGGTAAATTTGTGTATTTATAGAATTAACATATTTAGATTATATTTATAATACTATTTCTAGCTAATAAGCTATAAATATAAGAAATAATTAAAATACATTCATAGAATACAGTGTACATCTTCAGGATCTATTATAATAAACCTAAATGAGCATGTACAGTATAATAATACAGGTTAATTACACTTAAATAATTGATTTTATGGGTTACATCGGGTTATTTTATCTATGAAGTAGTTTCTTTGTATATTTAGCTAGAATTTTTCTACTTAGTGCACATAAGAAGACTATCCCTATATTTATCACCGAGACTGACTGAATATATTTTAAAGAAGGATCTGAAATAAAAAAGTACACTGCTCCTGTTATAAATATGCTTATTAGAACTGAATAACACATTGTATGGGTTATTATATAAACACTTTTAATTTCTGTGCAAGCAAATATTGCAATGCTAGATATAAAAACAGAAAGAGGAAAGCTCATGTAAATACTTTCTGTTATAAGCAGTAATATATAGAAACCGTACATAAACCATGCAGAACCTATAAATAAGTACAATGAAATTTCTGCGGAAATTATTCGAATGTAATTAAGCACCTCACAGGTAAATCCACCCAATGTGAACATAATCCCTGGACTATTTATACCAACCCAAACAGCTAATAAGTACAATACGTTTGAAAATAAAAATCCAAAATGTCTTAGCTCTCCACTCTTCCGAAAGGTCGGAGACATGAGTATATACAGTAACCCCACGGGCATTAGGCAAGATATAATATGCATGCTGTACCAGCCCTCATACTCATCAACCAGGTCTTTATATTCGTCAATAGCCACGTTATAAAAGCTTTTCATTTAGCAAAAAATCTTTTTGTCTAAATTTACGTATTATGACTCTTCTATTATGACCAATTATTATCTATAAACACAATTTAATGGTTTTATAGGAGAAATAATCATTTTCTCGGAAAACGCCAGAATATACACCAATAAGCAAGGATTAAATTGTAATTTATAGAATATTACTTACTTATTCGGGTTATACTCTATTTCTTTACCATGAAGATATAGAGAATTTTCACATACTCGGGTTATTATCTTGTTTACTGTAATACTCTGTTGTGTTATTACAGTTATACATCTTTACTTTATCTTTATCTTTATTTCTTGTACTCCATCTATTATTACAAGCATTTCTACGCGTGTACTAAAGTTGGGAGTAATAATTGTGGGGTTGCGTGCTCTGTCCAGTGGAATAGTAAGAAATATTTTTGTAGCATACTCCACATGCTTTGTCTTATTAAAAAAACACTCTCTAGATTCAATCTCATCGATTATCTCTACTTGTACTAAAGATACGCTTACACTCTTTGTTGGCTCAATAAAATCCAGTCTTAATGATAGTACACAATTTGGAGGGTCTTCTTCTGTTATTTTAATAAGCACTTTAGCATACTCCTTACCATGCGTTGTTATTGAATAGAATGCCTGCCTAGTACACCCCACAGAATAATATTTTAACATTTTTGAGTATAAATCCAGTGGATGGTGCGTATTCTCTTTCTCTACAATCCAGTACTTCTTTGCGTCATTAGAGACCGCTATACTGTCATAACTACTTTTGTTTTTATTCTCTACAATAAACTCTACTTCTTCTTTTTTCTTATAAGCAATCTGTACTCTGCGTAAACCATCCACTATCTTCTCATACCCAAATACAACGTCGGGTTTCTCCTCATAGCTTATCATGGAACCATTTGGTTCTTTTACACTTTCATACTGCTCTGAAATAAATAACTTAGAGGAATTTTCAAAGCATGCAGGTACACTAGAAACCACCGAGCATATAAATGTCTTGTTATACTCTGTACGCATTCCCTGTATATATACATTTAAGTTATAAACTATACCTATGTTATTGCCACAATAACTCGGTGGAATATCTTTAGGAAGAAATAATGAGTACTGCACACCATCTAGTCTCGCCGTATTTGTGCCCAGAATTACTTTTTCTGTCTCTATAAAAATACTGCTTGTGTTTCTCTTTAAATACATCCCAGTGAAATTGCACGCAGCCATAAGTATTTCATCATTTTCTGCTGTAATAGATACTTTAGTACTAAATACTGCATCAATAAAGAATTTCCTTTCTGTGCATATAACGTCCCATTTCATTGGTTTTGGTTACCTACAAATTAAAATTTAATCTAATTTATGCTTAATTTCTATTTTCATTAATTAAGTGCCTTCCTAATGAGCATTTTAATTTAAACTAATTTAGAAAAATAACAAGCATAAATTAGACAGAAAGTATTTTTTCATAATGAAAATCTTTGTAATAGCGTGCGCGCTTATTGGCTATTTTGAAATAGCTTACTGTAAAGCGGAGAGTGCCGACCCCAGTACAACATTAGCAAATGCTGGAAGTGATAAAGGCAATGCTAAAGAGGGAGTGCATGTTGTAGAAGGAAAGGAAGATTCTGTAGCCGCCTCAGACAAAGATGTTGAGCAAGAGCATGCAGATGTATCTGAGAGCAGTCAAGATCCTAACATAAAAGAGATGTTACAGAAGCTGGCAAAGACAGCAGCTGAGAAGCATCTAGAGGAATCTTCAAAGAATGGAGAGGTAAGTATGACAGAAGAGGAAATGAAGCAAGCTGCAGATGAACTAGCCAAGAAAATATTAAAAGAGGCAGAGGAAGGGAAGACAGATTCTAAAGAATCACTTGAGGATGCAGTTGAAAGGCTTCAGAAGAGCATGGAGGAGGAAAAGAGTCAGAGCACTCCTGCCGAAAAAGTAGAAAAAGTAGAAGGAGAGTGCATTTTGTTCTCATCTCTTGAGCTCTCAGCTGAGGAGGTTGAGAAGATTACCAACTCTGTTAAAGTATCATCCTTTAGACAGAGCAGCGATGAGGAGCTAGCTAAGAGTCTGGGGGTGACTATTCCTGGAGTATTTTATAAGTCAAATGAAGGTGCCTATGTGTTCAGTCTTTCTTCAGGGGAGAACACAGTTGAGGGAGTCTCTTCTAAAATATCAAAAGTACAGGACATTGCACTTGTTCCTGTATTTGGAGAGTTATACAGAGAGAATTCTCAATTATATGAGAATCTTTCTATTCCCATTGTATACTTTGTATCAAGAAAGCAGGACTTTGAGAAGTACAAGTGGGCAGCACCAATTGCAGAAAATCTTAAGAGTCATTTAAAGATTGCTCTGCTTGACTACACAAGCACAGAGTTCTTCCTGAACATTTCTGGAGTGCATGAGCCAATGCTTCCTGCACTGTTCATTATTATTCCCAATGGCAAGAAGTTACACAAGTATCTTCTTACTAATGCAGAGGACAATGAGAGAACTATTGAATTTTTAGAGCAGTGTGCTTATAATATAGACAGTGTAAAACCATATCTTATGGGAGAGCCAAGACCATCTGATGAAGATGCAAAGAATGAGGCAGGAGTAGTAAACTTAGTTTCTTCTACTTTTGATGAAATTGCACTTGACCCAATGATGGACACTTTAGTAGTATACTATGCAGAGTGGTGCAACTTCTGTAAGAATTTACTGCCGGGTTTAGATAAGCTAGCAACTGCATTAAATGGTGTTTCTAGTGATGTAGTTATTAGTAGAATGCTTATGTCAAAGAACGATGTTCCATTACACGATGAGATTGAGCCAATTCAGGCATACCCCACCATAAGAATATACAAGAAAGGCACAAACAAGGAAATTGAATTTGAGATACAGGACAAGCCAGCAGATGCTGAAGGCGTTCTTGAGTTCCTCAAAAAACACACTGACATCCCTGCTGATCTAACTATTGAAACAGCAACTGCCTCCAAGACAGCTCCAATGGAAGGAGCAAAGATTCCTGAAGAAGTTAAGATGGATCTATAAGTTTGTCTTGTAATAAATACTCTTTAAAATATTCTTTATATTAGCTTATACTGTAATTTATGTACATTCTGTATTTCTCGCATGAACCGCATAAGATAAGACTTTTTACACAATGTACATATTCTAATAAATACTTATGGTAATAAGATTTTATAAACAATGTGTAATAAATTAAATCAAAAAGTACACAATAACAAACCATAACTTATAAATAATCAATTACTATATTATGTTTTATTACACAATGTATAGTATATTCTAGTATACAAACACTTATTTACGTACATTATACAATAAGTAATATTTATAAATAATCAATTACTATATTATGTTTTATTACACAATGTATAATATATAGTATTTATAAGTAATTGTAAAGAAAGTATTACTAATCTCACACATTACAGTATAACAGGAATAGTACAATGTACAGTAATAATAAAAGAATAACATAGGTGTATAACAGGTATATAATAGGTATATAAGAGAGATAGTACAGGAATAGCATAGGTGGATAACAGGAATAGTACTGGATATAATAAGAGAGTAACATAGGTATATAACAGGTATAATAGGAATAGTACAGAAATAATAGGAGTAGTAGTATAATACAGTACATTATAAGTATAATAAGTATATGCCTGTATATATATACCACCAGTGCATATAATACCAGTATAAGTATATGTCTATACCTATACCAACCTATACATATCTATATACTCCTATCTGTCTGTCTGTATATCCTTACCTATGTACTTCTATCTGTCTGTATATACTTACCTATGTACTCCTATGCCTATGCCTATATACTCCTATCCCTATGTCCTTCTGTTTCTGTATACTTCTGTGTGATAATATGGTTTACAAACATTCATGGGTTTATTGGATATTTTGGTTATCTATGACGTATCAGAGAATGGCAGCATGTCTATGCCTAAATTTGATTCAATTTCACGAATCTTGTATACATCCTCAGGAGTAACCATATTCACAGCAGTCCCTTCAGTGCCAAACCTGCCACTCCGGCCGATCCTGTGGAGGTAACTTTCTGTACTCTGTGGTAAGTCAAAATTAATCACTACATTTACACTCGGTACATCTATCCCTCTTGTTACTAAATCAGTGGACACTAATATTCTGCACTCTCCTTTGGATGTAAAATTATGGAATACCAGATTCCTGTCCTCTTGCTTCATTTTACTGTGGATATAATACGCTGTAAACCCTAATTCAGTCATTCTCTTGGCAAGTCTTTCAACCGTCTGTATCGAGTTACAGAAGATAAAGCACTGGTTCAGGTTAAGCTTAGTCAGGAGAGTCTTTAAACAGTGCAGTTTGTTAATCGATTTAACGTATGCATAATACTGCCGTACACCCGAGAGTGTTAATTCTTTCATTAAGTTGATCTTTACTGTGTCTGGCATGTACGTGTCAATGTACTCCTGGATCATGGCTGGGAATGTGGCTGAGTACATCTCAATCTGCTTCTGTTTCGGGAAGTGTTCTGTTATGTCGTAGACAACCTCTTTGAAGTCCATGCTTAATAATTTATCTGCTTCATCGCATATAAGGTACTTGCACTTATCCAGGACGATCACTTTCTGCGTGATAAAATCAAGAACCCGTCCTGGAGTGCCTATAATTATATGAGCACCCCCTTTTAACCTAATAATATCATCTTTAGCACTCACCCCACCATATAATGGGAGTATCTTTAGCCGTAAGAACTCTCCTAATTCCTTGCATACTTTTGCGGTTTGAAGGACTAATTCCCTCGTGGGTACAAGTATTAGTGCCTGTAATACGAGCTTGTGCGGGTTTATTTTATTCAGTAGTGGGATAGTGAATGCAGCAGTTTTACCAGTCCCGTTTTTAGCCCTGGCTACTATATTCTTATTAGCTAGTGAATAAGGAATAGTCTCAGATTGGACAGGAGATGGCCAGTGAAACCCTTTCTTCTGTATGCCCAGAAGTACTTCTTTTTTTAATTTATAATCCGTCCATTTATGATTCTTCCCATTTTCTTCTGTGTACACATCTTTTGTTCTTTTTTTTATTTCTCGCTTTTCCTTTTTTATTTCTTTTACTGTCTCCGTAAACTCTTTTGATGGTTTTATTTCGGGTTTGGTCGGGTTATTTGGTTCTTTTAATGAGCATTTTATGTCTATTACTGAAATATCTTCAGTGGTCCTTTCCATTTTTTCTAGTTTCTCTAATAATGTGTCTATTTGCTCTTTAATCTTTATAATTTCGCCTTCTTTGATTTTCTCTTTTCTTTCTGGTTCTTTTATTATTGGCTTACTTTTCTTTTTACTTGCTCTCTCTTTGCTTGGTTTTCTTGTGTCTGCTGAAATTGTCAGCTGCTGCCTCTCTTCTTCCTTCTTCATTATAAAAAATATTTCATTGGTTTTTGACTATTTCTGATATATTTATTAATTATTTAATTAATTATAGTCTATTATAAAAGACAGTATAGAACTTATTACATAAATAACAGAAAGATATTATAGAAATTTACATAAAATAATAATAATACATAATAGTATATGTGTAATAAGTAGTATATAATACACATAGTAGAATAAGTAGTATATAATACATACAGTGTAGTAAGTTATATTTAGTGCATATAGTGTAATAAGTTATATTTATTAGTATATGTGTAATAAGTAATATCTATGTGAGTATCTTAACTTAATACATAATTACTTATATATTGTATTATATATGGATAGTTGTGTATTAAGTCATAAGTACTGTTCTGGGTAGTTAATTTTAATGGGCACGGATGGTTCAATAATTTATTTATGAATTCGGGTTATGTCGGGTTATAATGAAACTACTTGCTGCTCTCCTCTACTGTTTCTGGTGGTAAGTTGTAGTACGGTATTCTGCCTCTGAGCCAGTCGTGTAGAACTATCTTTGATACGGCAGTTATATCTGCTACTCCCCCCTTTAATAACCTGCCTGATTTCTTGGCAAGTAGTTCTAGGAATTCTAAATGGTCATCTCCAGGCTCTATCCCGTACAGGTTATGAATGTGCTTGCTGTCTGCTTTTTTAAGGAGGGCCTCTACATGGTCCTCTGGTGAAGTTATGTTCTCTACACGTACTACCCCCTTTAAAACAACTGCAGTTTCATCTTTATCTGCAGCTGGTACAATCCCTGGGCAGTCGATTAAGTATATTCTCTTCATGAGTGAAATATACTGCCATACTTTGGTTTGCCCTGGGATGGGTGCTACAGTGCATACAAGCTTAGACTTGAGCGTATTTATAATACTGCTCTTCCCTACATTCGGGTACCCAACAAAGCCCACACTGATCTGCTTCTTCTCTGGGTGTAGCTTTGCAAACTGTCTTAGAAGGTTCAGCAAACTCTGCTTCCCATAATTTCTGTCAATTGAAGATGCGTGGTATGCGAGTGTTGGAGTGTTCTTGGATAAATATGCAAGCCATTTTGCCGTTACACCCGTTGGGAGTAAATCTACTTTATTCAGTAGATATATAAGGTGCTTATGCTTGTGCTCATTTATGTACCTTTTTATGTTTGTACATTCTGTTCCTAGTGGATCCCTTGCATCTAGTATGTGTATTACTACATCACTTGAATCAAGAACTTTATAAAGTTCTGCCCATATCCTTCTACTCTGCCCCTTTTGGTATATTTTATCCTTTGTGTCGGACATTTCCTTCTCTTTCTCTGCCACAGAAGTATCCGTGGATGTTTTTGCTTTCTTCGCAAGTTCGTCTATTGACTGCACAGACAGCTTTACTTTCTTTCGAGTGGCTTTCTTCCCAAATGTGTTCTCATACGAAATAATTGGACGGATTGCCTTTTCCTTCTCCTCCTGTATAAGACTCATTGGAACTTTCCCCTGATCAAGTATCACTTTGTACGCATCTGTTGCTGTCTCTTCTAAATCTTTTCTAAATGCCTCTAACTCCCTCTGGTCTGTTGTGCGCGTAGAGGCAAACCATGTCCTGGAGTGCTTTGTCCTCCCGGGCTCTGCTACTGGGTTCTGGAAAAGAGCTGGCTTAATTATATTCCCAGCCGCATCCCTTGTGGGCTTCCCACCCCGCAGCATTTTCCAGTGTGATAGCTTTTCTTTTGTCCTGTAGAAATTCTCTCCCTTTTCTCCCATTCTTATACGTTAAAATTTTCTTGCAGAATTGCATTATTTTATGTCTTTTAGATTTAATATTCTGGTGTTCTGCAATTTTTTATGGCGCATGTTTTAGTTGAGCATTCCGTTGGATATTTGCTTGTTCAAGAGAATGGCTTAGATTCTGTTGCACTGAAGGAAACACTTAAAAGTGCAAAGACACTTGGGGACTTTAAGAAGGCATTTAAGCTCTGTGGAACACTTGTGTACTCTGACCCACAGGATGCATTAGAGCAGTTAGAGGCCTCTTCAGAGGGAAGAGTTACACAGAAATTAAGAGAGTTTCTGCAGATTAATGAAGTAAAAGTTCTTGCTGCAGACAAAGTATATGCGCATGCAATGAAAGAGTTGGGGATTAAGTTAGTGGATGAAGAGAGTTCACTTGAGCTTATCAGGGCACTCCGAAAGAATGCAGATGAACTGTTCTCAGTGGAGTTTAACAGAGTCCAAAAATCGCAGGTGAGTTTAGCACATGCTATCTCAAGAAAGAAGATCCAGTACGATACAGCCAGAGAAGACCATGCAGTTATGCAGTGTATTTCTATGCTGGATGATATGACAGTGGACATAAATGATTATTTTATGCGTATAAAGGAAATGTACTCCTGGCACTTCCCAGAGCTTATTGATATTTGCAAGGAGCAGATTGAGTACTTAGGCGCAGTTGGAGTAGTAGGAAACAGAGAGACCGCAAATAAAGAAGATATTAATAAGCTAGAGAATGGCCAAGCTATAATAGATGCCATGGAAAACAGCATAGGTGGAGAAATGACAGAAGAGGATCTGGCCATGATTATGGACATGTCTAGTGTTGTAGTAGAGAAGATTGATCTGTACACACAGGCACTGCAGCACTTAGAGAAAAGACTGGCTACTGTTGCACCAAACCTTACAGCACTAGTTGGAAAAATGGTGGCTGCCCGGCTTATTCTTAAGGCAGGTGGGCTGAGCAAATTAGCCCTGTGCCCATCCTCTACGATACAGGTACTTGGTGCAGAGAAGGCTTTATTCAGAGCCATGAAGAGCAAATCAAAGACTCCTAAATACGGACTTATTTTTAACTCATCCTTCATTAACTCTACTGCACCTAAAATGCGTGGAAGGGTTAGCAGATACCTCAGCTCAAAGTGTGCAATTGCTAGTCGTATTGACTGCTACTCCGATAAAGTTACTGATGCGTATGGAATAGCCATGAAGAATATGGTTGAGGAGAGAGCAAAAGGAAAGAGCACTCACCACATGCCAACTGACACTGTCTTACAGAAAGTATCTGAACAGCTCAGGAAAGAAGAGTGTGCTACTTCACATAATTAATGATTAGAGAATTTGAGTGGTCCAGCATTATTATAGCAAACTGTTTGTCTTTACCCAACCACAAATAAAACCACAATCAGTTAACCTGAATTTAAATTGTATCCTTCTTATCACAGTACAATTACTGAAACCAAGCAGTCTTTGTATTTATTGTTATAAATCACCAGAAGCATAATTTCACTTTTATTATCCGAGTGGGATATAACGCAATGCCCTAAACATAAGAATATTTATTTGCGCATATACTGGAAATTCATTAATACAGTAGTGTATTACTATACTGCACTAATACGTATTTATTGATTTATTGTGTAAATGTATGGTATTTCCATGGGGTATTATAATAATAAAGAGTTATTCCTGCTTATGTGTAAAGTGTACATAAATAAACAGGAAATGTGTACACTTTTAATAAAAATCTTAAATATTCTCAGATAATAGTATGATTTATGCATTTATTTCTATACACAAGAAGACTTCATAGCAGCTAAATACTCCTCAGGAGAAAAGTCGGGAAATTCCATGAAGAACTTCCACCCAGGCCGTACGAAATATTCTTCATTCTTCTTTTTCTTATAGAAATACTTCTTACTGATCATTTCTCTCATTACCTCTTCACTTCCTCCCATCTGCTGAAGTGCACTCAGCACTCTTTCATACTGTAATTCACTCCCGTTTAAGTATATTACAGTGTATACATACACAATATCAGATACGTACTTGGTTATATACTGATTTTCATCGTCTGTACACTCTTTTTTCTTTGCTATGTACACAAAATCACATTTTTTCAGAGACTCTGCTTTTTGTGTGTACTGCACTGTTGTATCCTCTGGTGCTAGTACTTTCCCTTCAAAATTTGTTCTTGTAGTACTTCCTGGTATAAGCACATACCCCATTGTATCTAGTTGTTCTGCTACTAAGTATAGCGTATCTATACACTCTTTCCTGGATATCTGCAGTGCTTCTGTTATTTCACTTATCTTTGTATTTCTTCCTTTACGGAATAACCCGAGGATATGCCACAGCACAGACTGTGCACTCATTAAAAAAAATTCTATGCCAGCACAGTAAATCCATGCTTTACCATAAACTAAGTACACTAAACAGTTAATTAATTCCGTATAAACCACATAAATATAACACATTCTGTACTTACATGGCACTAAGCCTGATTATTAATCACATAATCCCACAACATTTCTGGTTCTGCTTCTTGCTCAGCCGGTACAGACTCTTTGTCTGAAAAGACAGTTGCTCTGCTGAGTTTATTAAATCGTGCAGTTTTTGGCCACGACCAATCGCACTCTCCACAGTTTTTGAAAGTAAATCGTGCACATCATCCAGCTCATTTTGTATTTGTAACATAACATCCTTTTCTTCATAATTCTGGTACTCTTTTATGAGCTGTTTTGTATAATTGCGTAACTTATTTTTATCATCCTTAAACTTCGCCTTCTTCTCTTCTGTCACCCACTCGCCAGGATAAAGCATTTTCTCATCCTGTATAAACTTAGCAATATCATCTATAAGAAGACATAAAGTGGGTATCGGATACTCTAAAAGAGAAGCAATAACAAATATGTAATTCTTCCTCTCCCTTACAAAGAATTTATAACTGTCTCCCTCCTCTACTTTATGTACAAATTCCTGTGATCTTGTTGTTTCTATGTTCTGAACTATCCTGTTGGAAATAAACCTAATCATCTCCTGAACAGGTGTTCTTTTAAAGAAACTGAACGACCCAAGGGAATACTCCTCTAAGAATAAATCCACCTTTTGGTTCTCTTTGCTGAAGAGAATAATTGAAAACAAGCACGCACTCTTATTGCTCATATAAAATTTTTTATAGTACTGTGGTTCTAGTCTCTTAAGCTTTAAATAAAATGTGCTAAATATTCTTAATTATTGGATTTCTTTAAATCTTTCTGGTTATAAATTATTTATACAATAAGTATAGCATTAATTTATGAACTGCCTGTATAAATGCAAAAGTGTTTTTTTTGTTTATGAGGAGAGGATTTGTATTAATTGGTGTGCTGTCTCTGTTTTTTAGTTATATCCAGGGCATAGCAATACAGAAGATAATTAGGCCAAAAACTGTTTCTATTATGGCAGAGAAAGTTCCACAGGCTGGAATGGGCATAAAAGTAGATATAAATGTGATTGAAGGGCACGGGATATATGTAGCCACTGGGATGAAAAACAACTTATCACAGCAGGTTGAGTTAGTAGATTCATTCCAAAAGAATATTGAAGCAAGTCAGGCAGGAGAATTTGAGTTAAGGATAATTAATGAAAGTGATGACTATGCGAATATATCTGTTTCAATATACGCAGACAGTGCGCATGAGGATACAGATGAGGCCGAGGTTCTTAAGAAACTATTAGATAAGGTTAGAGTGGACTTAATGAACATTTACAATGATATTCTAAAACTTAAAAATGCGAATACGCACAGTCTGGTAAAAACCAAATCTGCCAAGAACACTTTATGGGTTGTATGTGTATTCCCTCTTTTGTACATTTTCCTGAGTTATTGGAGACTTCAATCAATTAAAAGCTTCTTTAGTACCAAAAAGAGGAACAAGATATAAGAAATAAACAGATTTATGTTTTTTATTTTAATTTATGGCCGTAGAGAACAAGAGGAGATCTGAAATTATAAAAAGACAGGCAAACATAAGGAAGAAGGAAGCAGAGCCATCCACTCTTGAGAAGTTTAAGCAGACAATTGCACACTGCAAAAAGGAATTCATCCATGTAAAGCTATTCCTGAAGAGGTCAAAGAAGCCCAGCAGTGGAGAGTACAGACAAATGCTTGCAGCGCACACTAAGGGAGTTCTTTTACTTGGATTCCTTGGGTACATAATTACATTTATACATATACCAATTAACAATATTCTATTTGGAATAAAGAAGTGAATAAAAGGTACAGAATAAGTTATTCAAGTTCCATGTTTTATGCGGATTATTGTGTTTAGAGCCTTTTAGTATAATTTTATTATGAAATATCCTGGTATTTATGGATTTATAGAATATTATCACAGTATAATAATGAGTTTATAGGATATTTATGAGATAATTATTATAATGAGAGGGATAATTAATATTTCAGAATAATTCAGAAATAGCTTGAAATTTATTATAAAAGTGCATTTAAATTATTTTTATCTTATTCATATGAAGACATCTAATGGCCATTTGTGCTGTCATCCATTTTATAGATTCTGCCGTAAATTCACCAGCAGATTTTCTTTTGTTTCTTCATATCCTTTCTTTATTTTATTTTTCTTTTCTACTCTTCTTTATTCACTGGCGCTCTTTCATGCTCTGCTTATTTTAGGATTTACAATGTCAAATTACGCGCTTTTAGCTATTTCTGCTGTATGTGCTGGGTGCTCTATACGTATTAGTATTTAGCAATATTTCGGGTTATATGACGTATTAAACAAATTATAACGATTTAATAAACAGGATATGACGTATTATATGGTGTAATAATACAAATATAGACTAAATCACTAGTACAGCATATGATATGACATGTATAATTAGAAGTTATAAGAATTTAATTATACGTGTCAAAGAATTTCGGGTTATATATAGAGAAGCAGTAGTTAGATGGATGGAAGAAGAATTATATATAGAAAAATCACAGGATAGACTTACCCACCTACTGGATGCATTAAACGCTATAGAAGGAGGAGCAGAGGGAAATTTAGACACTATGAGTGATTGTAGTATAGATTCTATTGTAGACTATGATGAAGTAGAACAGTCTAGTATTAATCAAACAAATAGAAATAGTAGTCAGACAACAAGTAAACATTCAGATGTTAATTTTGAGGTCGATAAAATTGGTTGGACGGATAATTCAATATATAGCCCAAAACCAAAAGAAGAAGTTAGATTTCAAGGATTTAACACAACGGGATGGAGAGTTAAAAAAGATGATGTAATAATCAAAGATCTAGAGCTAGCTAATGTATTTGATTTTGTGAACAAGAATAATCCAGAAGATGTAACTCTTGAAAGTATGTTTGTGCATTTTAACAGTAGAGGGAATCAAGCAATTAAAGAAGTATATACTATATACACAGCAAATCAAAACTGTTTTAATTATTTGTTGAATAGTGAAAGTATTTCTATGCACAGTATGAAATTCATAAGAACTCTATCAGAGAATTTGCATGAAATATACAGTGCAATGTACGAGCATGCAGATATTATATTTGGTAGGTATGATAATATAAAAAATACAAGTTTATTGAACTATCTAATAGAGAAGCATACTCTTCTAAAAGAATCTGTCATATACAGCGAGAATAAACTAAAACACGAGGAAGCAACTCTGACCACCCAAGGAATACAGAAAGAGGATATTAGTGATTTATACAAAGACACTTTACATATAAAAAATTCTATAGAAATACTTAATAATACAAGTGCAGTAATAGAAGATATAAAAGTAAAAGTGGATTACTATAAATCTAAAAGAAAACAAGAGGATTTAATAAGCAATAAAGAGAATGCCGTGGCTGCTATACTAAAAAATCAGAATACATTAGAAGAACCCTCAAACAATACAGATCCATACACTAATGCACTTTTCTGCAGACTAAGAGGTCCATCGCATATTTTTTGGGAAAATACAGTTAAGCCATTGCACTTTCTGTATAAAATAGATACATTTTATCTGCTATTCAGTATATTCATAATTCTATTTTCACATTTGATATTCTTTACAGTTCTAGAAATTACACAGTACGTATCAGATAAGCAATTAAGTATTATAGAGTACTATATACACTTAATATGTAATACATTATTTAGTGTGTTATTAACAATGTATACAGCAATGCATACTTATATAAGCTATAGAAGCAAACAGAATAACTTAATAATGTATGAGAATATACTGTCAAAAATAGGCATAAACCAATATATCATAAGGTATAGTGTTCTGTTTTGTTTATATGCAATTACAGCAGTAGGAAACCTATTTATAATTTATACACAAATTCAGAATATGGTACTGTGCGGGAATGAGTTCATTTCTAAATTATTTTATAAAGCAGAAGAGAATCAAATTATTGACATTGTAATTTTCAGTGGGTTTGATTTATTCTTTATTCTATTCTCAGTAATTTCCGTTATATTAGTGTGGATATCACTATTTAAGAAAGACTGGATATATAAAACACAGAGAATAAACATACCAGTGATTACTGTAGTAGGGTGTATAATATACCTTTTTATGCTGATAATTACAGCTATAACATATGAAAAGAGTGAATTAGTGAATATAAATGGAATAATGTACAGGTACCACATAGGATATGTTGTACAAACAATTGGTATATTATTCCTGTTAACATACCATGCTAAGATATACTTAAAGAAAAGTGGAAGGATTAAGAAAATGGACATGTTAAGGAGAACAAAAAGGTTTAACTATAAATACTTAGCAAGTATAATTACAATAGGATGTATCTCCGGATTAATTTGTTCATTTTGCATGTACTTATTTGTTATTGATGTGCATGCTGAGCTATTTAAGCTGAGCACAACAGAAATAGCAAAAAAGCTTGGAGTTAAAATGCCTCTGCCAAGTATTTTTATGACGTAATAAATAGAACTATTACATAAATCACTGATTATTTATTATTTATATCGTATTATAAGACTAATTCTTTGCTGAATCCATGCAAGCCAGAAATAATAATTCAGAAAGTGCTAAAATTTAAATTTCGGGTTATTATGCATTGGAATATTATTTATCTGCAAGATATTCTTAATTATAAAAATGCTTTTAAGTTTTCATTGGGCAGATGCACCGGGCAGAAAAATAAGAAAACCAACTGAGTATGCCTCACTGGACGAGTCAATAGAGCTACCAAGCATAGAGGAGGTGGACACTCTTCCCATATTCACAGCAGATGAACATGTAGAAATTATAAAGCTAGAAGAAATAGGGTCAGATGCTCTTAACAAAATGTACACAGTAGACATGCCATCGAATGTCAGCATTAAGTGCAAGGGAATATCTCGGGAGGAGTATAGGTTTTAATTGGAATAATCAGAAGTTGGGGAGTATTACAAGCTTAAATAAAGTGGCAAGTCTTTAAAAAGTAGAAGTTAGTATGTGCATTGTTGTAATAGAGTGTTATTTATTTTAGGTTAGGATATTTTCATTCAAATAATCTCCTGTAATTGTGCTGTATCAAGATCTCTTTCAATTTCTGTGTCTGATTCGTATATATCTTTAACAGACTTTCTGTGCTTTCTGTTCTTTCTTCTCAGGTGCATGTGGATGATTGGGGCGGTGGTTCCGTGCACTACAATACTTGAGAACACAATACCCAGAACTACTTCCAAGATATGGTCGGCTAGTGCTTTATCTAATGTTACAAGCTCTTGCATAGTGTGATAAGCAAAGAAAATAGCACCGACTCCAATTGGCCCAAACCATCCTGCAAAGAATATTTCTCTTGTGTTAAAGTACGGAAGCAGCCCGCATACCTTCATGAGAAGAATCGCAGGAAGTCTTCTGAACAGCAGAATAAGCAAAGAAGCCAGCATGGTCTTCCAATTAAGAACTTTAAGGGGCAGAATAATTCCGAGAACAATGAAGAATGACTGGTTGAATAGAAGATCAACCACTTCCATCACGTGCGAGTTTTTCATATCAACAACCATTTCTTCATCCCATGCAAAGAACAGTCCAGATACAAAGACAGCAAGAAGGTCGTCACTTTGCATTTGTGCAGTTACACCAGTCACAAGAATAGCCAGGGCCAGGGAGTAAGCCAGAAAACTTTCCTTGTCAATTAGCCTTTTTTTAACACTGTACTTTAAAAGAATCCTGGCAACAGCGCCGATTACAGCCCCCATTATAATTGCAAATAGAATTTCAAATCCCCATGTGTGAATACACCATTTCTTTAGAGCGCTTGTTACTGGGCTGCTATTTCCCTTGAACTGCATTAGAAGAATTGGAAGAACAAGGAGAGGGAAGCCTAGCCCATCATTCGCACCACTTTCTACAGCCAGCAGATATCTCAGCTTAGATGGAATGTACTTGTTAGCAAACTTCCCTTTAATCACAGCACTGGCCAGAACCGGATCAGTTGGGGTAACGCACGCACCAATCATCATAGCAGGCAGCCAGTCCATTCTAAATACAAATTTTATAATTATACTAGACATAGCGTACATAATCATCATAACCGGCAGAAGAAGTACCATTAGTGGCCTCCAATTATTCTTCATAAATATTCTGGGCACAGTGACACCAACTGCCACTAACTGTAATGATAGAACTATGTGCGAAAAATGAAACATAAATTGTGAATTATTCAGTGCATCAAAAGGAAGACTGTTCTCTTTATCTTTGAATATGAAGGAACAAACCATTCCGTATAATGTGGCAACTGTTGTTTCTGCGATGTACAGCCTTTCCTTGATGAATAGCGAAATAAGACCAAAGCTAAGAATGAATCCTCCAAGAACAGAACAACATATTGCAAAGCTTTGCATTAAAATATTTTTATATTCCGTATAAGTACTTCCCCTTATAAAACCACCAAAAGAACAAATTATTATGCAAATTCTAAAGTACAGAACGTGCCGGTATTAGAAGTACTTGCTTATGCATGCGGTGTGAATAAATACAATAAGAGATGAGAATGCTCTAGGACAGCCAGAGACTCTGAAATTATCAAAGAGTAAGTGAATCTATATTTATTCAAATGGCATCTTAAGAGTCTCTCTTATCTTTCTCTTTCTTTCAAGGTTCTCACGCATTCTTTCGTCTTCTGTCAGGGCATCAAGATTCTTCACAATGAACACTCTTTCATCCTCAACCATCTTTTCTTTTCCAGTGAGTATTCTGTTCTTAATATGGAAGGCTTCTCTGGCGTGTCTTATTGCTGCTATCTTTGGCATGCTCTGCACGACCTTCTCGTACACTTCTTTGTTGTAGATGATAGGCTCGTGTACTCTCTTTTCGAACTCTTGGGACGAATCGTTGACCAAGTCCTTTCCTCGGACTTTTCTGTATGTCTTGGTCCATGCGACTCTTCTTGGGTTTCTCTTTAGCTTAAAGTTCTTTACGCACTTAGACCGGCAGAATTTGAACTCTGCCCCGTCATTTCGCACAAAGACTGACCCATGGCCGGGATATATACTTGATGAGCAGAAGTAGCAGCTGAATATTCTCATTGGCTAGTAAAAAATTTAACTGAAAATTTTTTATACCCCCAGGATTCAAATTGACTCTCTTTCGCCACGGATTGCTTTATTGACAAATCCGCCAGATGGAGGGATATTAAACAGTGGTCAAGGAAGCATATCCTTAATAGAAATATGTGCCAAGCACCACAACATTTTATATTAACATCATTAAACAATACTCGAATGGAATTTATTAAGTTCGTAGCGCAGCAGGCCTTCTTTACGGAAGAAGGAAAAAGAGGAGTAAAGAAGGAATAGTTATTTATTGTGATATTCATAAGTATAAAGTATCTAATTGGTTTATTCGTAGTAAGTCTATGCCTCGTTCTCTTCAATAGTAACAAAAGGTGCATTAATAAATGCCTCATCGTCCATTTTCACTAAGTGCAGGACACCATCTTCTCCCCCAGATGCTATGGCATTGCCAGATGGGTGTATGTCTAGCGTATTTACGGTACCAAAGTGTGTTTTGTAATATCCAACAAGTTTAGAGGTGGCGCAGTCAAAGAATTCAATATTAAAGTTTCCCTGCCCTGTTGAAGTAGTTACATCCCTAGCATCCACACCACCAGCAGAGACTAAAATCCTGTTGTCTGGTGATACTCTTGCTGCGTTATTGGGAGAGTCAGACAAAAACTCTCTAACTGGAGTGATCTCATTATCCGCTCTAATGATTTTGCTTTTAAAGTCAGTAGAAGCAGAGACAAAGTATGTATTACAGAAAGAAGGCGTGAGTGAAGTAATCTTAGACTGATGCACTTTCTTTGAAGATATTTCACCAAATGTTCTTTCATCAACAAGAGTGAGGGATCCTTCTGTGTCACCGTACAGTATTTTGTTGTCTATTGTGGCTCTAATAGCAACTGGTGTGCTGGGAATAACAGTCTGGTTGATTAATTCACCACTCACTGCATCAAATACCCATAACTTAGGCTTTTCCTTCATTATTGCATCAGTGCATAGAACTATTCGCCTGCTGTCTGCTGTGAATGAAACATCTCTGGTTGTAACCACCGTATTAAAAGAGAACATCAGCTTGCCAGTCTCAATATCATACAGATTGGATCTTCTATCAGCACCAGCAGAGACTATTCTTGTATCCTCCTGGTTTATGTCAAATCCAACAACTGCCCCCTCGTGGCCAGGATACTTTCCCAGCATCTCTCCCGTTGAGACTCGCCACACAAGAAGCGAGGCCTCCGTACATGATGAGAAGAGTAAATCTCCATCATGATTGAATTTCACTGTTTTAATTGGTTTTTTGTGGTATCTCAGAGTGCAGCTGTCATTTGGTAAAATTAATCCTTCCAGCTCCTCAGCTGTTTTCTGCCCGCAGTGCTTTACTTCCATTAGGCCGAAAAAATAACTTGAATATTTAATCCAGAAAGAAAAAAATAAAAAATTGTTATGGGAGATAAAGAGAAATTGGAAAATATTAGGGAAAGAATAAAAACAGGAAAAAATACATTTAAAGAAATCTGTGCAGAACTTCTGAATGGGGACAATATAGCACAAGAAACCTTGGGAAACATTTTATTGCTTGCAGAAGAAATAGCATTCCCTAAAGGCCCTCCCTCCTTCCCTAAGAATGCTCTTGATTCAGAGAATAAGAGTCCTAATGGCAAAAACATCACTGAAAATATATACAAAAAATATGAAAAGCTAATGTATGAAATGTATCCCAAATTCTTGTATCTTATGTGTGTTTTTCTTAAAGAGTGTGCTAGATATCAGTTCACGACTGATATATCGAGTGGTGGAGTGTTTTTTGAAAAAAGTGTGGAGATCTGCCAGGAGATGCTTTTTATTCTTAGAAAACGGACTGTGCACGAGACTAGTCTAGGATATATTCCATCGAGTATATTGTCTTTGTTGTTGGAGATAATACGCACGCACTGTAAGGATGTCTCGCCAGAGTTTATTAGTGCAGTGCATGAGATCAAGCGGCTTGAAGGAAACATATTGGAAATACTTGCTATAAAAACAATGTTGGGCCCACTGTTTAAGCTGTTTAAGTGCATAATAGACCATGTTGGAAACCAAAACCAGCGGGTTATGCAGTCTCTTCTGAAAACAATAGAAAAGACAGAGGCGTATAAGACATCACTATACTTTGAACAGAATAAAACTGTTCCTTTTTTGGCTAAAACATTAAGAGAAGAGCTAAGAACATGGGGAATGAATCTTATACACCCGGTGTATTTTTACATTGACCCGGCATATCCACTTCTTGCAGCTGCAATAGTTATTAAGCCAGACAATTTGATATATGAACCGCATGAAGGCATAAGCATGTACATATCCTTAATTATGAGAGAGCTTATGCGGTATACTCCGTATGTAGACATGCGTGTGAATTATTTGTATATTGATGTAGGGGATACTGGGACAGACATAGATGTGAATAAATGGAATTATTTAGGACACATCTATAACCTAGATGTGATTAGATGTGAGATCAATTTTACTACACAGAATGTGTATGAGGCATCTAGATTTATTGATGGTTTGGTTAGGTCTGTGGTAGCGCAGGATATTATTTCTTTATCAATGTATCCCAGCATTCCTTTATCAAGAAAAGTGCAGTGTGTGCTGATTGATAATCTTAGAATTGAGTCCTTGGATGTAAAGGAGTGCTTGGGCAGTGGTGGTATTAGTTCGTGTGTTGAGGAGTTCATATGCCTTCTGGCAAAAAGAAAGAATGGAACACTGCGGTACTTGAGAGAGCTTGCCATCACATCGCCATTTTATAAGGCCATGGCCACCAACCTGCAGAAAATAACATTTTATGGGATACAGAAGCTTACTCTTGAGTTCATTGCACTAGACCGGTACTACAACACAGGCAGCATAAAGAATATCACAGAATTAGTAAACACACTGACATTCCCTGTTCTTCACGAGCTCAACATAAAAAACCATAACATCACAAAAGAAGACTTCAACTTTTTGAACTTAAACATGAATCTGGTGCAAATCCAGTACGGTAAATTTTACTGTCCCTCTGGGTCATCCTACCGCCCAGAACAGCACAGTTATACCTTTAAGCGCCCAGAGTCTGTTGCTATGAGCTCAGGGATTGTTTTTATCATAGCAGAAAATATTGTGTACGAGTGGACCGTTAACTATGTGGATACCGCATTCTCCGACTGTCTGGTCTGTAAGATTCCCTTCTGTAACAATTCAAACAAGCAAGTGGTCATTCTCTCCTGTGGATCAGTCGTCCACATTTCATGTATTGTAGACGCATTTGGAAAGAAAAAGAATCCATGCTGCCCATTTTGTAAGAAAAAAGTACAGCTAATAATGGGCTCGCCAATGGCTGTTGATATAATGTTTAAGCCGCCAATGTCTTATACAAGACACTCAGTAACCCGATAGTACTATCCACACTAAAATACCATAACATACAGTATTTTATTATAAAGTGCCTGTATACTGTGTATTTACTTAATAGGACTGTTTTATTATCAAATAGTCTTCCCATATTTTTCGGGTTATGGGCTGGCTTCAGTAGAAATCGTAAAATAATACATAAATTCAATTTCATTTGTATTTTAGAGTAGACTTTTATATTATTTTGAATATTTTATTATTTTGTGTAAATGTATAATATTCATAAAAATACAATTATAATAATTATTGCATTTATGTGCCACTGTGGTATAAATAACCAGAATATTTCCAGACCAGAATAAGCTTAAATTATTCAAGCAAAGTACATCAGTATATTCAAATAGAATAGGCATATTTAAGTGTTTATTTGGAGACAAGTCTATTTTTAGTCTGCTCTATTTCCTTGCACAGAGAGTCATTGATTTCTTCTGTACACCATTCTGGGAGGGCAGTTGTGAATACATTCTCTTCTAAAGAGTACTTCCATGCGTGCAATGAAAGAGTGGAAAACTTGGGTAGAGTGCTGAGACTTTCCGGGTTTCTGCAGTGCATGCAGGACTCCATTATAAATTGTGATGTATTCTCAGTGGATACGGTTTCTAAATATGTCTCATCATCTTGAAAGTTGTCTGTGCGGCAGTCTTCAGTTGTTAAGAACTTTTCAACGGATTCACGTGTTAAAGGCTCGCCTTCTGCTTCTGCCATTTCCAAGTACGCACTGCCCGTAATTTCACACTCTATGTGTGGTTTATTTTCTACTGTAGGATTATTATTATTTTCTGTGTTGATTTCTTCAGCTGTGCTTTTACTCTCACTAGTATTTTCTTTTATTTTGTTAATTCGGTTAATGAGTGCCTCCTTTCTTATGTATGGAGTGCTGTATATCATATCATCAATTATCGGGTATCCAATTGCCTGTAAATGCACTCTAATCTGATGAGTACGGCCAGTAACCAGTCCACACGCCAATATACTTTCTCCATTTTCTACAGACACTCTTCTAAAGATTGTGATGCTGGGTTTCCCTTGAAAAACGCCATCTTCCTGGAAAACCGTTGTAGTACACGTTTTTCTAGAAATAGAAAGGGGAAGGTTCACAATAACTTCACACTCTGGGAATTCTCCTGATACTTTACAGAGATATATTTTAAACCCTTCTTTCTCTTCTATCTTCTTGTGGTACTTCACTGCGGCTTTTGAACTCTTTGCAAGTATCACCACACCAGAAGTCTGCTTATCCAATCTATTCTGTGCAGACACAAAGGATAGCCCGCATTTCTTCTTTAGAATTTCTGTCAGAGTATGCTTGTTGTACGAGCTGTTTGGGTGGCAGGGAATACCAGACGGCTTATCCACCACCAGTACATCGCTGTCTTCGTATAATATATCTATTTCATCTGTTGGTATGGGTGGCTCATGTCTGTGCGTCTTGTGTGTAATTAAATCCCCATGCTTTAGTACATACTCATCAGTTACAGAATTCCCATTAATCTGTATGGATCCAGAAGCAACAGCAAGCACAAAATAAAGACGGGTCCTTCTTTTAAACTCAGCCGCCAATACGTCTACTAATTTGCACCCGACCCATCTTTCCTTTGTATACGCCTTAAATTCGTATATATACCACGGGCTCTCTCTTACCATAAAAATATTTTGAGATGTTCAGCATATTAGACTTCATTTCTTCAAAAGACTCTGGAGTGACGACACAGGAGATACAGAATGAATTTAAAGACATGTCACTCCAGGATATTGTAGTAGAAATAAACAACCTGCACACAGACTCTCTCATAGACGTATTTAAAACAAAAGGCGGAATAGTTTACAGAAGAAACACAGAGCCGCAGTCATTCTCAACACCAGAAGAGAAAATAATCTATCTTCTTATTAAAGAGGTCGGTGTTGAAGGTATCTGGATAAAAGACATCCGAACAAAAAGCGGGCTACACCAAAATCTTGTAACAAAGCTTCTTAAAACCCTTGAGCAGAGGCTTCTAATTAAGTCAGTTAAGTCTATAAAGCAGAACAGAAAAGTGTACATGCTATACGATGCAATCCCATCAGATGATTTAGGAGACGGTCCGTGGTTCACACAAGAGGCAGAACTTGACACAGGCTTTGTTGATGCAATAAAAAATGTAGCATACGAATGGATATTAAACAGTACAAGAAGTGACGGACTTCCTCCATTTGAGTCCCTACCAGAGGTAAAGCACGTGCACGCATTTCTTCTTAGAGCTGAAATATCTTCGGTTATTTTAACACTTGATGATGTTAAGAGAATTTTAGATATTCTTGTATATGAAAGGAAGCTTATACAACTAGACCAAAAGTACTTTCTTAATAAATAACGGAATTTCAGCGTATTAATTTATGATTTCCAGATATATTTTATTATAATTGCTAATTTCATTTATTATTCAGATATTTCTACTTTGTATTTATTTATTCTTTGATATTTTTACTGTATTTGGAGAATAAATTTGTTTTATTTTATAACAAGATTTTGATTTTAAACAAATTTTAGTTAAAATAACGGTTTATACCTATTTATATTAATTTTATAATCAAATGGTTATTGATACTGTTATGACTATATGTGTATTTTTATAGGTTGTACAGGAATATTTATAAATAATGATAAACCCGAAATAACCCGAAATTATAAAAATGTCTCTGCATGCTTGCCTTCTATTAAATATAAGTATATAAATAAAATATTTTTACCACATTAGAAAATGGCAGACAATGAGAAGAGTGGTCTTTCTGTGGGGAGTAATGCAGCGGACATAGGTTCCAAGAAAAAGGGCACAGAAGAACTGCCTGATGATATAAAATATGCATTAGAGATGATTCAGCAGATGGAGGTTTCCAAAAAAGAGAATTCTAGCATAGAAGAGTACAAGAACTCACTTTTATCAAGTGAGCTATTATCCAAGCAGACATTTGAAGAGTTGGCTATACCTGAAGACATAATAGCTGCCCTTCGGTCAATGGAGTTCAAAAACCCCAGTACAATACAGCAAAAGTCAATCCCTGAGATAGCAAAGGGCGGGGATGTGGCGTTTCAGAGCCACAGTGGTTCTGGAAAGACTATTGCATTCTTAGTTGGTGCACTGTCTGCTCTTGATAAAAGTGTAAAGTCACCGCAGATAGTTATTATAACGCCAACAAGAGACTTAAGCAAGCAGATATCTTCTATTCTGGAAAAGTTCTCAAAGTCAATCGAATTTACTATGTTACAGGCACTGCCTGATGTTGTAGAGAAAATGGATGTATCAAGGATATCTGAGCAGATATTGATAGGTGCGCCTGGAACAATTAAGAAAATAGTCACCGGGCTGTCTAATAATAGCACAATTAAAATGGTTATATTAGATGAAGCAGATGCTTTATTAGATGCCGATATGGGTGGGCAGACAGTGTCTGTGGTAAAAAAGATAAAGAACAAGCAATTGGTTTTATTCAGTGCCACATTCAGTGTAAAGATGAAGGAAGTGATTGCAATGCTCTCTAAGAGCATCAAAACCTGGTATTTAGAAGAGACAAACATTAAACCAGACAACATAACACAGTTTTACATGGAAATGAGCGAGAACCAGAAAACAAAAACTCTTCTTAAACTATACGAAATGATGTCTATAGGACAGTCAATAGTTTTTGTGCACACAAGAAACAAGGCAGAATTAGTGCAGCAAAATCTGAAAAAGGACGGATTTGATGCCGATGTACTGCATGGGCAGTTATTAAAGAGCCAGAGAGACCAGGTGATTTCTGATTTTAAGAGTGGTAAAACAAAAGCACTTGTCACTACAAATGTACTGAGCAGAGGACTAGACGTGCCCCAGCTTAACCTAGCAGTCAATTACGACATACCAAGAAAACAGTCTGGAGCAGTGGACATTGAGACATACGTTCACAGAATTGGTCGTACAGGCAGGTTTAATAGAGCAGGTGTATCTATCACTTTCTCAACAGGCGAGTCAGACAAAATGGACCTCTTATCAATACAGCGAGCAATTGGTTCACAAATCAAGTACACCACACTAGAAGCACTCTCCCAAGCCATACAAGAAAATCAAAAATCAGATGACGAGTCCGATGATTAGGCAGAGTCATCACTACAGCAGGCAAATGCAATATTTAAAAATAAAGCTACCAGAAATAATCTGAAATTCCCTAAAATTATTTTTGCATTCTACCGCACAGATCTTCCACTGCCACTTGCTGAACCACTCAGCAGCTCACACTCGGAAATATTTTCAACTGTAAGTCCGTCAACCTTTGTGAGTGCCTGTAGTAGGGATAGACCAAATATATTATCTGCCTCTGCCTCATCATCTGTATTAATTATAAAAAATCGGTGTACGCCCACGCACTTCTTCTTATAATGAACACTTCCTTCCATATAAGAAGTAGATGGAATTCTTCCGCCCACTCCATCTTTTATTACGTAATTATGGGGTTTTATCTTCACGGCTCCTGTTTTTATTGCAATCTTATTGTACATCTGCCAGCTGAGCAGGTTTACATCTGATCCAGTGCTGTGCCTCCCTGTAATTGAATGCCCAGAAAAAACAATTTCTTTGTATATAAATGACGGGTTTTTTAATGGTCGTCCACCTCCTCCAATGAATTGGTAGTTTGCAAGTGTATACTCGGTGCTTTTCTGTCTTTTATGCTTTTGCAGTGAATTGCACACTTCTACAATGTGCCCTTTTTTATTACAGAATGTACAGAATGCCAAGTATTTTATTGATGTTTTTTGTGATTGGCCTGATTCCTTTGTTAGTCTATTCAGGTCTATTTCCGTGCTTAAGGATATAAGCAGATCTGTGTTTTCTACACTCTCGTCCAGATCCTCAGTGAACACTTTATGAATTTCTTTTTTTCGCACTAATTTAACCACAGCACGCCATGGAATCCTTTTTTTCAGGATATCGTATGACACTGCAATGGCCCACGATCGCATATCGTGGAAATCAAAGCAAAATGGGATCTGCCAGATTTTTGCTAGGTTGTGCTGGTCTAAAATATCTATTAATTTCGGCAGGACTATATCATCCCAGCTTACTTCAGTGGTGCTTTCTGCCTGGTACATGTCTATCGCCTGCAGGAGCAGTGTTATTTTTGGTATAATCGGGGCATAGTCTTTTTCTTTTCTCTCACTGATTGATTTCTGGAAGTAAATCAGTTTTTCCCTGGGACTGGATACGTGCCATGCAGGGTTTGCCTGTACTTTATCCTCTTTCTCTTTAAATTCTGCGTATGTCTCCTGTAGTGTAAATATTTGCAATTCTTTTATAAGTTTGACGGCCCACTGTACATGAATTTGCTTTAGACTGTGCGGTGTGTTTACCCCGCATAATACTAAGTTTTGCTTGTTCTCCTGCGGTGTGGAGAGTTCATCAAATATTCCACTCTGTGCACTGCGCATTGGTGTAAACATATTTATTACACTATAAGAATTACTCTAAATTAAATTAGAATTATCTTAAGAATACCTGATACTCGGGAATTGGCCATAATACAAGAACCAGGACTTATTAATATACTATTCTATATACCCCGAATTATGCATACCCACTGTAATAACCCGGACTTCTTTGATTTCATCATATTCCACAGAGAATTTCAATAATAACGAATAAATTATAAATATTTTAATAACCCGATATAACCCGATTTTATCTTTTAATGTACATGCATAATACTTTAAATATTCTAGGCTTATTCTGAGCACTTCTAGGCGTGTCCAGACTAAATAATTCAAATACAGAATATTCATAAACATTAATATTAATAAAACATCCATTTTATTACAGTAAGAATGAACCATTTAAGATATCTATGAATCAGGCACCCTTTCCTCTGATTGGTCATATTCATAAAAATCCCTATTAGACCCATCAGAGTATTCAGTAAATGTATTAACATCCCTATCCTTCTGTACAGGCATATCTGGGCGTACTCTCCCTGGCACTTCTTCATTCACATCTTCAGGGTAATTTGGATCTCTGCTTGTACAGGAGACTCTTTCATTATCAGTGTACTCATGGTGTGAATTATAAGAGTGCCTTGCTTCCTTATGCGTATGGAACATCCCTGCTAATTTATCAATCTCATCCTTCTCTGCTGCTGAGAATATAAACCCAGTTGGTCGGTATCCAAGAAGGGAGTGTGCAAGGAAATAAGGCGTCTTCCCTGGGTTAGGCAGTACGTCACGTAAGGGTATGTCCGGTGCTATATAAGGAGAGGAAGGATCTTCTCCCTCTCTGGTTAATTTTTCTTCAACCTCTTCAATCCGTTCAAGCACAAGCCTGTCCTCTGGGAATATCCCAATGGCCTCCTCATATATTTCAAGTGCGCTCTGTAAAGTACTCTCAAATTGTTCGTGCACTACCCCCAAATTATATACAGCCTCAACGTACCCGGGATTGTGCTTTTTTGCTTCTTTAAATGCACGCATGGCATCTTCATATTGTGACAGGTTAAAGTACAGAACCCCTAAACTGTTCCAATAAATATGATTCTGACTGTCTTGTTTTAATGCAAAGTTGTAGCACCTGTACGCCTCCTCATAATTTTCCAATTTCTGCTCAATCCTCCCTAATAAGTACCAGGAAAATGCAGAGAGTGCTTCTGGGTGGTGTGTGCATAATACATCCCGTGCCACTTCCCAATTCCTTTCCTTATAATATAACCACGATAAAAGCATAGCAGCCTTCTCATGCCTTGGGTTGAGCTGGCACACTCCTTTAAGAATATCTATGGCTTCCATCTCACGTGACTGTAATTCATTAGCATGTGCTATCTGTATCAGTACATCATCCTTAGTTGGATGGTGACTCTTCGATGAAATATTATGCAGTAAGTACTCAAAGCAGTCCATTGCCGCTGTAATTGCCCCTTTCTTCTTGTAAGTAACCCCCAGTCGGAAGTACACTTCTGGTATATACTCTGATGTATGGTCTATCTTTATAGATGCAGCGTACGCCTCCTCTGCTATCTGTAAATTATTCATCCTTTCATAGAATACACCCACCCCGTACCACAAGAACCCTTTCTTCTCCTTTATTTGTGAGGCATTCTTTGCAACCATTTTATACCAAGCAAGACTCTCTAAAAATCTGTCCAGCATGAGGTAACAGTACGCTATGTTTATGGCTGTGCCAGTGTCCTCTCCCTGCATTACTTTATATAATCTTAAAAATACATCAAGTGCCTTCCCAAACTCCCTCCTCCTCCTGTAAATAGGTCCAAGCATTGAAAGTGCATCCTTTGACAGAGGATTGTTTGATAATGCCTTTTCATATGCAAAGCATATGTTCTTCTCCATATTGCACTCTCTGAATAAATTAGCCATGGCAATCCATGAGGCTTCATTGTCCAATAGAAGTCTTGTGTATAAGTCAACAGATGTTTTTTTAGGCAACTGTGGCACTTTATCTAGTCCTGGCAAGTCTTTCCAGTTCTCCTGTCCCAGATTTATTTTAGTATCGTTGTCCATTGAAGATATAAAACTTTTTACTAAAAAACTTCTTTATGATCACAACTACAGCAAGGGGGTTCCTTTCAAAAATTAATTTTAGAAGTTTTGGCAAATTATTTTTATAAATACGGTTGGTTCTATTACAGGAGACTGTGGGAGTATTATTATACTGTATGTGTGAAATTTAAGCAATTTATTCTTTAGTGGCAAAATTTATTACACTATGTGTAAAATAATATATATATTACACAATTACCAATAAGTTTTATTATTTATTGTGTAAGATTATTCTAATAATAAAATTTATGTGTGCAAATAAATAAATAATTTATTAGACGTATCTTATAAAGTAATAAGTACTGAACTGTAATAAGGACAGGACTTATTGCACATTGTGTAATAAATACTATTTATTATTTATTGTTCTATTAGTGCTATAATAAATAACACAATGATTTATAATTTATATTTGTAGTGTAATAAGTACTGAACTGTCATAAGGACAGGACTTATTGCACATTGTGTAATAAATACTATTTATTATTTATTGTTCTATTAGTGCTATAATAAATAACACAATGATTTATAATTTATATTTGTAGTGTAATAAATAAAATAAAATTTTAATTAATAATTAATAATCTATGTGTAATAAGTTATATTCATATTTATTCATACTCTAAATATTGCATAAATATCTTAATTACACTGTAAATAATGTATAAATCCGGTTGTAAATACGGTTATAACGTATTATTATAATCTGCTTAAATTATTTTTATTATTAAAATAACCGTTTGTTAATTTTCAAATTTTTAAATATCCTTCCTTAATAACCCGGTCTTTGTGTACTCAATTATGCCTTCAGGCGTGGGGTTTAATAAAGATAGTGCCGCATCTGTCTCCTCCTCAGTAAATCCCTCTGTGCCTGATTGAAGTATGGTTTTTACTATACTTACAGGTAATTTGCCAGCCTTATCAGAATCAAATACTTGAAAGGCCTTTGTCACATCTTCCACTGTAAGTATCGGAATTTCCTTATCCTCAGTCATTCTCCTTATATCTGTAAGGCTGTACAGTTCCTTACCATATGGTAATATTGTGCTTAATTCTTGTTCATTAATAATATAACCTAATGACTGTAATAATGGTAATATATTCTGTCTCTTCACATATTCATTATTCATCTCATCTGAGAATATTTCAAAGACTTGCTGTACTGCACTGTTCATTATACACAAATAAAAATAAAATTTATAAGTATGGACATATACAGAGACATAAACTTAGCAGTACACTTTATATCCAGGAGTACTAAAGTGTCCAGGAGACTTATTCAAGTACTTATAAGGATACATAATAAGAAGATTATAAAGTTATCATATGAAGTAAAAAGGGCTATATGTAAGTGTTATACTATTATGATACCAAGTATTACGTGTTACAGTCGTGTATCTCATGAAACAGACGGGTATTATTTAATGCGGGTGTGCGGTGTGTGTGGAGAAATCAGTAAAATGAGAATGGGTGCCAAGAAAAGATTTTATAATGGAGGAGAAGAGGAGACTAACAAAGAAAGAGAAAAAGGAGTTAAAGTATTTAAGACTTAAAGAGTCATACAAACAGAAAAAAACAAAAAGAACCAAGAGAAAGAAGGCTCCAGAGGACCAAGTAACATCAAAGTACAAGGTTTGGATAGAAGTATTAGGAGGACTTGAGTTAATGACAGAGAAAGAGATGCGCAGTTTATGTGAGCAGATAAGGTATGTATATGCATCTAATAGGGTAGCACAGTCACCTGTTAATTTAATCATAGGTAATTCAGGGTTACTGCAGGGATATCTCAGGACAGATGTACAGAACTGGAAGAATATTGAGTTTAAGGACGAGTCAATAACAGACTTAAACAACCCAGAAGGAAGCAGAAATGTAACAGATAATAAAGTGACTGAAGAGAGTAATGGAAATAAGCCAGTGACTAACTGTACAATGACTGATGATCAAGTGACTAACTGCATGACTAATAAGGAAGGAGAGGTAACTAATGAACTATGTGAAAGTAAACCAGTGACTGAAGAGAGTAATGGAAATAAGCCAGTGACTAACTGTACAATGACTGATTCTGTGACTAATAGTGCATGGAATGGTTTATCGCATACGAATATTATTGTGTTAACTGCTGATGCATCTGATGAATTAACTGAGATGGAAGAGGACTGTGTTTATGTGATAGGTGGATTAGTTGACAGGAACAGACACAAGGGATACACAGAAAAGTTATTTAATGGGAAGTTCAAGACTGCTAAATTGCCAATTAGACAGAAGCTCAGTTCATCAACTGTTCTTAGCACACTTCATGTGTTTAACATTTTATTATCGTACAGCCAGTGCAAGGACTGGGAATGTGCACTGAAAGAGAATCTTCCCATTCGGAAGCAAAGCGTTGATGAGGTAAAACCCGATCTAACCCTAAATTCAGAGAGCCCTTTAGAAAATACTTCAGAGTCACCCATAGAAGAATAAAAGTTTAGAGTACTTATTATTTAATAGGCCACTGTGTATTAATAAATAGTAATTATTTACGTTAATTTTATTTATAATTAAAGCTAAAATATAATGCATATTCTGTAAAAGTAAATAGTAAGCAATGCATAATGCCATAAGAAATACGGTAATTCGGATTATTATAGAATAACTGATTTATTGGTCTACCTGTGCAACAAAGCTTTCTGTCTGAAGACCCTTGAACTCAGGAACATGCACGTGCTTGACAAACATTTCTGTCTTTGCATTGTCCTTGAAGGATGGCCTCTTTCCAATTTCTACTCTAATCCTGGTTGGAAGATTCTTCTTTCCACGTGCCCAGATGGCTTTGTTAAGATCCATGTCTATTTTCACATCCATGTCACTTCTGAACTGCTTCTTTATGAGTCTTTTTAAATTTCTCACTGCACAGTCTGCCCACCTCTTCTGTGAGCATCCCTTTACAAGCTTCCACAAGTTTACTGTTAAGACTATTACTTTGTTCTCTGATGTTATATTTGCCATGTGCAGGGAGGAAGAAATAAAAAAATATTTGAAGAAAAGAAAAGAAAAGTGAACTGCTGGTTTTATTAACCAAGGATCATTTCCCCGGAGAGGTCGTAATAATCTGCTTCAAGAGTAGCTAAATCTTCTCTTGCTTCACTGAATTCTCCTTCCTCCATTCCCTCACCAACGTACCAGTGAACAAATGCACGCTTACTGTACATGAGATCAAACTTAGTGTTAAGTCTTTTCCATGCCTCAACGATTGCTGTTGTGTTACTGAGTGCGCAGACTGCCCTCTTAAGTGGGGGAAGTGCACCTCCTGGGAGGGATGTGGGTGGTTCATTGTTAATTCCTATCTTAAACCCAGTTGGGCACCACTCAACGAATCTGTCACCTTTTTTACTCTTTACTATTCCTGTGGCGATATTAACATCTTTTGTGTTAATGTCTCCTCTGAAGAGCAGGCAGCATGCGATGTACTTACCCTGTCTGGTGTCACACTTTACTAGTTGATTTTGTGGCTCAAAGCAGGCTGTTGTAATCTCTGTTACACTGAGCTGTTCATGTGCTGCATTTACTGCAGAGACCATGGGAGAGTACGCAATTAAAGGGAAATGAATCCTTGGATAAGGTACTAAGTTAGTCTGGAACTCTGCCAAGTCCACATTAAGTGATCCTGGGAATCGCAGTGATGCAGTGATTGAACTGACCACCTGCGCAATAATCCTGTTAAGGTCAACATAATCTGGTCTGTTTATTCCAAGTCCCTTGCACATGTCATATATTGCTTCATTGTCCACAAGGAATGAGCAGTTTGAGTGCTCAAGTGTCATGTGTGTTGTAAGCACAGAGTTGTATGGCTCAACAACTGAATTAGATACTTGTGGTGCTGGGTAAATAGCAAACTCAAGCTTACTCTTCTTCTCATATATCTGAGAAAGTCTCTCCATAATGAGAGTTCCCAGACCAGACCCAGTTCCTCCACCAAATGAGTGGAAGATAAAGAACCCCTGTAAAGAATCACAATTGTCAACTAGTCTTCTTATTTGCTCAATAGTTGGCTCAATAATACTCTTTCCTACTGTGTAATGCCCTCTTGCATAGTTATTTGCTGCATCCTCCTTTCCTGAAATAAGCTGTGATGGATGGTACAAGTCCTTGTATGCACTTGTCTTTATTGAATCAATCACACCTGGCTCCAAGTCTACCATAAGCGCTCGAGGCACCATGTTCCCTGTGCTTGTCTCTGAAAAAAAAGAAGAAGCAGACTCAATTGACTTATTAGAATTTGGATCAACTTGTCCATTTGGTAATATTCCGTGCTCTAAGCAGTATAATTCCCAATTTGCATTTCCCATTTGTATTCCACCCTGTCCGACGTGGATTGAAAGTATTTCTCTCATTTTCCTGGGGTAGGGGTTCAAATTTTATTAAAATTAATAGTAAATTTAAATCTAAATAGATTTCTTACCACAGATGATCTTAATAGTATAAAAATGGATTACTAATAAATAATAATTCTTATGAATATTCTAATGCTGGAATATCCCTTATCTATCCATAATAATAGGAATATCTAATATTTCATTTTTATATTAGGGTTATGTCGGGTTATTAAATATTTATAAATAAATTATTATACCCATAGAATAAAAAAATAAAAATAAATATTAAGATTAGTCTATTAGTATACGTATATAAGGATTAGTCTATGTAAGTATAAGTATAGGTCTACTGTGTACATTAGTCTATTGGCATACTGTATATGAATATGGGTGGACAAACATATAAATATATAATGAACCAATCTGTATATATAAGTATATGAATGAATTGGCCTATAGATATAAGTATATGTTATAAGTGTATGCGTGGATATTAGTCTGTTTATATACTGTATTAATGTATTATTAAGAACTGCCTATTTCTACTGATTTATTTTTATATTTTTATAGAATATTCTGTTGGTAATTTATATTAAAAATTAAAGTAGATTATTCTATATACGTTATAACTATTATAAATACAGTAACCCGATATAACCCTATGAATAGTAAACAAGCACAGAAACAAAATGCCAAACCATTTGAAGGATATTTCTTTGTCATGTGTACTCTTAGTATAGTATATACTGCATTCTCATCAGTGGCACTTGCCAATAAACAACAAGAAGTAGATTCTAATGCATACAATATGAAAGATTTACATGGCGTATTATTTGAACTTATAACAGATATTATATTTAAAGGATGGCTGGATATTCAAGCAACTGTATACTTTATTATCACAGGATCATTCACTTTTTTTTACATATACATTGTTATAAAGTGTATACGACTACTTCGGCATACGATCATAGAATTATTAATTATGCCTGAGAAGAATCTCATTTTATTATACATATACATTACGTCCATTATAGCAAGTATTATTGTTAGTATTAAATGGATGCTTAGGACTAAAAAGTATTTTTATAGCCAGATGTGCATGGTGTCTAATAATAATATATCTTCTTCTACTACTTATTACTCTATATATTATACATTAGAAGGGTGCACACTTTTAATTATTAATCAGTCCATACTGAATATATTCTTTTATATATATACGTATAATTATACATCACAAAGAGATTTAATTAATAATATAATTACTGCTATTGCATCTTGTGCTTGCTGGTGTTTCTTATGGATAGATAAGCACAACACTCAGAAGAAATGGTTTATTTATGGGTTTATATCTATTAATTTGTTTAGGTTTATATCTATATATATTACATCTGGTGAGAGGAGGTATCTACTAAACACATATTATAGGTACATAACTGTATCTGAGAGATTTAATACTTTGATAAATTTGAGTCTTCCTGGGTCATCTAATATACGGCATATTGGATATAATGTGATAGATAATCTTGAGATAATATTTATAGATGTATTGTTTAACTTTTACTTCGTGCGGTACTGTATTCTGCTGTATAAATCACAGGGGAGAGATTTATGCACTACTAGATTAAAAGCAAGAATGCCCATTCAAGAAGAATCAGATAATTCATCTGAGGAAGTGTGAAAATTTCAAAGTGCTCTGTGCATGTATTGTACTTCTTACAGATTTAAGGGGGCCTATGCGTAATGAATACTGTGTAAATAGAATTATTAGTATATAAACACACCGGAATTATTTGACAGTTTTAATAATTCTTGATAATTTTGACAGTTTTAATATTTTATTTCGGATTCAATTCTTCAGTCTGCTCTGTAAATGTAATATAAATCGTTATTAGTGTAATCGAGTTCTGCCTTTATTTCTTTTATTTTATCCACTCGGATCGCTTTCTTTCTAGTGCAGACTGTCCGCACTCTTCATAGTCTTGCTTAGTAATCATCAGTGTACAGGCAGTACCAAGTGATCCCAGAATAGACCCTCCAAAAAAGGTACTAAAATCTCTCTTGTCATTATTTACCTTGACTCTGGCATTTGGATACATTGCCATTAAATCTGCTTGAAGTCTTTCTGTTATTCCCGGGATTAAAGAACCTCCACCAGAAACCATTATATTCCCTAATAACATGTCGTAGTGGTCAAGATCAACAGAATCCATTGTGGCCTTTATCATATCCAAGAGACCCATTGGCTCTATAGGGCCAGGAATCTGTTTCTGTGGGTCTAGTCTGTCCATGGTGCGGTCTGTTTTTTCAAATAACTTCTCTGGTATTATATTCCTCTCAGAGAATATTCTTGTGCTGAACCCCGTAGAAAACTCGTAATACTTTGGCTGGCAGTGCCCAATAAAAGAAATAGATTCTTTAAAACACTTTGCTACATCTAACTGTAATGGAAGTTTACTCTCCTCAGATAAGGTGGTATACGTAGTCTTCTCTTTGTATATTGGCATCTGCTCAAATGAGACTCGAGTTCTTTCTTCAATAGCAGTTGGTGGAACTAGAAGATCGGTCCCAAGTTCTTTAGATTTATTCTTTAATAAATCATACGCCACCTTTGTCAGACTCTCTCCGCCACATGAGCTCTTTATTCCTCCACTCAGGCAGTATCCATCAATCACCGGAATAATCTGTGTACTGTTCCCGCACAGTCTTACCATAAGCCCAGAACTCTTTCCGTAACTAAAACAGTCTGCAACTGCTCCATTAATAAATAATAAACCAGAACATAAAGATGACTCCATTATGTGTGAAAATACATTTTTACGCATATCTCTGTGCATAAACGGATCTTCTATGTTAATAAGTGGAATAGAAGATAAATCATCTGTAAGCTCTTCTAGCGTATTTGTCAGTGCTTCTGTTAAAGACCTCCCCTCTCTTTTCTCATAAATAGAAGGTACTTCACTGCTGGCATATCCTGCCTTGCATGTTTCATGTCCTATATCTGCCACATGCACTGTCGTGTCTCCGACTGTATACATAATAAAATTATAGTAAAGTTTTATTTATGCACTAACCCAAAAAATTCTCTTTAAAGTTTAGTCTGTAAATACCACAGTAATCCCCATTTTATTTACTCTTATTAATACTTAAGCAATAATTATCTTAGTTAAGAATATTTCCATGCGCAGCATAAACACTTTCTTGTATAATTAAAGAAATAATCTAAATTATCCCAGAAATGTTCACTTATACATATTTCTGATTATATTTAATATACTGTTATTACTCATCTGTATATCTAATATAGCACATTTATTTCAAAGGAGTTGGTATACTTTGTCTATATTCTCTCCAGTACCTTCTAAAATTCTAGAAATATCCCAATATGCCCAGGAAAGTTTTAATACTCGATAAATTGGCTATTGTAGAAAGCCTCTTTTATTCTGATGTTTTTGGCATCAATGCCCAGTGCTCATCCTATAATCCTTCAGTGCATTCTTTAGAAGAGGTTAATTCTACAGTGAATAAAAATTGCTTTAACTGTTTATATAAGCATTTCTATTGGATCAGACCATGACCCGAATTCTTTCTATAATATTTCTATTTTAATATCTAGTTAGAGATTATATAAGTCTTTCTTTTATAAACTCATTCTAATAGGAATATGCATATTCAAACTATCTCAGTGCTCTTTGAATTTCATTTCTTTAAATTTCTGCATAACATTCATATTATTTCAAGTTATTATATTTATATCGCCCTTTCTGTGTATATGAATCTGAGTTTATTTCTGTTTTTCCTGTTTTCTTATGCCTAATCCCTTATCCGCCATAAATAATCCGAAATGATATTATAGGAAATAATGCATATATGCTTATTAATATATTTTATTTCAATACCATGAAATATATAACAAGAGATATAATAACTTCTAATACAATAGAAGAAGTTGCTACAACTACAGCAGCACCAAACTACTTAAATGATTTTTTTATAGATTTGTTGTGGTTTATTATAATTCAAATTTTAGTAATTATTCTAATTATTGTACTTGCTATTCTAATAATTTTATTACTAGTCTTTTTTAATACTGGGTGGGAAGAAGTTAAAGATTTTATGTTAAATATAGCCTAGTAAAAAATCGGTCGTATGAAGAATCAAATGTTAATGCCAATGAAGAAAGTTCTAATTCAAGACACTTAATAAGAAGAACAAGAATAGACAAAATACATTATATAATCGCTAGCTGTTCTGATAATTCGTTAGACTAACCGTCATTAGAATCAGTTACTAACTATTTTGTTCTACCATCAGAATCAATCGGCTGCTCTAATTAATCATTCACAGCGCCATAATATGTAAGTATTGAGTTATCTCTATATGTAGATGTAGAAACTGATGAGAAATAATCTCCTTTATAATGAATCTTGTTGGTTTCTATCATATCAGGAACCGTGTCTAATGTGGGGGCCTCACACCCACTCCTGCAAAGTCTTATAGAGCTGTTATAATTGAAAAATGAAGCTATATAACCCGAATAATAAAAAATTTGAATGGGTCTTAATAATGTACAAGGGAATAACCGACTTGTCGTAATTGGCATTTCTCCAGAATTTTAATTTATTTAAAATTTGATATCCAAGCAGCAGACAAGTTATATTCAGGTAAGATGAGAGCTGAATACAATAATAAAAAAACAAGGTCACCATAAACCGTTGTCTTGCCGAAGCCTATTAGAATGCGTATGGACTTCTAATCATCTGCCACCGGTTGGTTACGACATAGTGAATTCACTGAAACGGCAAGACCAAATGGCAATACCCTTACTCAATACTCTATACACCACACAGTACCCACTAGGACTTTTCGTACCCGAGACACCCTATGGAAACTTCAATATAACCCTACACATACTGGGTCCACACGATCAGCAGGTATTTCAGCTCTGGATGAATTATCTCAAACGGGATCTTCAAACATGCCAAATCACCACATGAGTCACCCAGTTACAAATTATCAAGCTATCCGTCTGCGTGGAACTCGCAGACAGGTTAGACACCGAGGCTGATCCCGATCCTTATCTGGAGAAGCTTGAGCTCTACTTCTTAGACCGTGCTAGCCGAAGATTCTTGGAAGAACCTAATCTCCAAGACTACCTACTAGTCCAGGACTACGAGGAAGCCTGCGACATTTATCTCAAGAGATTCTATCGTCTACAGAAAATAACCAAGAAAGCCATGGAATCGAAGTTTCTAGAAACATTCCATGGGGGAATAAGTATGCGCCTCCAAGATACACTATAAATGTATGGTTGTGCCATGAATAAAGTGATAGTTCACACTTTAAAGAATCAAGAAGAAGATATACTAAAGCAACTCACCTTAAGATAAAGAGCACAACCTACAACGTACCGCATCTCAGAAACCGAACGGACAAAGAAAAAATATTGCTCGTACCATAAAGTCCACTGGACATAATAAATAGAATGGAAGAATTTTTTTAAAATACAATGAAAAAATATCTAATAAGAAATAGCACAATGTCCCATAAAACAGAAGAAGTTGCCACGGGTGTAGAATCATCAAACAGCTTGGCCCAGTTTTTTCTGAATTTATTTGGTTTTGTGGGTTTGCTAATTTTAATGTGCTTTATACTAATTTTAGTTTGTTTTATAATATTATTAATTTACGCTTTTTATGATGATGGCTGGAATGGAGTTAAAAATTGTATATTAAATATAATATACCCAGAAGAAAATATGTCGAATAAATCAAGTGATAATGACAATAAAAACGCGAATGAAGAAAGTTCAAATTCAACATACTTAATAAGAAGAACAAAAATAGACAAAATACCTGATCCCATTGCCAGTTCTTCCAATAGTTCATTAGAAGAATCAGTATTACAACCAATTAGTAACTATTTTGTTCTGCAACCAGAGCCAAATAATCAATCAATCAGGCCAACTGCACCACCTGGATCAAATGATATTGGGTTTGTTCTACAAATAGAGCCAAATAACCAATCAATCAGGCCAACTGCACCGCCTGAATCAAATGATATTGGATTTGCTCTACCACCTGAATCAATCGGCTGCTCTAATTAATCATTCGTAGCGCTGTAATTTTAAAGTATTGATTTATCTCTATATGCAGATGTAGAAGTTGATGATGAATTTGCTCTTAAATATGGTACTTTATTTTAGTAGTTTGTACTGCTGTTACACTCTAAGGTTAAAATTATTTATAATACGTGTTTTTGGGACAATTCTATACCTTGCACAGATACTGCCACTTGGTTCAAGTCCCCTGGAGCTATATATGAGTTCGCTGGCTCATGTAGTAGTTCTCCATAGTAAATGAGCAGATTCAAAGAGCAAACGATTAAATTCTGGCTATTTAAGCAGAGCAGTATCCAAACAGAGGAAATTTACAAATCCAATAAAGATATACTTCAGCGCCAGGTATAGTATAACCCGTGCTACTAGAAATTAGTGTTTCCACGGCCACAGACTGCATCCCAATCATAACAAAGAGCTGATTCTTTAATAACTTTATCTACTTTTGAGTATTTTATTAGGATTTTTGGTTGTACTTCATTATGAATACATTACCTTATACTAATTCTATTAAAAAGGAATATTTATAAATATTTTTATTAACATATTTTTATTTAATTACCGGATGAGATATTTAACAAGAGATATAATAACTTCTAATATAACAGAAGACATTGCCACTGCCGCAGCACAAATCAGTAACTTATGCGTTGACATCAAACAGGGTTGGAGGTTTTTTATATTTTTTATTCCACTCATAATTTTATTTCTAATTTGTATAATTGGATTTACCTACTATTGTTTTTTCGGATGGGATGAATTTAAAATGTGTATATTATGTATGATATGCCCAGAGAGAAATATATCGGATGAAGAATCTGATGAAGAAAT